AAGGAACGGTGGTGTTTGGCTGTGTCTTTGGGGAGGAAGCCTGTCCCCGGAGGAGAGACGAAGGTGTGCCGGATGTTGGAGAGGACGGTGGATTCGGCGCCGTTGTGGAGCATCACGCCTATGCCGAGCTTGTTGGCGGAGCCTTCGCAGCCTAGGGCGATGAGGCCGCGTTTTTTGGTCATGTTTGCTGTTGTGAGTTTGGAGGGGGATTCGGCTGTCATCGCTGCGGGTGGTGGTTGTGGTTGATGGTGTTGTGGTGGTGTTGGTGGGGTGTAGACGTCGAGGTTTGGATCGCGGGGCCTCTTTGGTGGACGGGTTGTGGTGTCGCTCATGGGGGGCTGGACTTTTTAGCCAGATTCGACCATTGAATTTGACCCTCTCCCCCACGACTTTTAGAGTCAAGGAAAGAACCAAAGATTGTATCAAATTATCGAGCTCGAGAATATTTCATTATTGCACCGAAAGAGTGCGAAATCTACGTAGATATGGCGACCTTCCGCCGTCTGTCGCAAAGAGAAAGAAAAGTTCGCATGAGCCAATGGAAAAAAAGAGGTTGACGTAGGAGGGGTAATCCCGTTGGTGGGATGTCCCATATTGGTCTCCAGCAGCATCAGAAGAAAGAGAACAGTGGATGGGTAAATATGGGTCCCGAAATGGTATTTCTGGTCCCCTGCCCACGGGCCCCAAGAGAGAGAGAGAGGCAGAAACAGAAGCAGAAGCGCGGCGGCTGCGCAGCATGATCCCTCCGGTAGAGCTGCCACAACGGTTCCTTGTGACACACAGCCTAACGCCGCACCGCACCGGGCTCTTTTCTGCCTTTTGCGCAAATGTCCACGGGTGAACCCCCCCTTAGCCTACCAGCCTTCCTGCCCAGGTACCTTAGGTGTAACCTCCCGGCAAACGCCGCCCGCCTCACCTCAACCCAAGACCTTTGCTCTGTCTCCTTCCTTTCTCTCCTCAGTCTCTGTGTTTTCCCACGGGATTGAACCTCGCCCACGATATACACGACACTTGAATGCCTTGGTCAAGGACCAAGGCACACGCAGAGTCTCATCGCTTACGTTGGTGCACCGTTTTTATCGCTCAGAACCAACAACCCCGGTCAGTCAAAGGTACCTTTTTCGAGGCTTCCAAAATGGCACACATTTATCCCCACACCCACCACCGGCAAGCCTCGACGAGAAAGTGGACTCCCCTTCCCATTCTCACTACACAATTCTTTCTCTTCTTTTGATATTTCCTCAGTACCCAGCTTCCGCCCCCTCTTTCTGCTGGCCAGTTGCTACAGATATCCCAATTTTTCTCTCTCTCTTTCCCCTCTTTTTTTTTTTTTTTTGCAATTCTTTTCAAGCCCTCTCTGAGGTCCCATTTCTTGTCCTGTCCCGTCTCGTGATCGGCCCGGAGGGATCTGCGGGCACAGATCAGCCGAATCGGGGGGTACGGCAGAGAACAAGACAAAGGTCGACCTGCTGACCACTCCACGACTATCTACCTACTTCAACTCACCCACAACATCACCGTCTTTTTGTCCCCCTTGAACAAGCTGTGAAATACTGCTGCAGACTTGTTCTTCGCCTCTTTGGAAGGGCAAAAACGAGAAGCTGTTCATTTTCACCACCTGCTAACCCCGTGGTTTTTGTCAGCCAGGTACCTACCCTCCAGGCATAATGCCGCGCCTGACCACCCGCTCGTCACAAGCTCTCCGAGTCACCTCACAAATCACCACCTCCTCCTCTCCCTCCTCCCGATGCACCCACGAGTTAAGGCACACAACAGTTCAAGAACCTGCCGGTCCTTTCTTCTGCGCAATCCCTGCTGCCACAAGACAAGGCAATGCGCTCCGAAGCCCCCCCGAGCAGAGTCAGACGCCGCCAGCCGCCGGAAGCCGACCTCGATCGTCATCTCCGCCAAGTTCCGGCCGACCGCGCCGATGGCCAACGAGAACCGTTCCTATGCTTCTACACGAGAGCATTAGGCAATAGGAATCACCAATAGAAGAAGGCATAAAGTACCTTATTCATCTTTCTTTATTGTCTTTGGGGAATCTTCCATCCCCGGCCGAGACCTTGTCTTAGTAGACCACGACCACAAGGTCTCCAACTCCTCTTCTTTTACATTCATTTACTTTACATGAGAGCCATCTCAACCCAAAACGCCACGCCTAACCGACCGCCCTGCCTGCCCGCCTGCCAGCCACCAGGCCCTTTGTACAAAACCGGAAGACAACCAAAACACCATGGGGTATACAACACACGTCATCCGAAGATGAGGAGTAGAGATCGCGCCTCGAAGGCCAGACCATCTCTCACGAGGGGGTAGCAGCAGGTTGAGCTGGCGGAGAAGCCTGTGGCGGCTGCCGCGGTTGCTGCGGTGTTGCTTGTGGCTGCGGCTGCGTCTGCTGCGGCGTTGGAGGCTGCGGCAGTGCAGGTCTGCCAGCCGCTCCGGCTACCTGCGGAGTTGCTTGGCCGTTGACCATGCCCTCGTGCGGAAGTTGCCGGCGCTGGTACACATATTGTGACAACGGGATCGTCGCGCGGAACTTCAGAGCTCGCGTGTCATATGGGTCCACCTCGTACACCTGCGACTCGTCCTCGTCGTCTTGATCATACTTCCACCGATCAGTATACTCCTCGCCCTCCACCCTCGGCGGGGTAGTCATTCCATTCATTCCCCGGCGGTCAATCCACAGACGGCCCAAACGGCCGATACGTCGGCGGAAGGCTGCTTGGCTGCTGGAAGGCTTTTCCTTGCCTCCGCCTGCTGTGAACTGGAACACCGACATGTCGTCTCTATCAGCCACAGGTTCGGATTCTTCATCAATGTCCATGGCATCGGACTCGGAAGATGTGGATGCAGGAGGCGTCATCAGATACTGGGTCTTGGCAGGACGGAAGCTGGCCTCCATGCGTTGTTCCTTGACCGGGGACAGGGGGTCTCGCGTGAGGTCCACATGGTTCTGGTTCCACTTTCGGTGGTTGTGGACCTTGCTTTCAACATCTGCACGCAACTCGTTCTCCTTCTCAGCAAGCTTATCTGCCAGCTGCAACAAGTCTGCCTCCATGGATCGACCATCCGGCCGCACGGCAATGCGAAGGTGATTGCCAGGTGGCTTCTGGAGAGCAGGCGCCTCCACGGGCTTCTTCTTGGGAGGCTGCGCTCGGTCAGCACACGTCTTTGGATTTCCAGATGGTGATGTTAGACATACCTTATGGTTGATGAGGTCGTCGTCCTCGGTCTTGATGCCGAGCTTGACCTTCATCTCCTTGAGTTTGGCTCTCTGTTCGAATATGGCCCGATCAAAGGTAAGTAGTTCACGTTTGAGCATCTCACGCTCATATGATTGAATGATGAGCTGCCGACCATCTTCAAGTTCTCTGCGAAGTCGCTTGAGTTTCTCGGCGCTCTGGACGTCTCGCTGTCGCGTCTTTCGCGTCTGTCTGGCCTCGCGGCGTCGGAAACACACATATGGGTCGGCCTCGTCACTTTCTTGATGTGTCTCGAACTTGACGCTGGGGTGAATAGGTTTGTTGCCGAGCGTCTGCCGGCGCGTTTTCCAGTGCTCATAGACGTGCTTGGAGTGCGCCATGAGCTTGTTGCCACCGAGCGAGGCAAGGGAGGGCACCATCAGATCATAGCCAACCACTGTGTTGTCTATGGATGCGAATGGAGTCTGCTCAGAAGCTGTGTCTTCGAACACTTCCATAATGCGCTCAAAGTCATCTTCTGACAGTTGGGAGGCGACTGTCTTCTTGGTGGCATTGTACTGCTTCAAAAACTCATCGTCCTCCGTTGTCATGTCATATGATACGCCAATGCATTCTTCGACAGTCTGCGAGAAGCGAATGAAAGAGGTAGGCTGCTGAAAGTTACTGGGGTAGAGTTGATCATAGTTGATCTGACTCTCCTGAGGAGGCGGGACTGGAATTTCTTGGTCATTGCTGGTGCCTGCCTCTTTGAGAATTGACTGGAGATGGTATTCCTATTGATTCGCGGTCAGTATGTGGCTGTTGTTGCTCTGGCGAGGTATGAGTGAGAAGTGGATAAGCCGGGGGTGCCAAGGCATATCACATGGTGGGTCACGTGATATCTGGCCGCGATATGGACGAAGATGTGACTCACTGTTTCCTCGGCGGCTTCGACACCGGTCGCGATTTGAGTCTCGGTAGTCAAAGATTCGTACTCAGCAGCATCTATATCGGTCTCTCTGAGCACAGGAAGAAGCGTCTTGACGCTCAACTTCTTGACTCTGACTTTCCTGGTCGACATGGTGGCGGGTGGGGGTCGAAGGCCGAAAGCCAGCGGAAAATCCGCGAAAAAAGTCGATCAAGTCATACAAGGGGTCATGCGACGTTGATTTTTGAAGTTTTGACAGATAAAAATCGTGGTTGTTGGGTTTGGATTGATGGTCGATTTGTTGCTGGCTATGAGGCGACGTTGATTTGGCGTTTGGCGTGAAGAAGAATTTTCCTGTTGCGCTTCCACGCAGTAAGGTAGGACCTTTCGGGTTGGATTTGGGCGTTCAAGGTACCGTGCAATAGTAGACGTGCTGTAGCGGTACTTAGGAACGCTCGGGCCAACAGAGACGGATCGGAGATGGAAAGCAAAGACTGCCCATGGAAGTGACTGGCACCTGTCCAAGGGGCGTCTAGGAAAAGGGGAAGCTGCAAGTCACGTGTCTTCCCAATCTGTCAACATCAGAAAGCAGCAAGAGCGGTGCTAAAGTACCTTAGGTGCTTGGGTGACAAGTTCTACCTCTATTCTCATTACTGCACTGGTCTGTTCCATTTCTGAGCCGATAGAATATGCATCAAATTTCAACTCATTCATTTCGTTCCATCCTCCCGAAACTCAAATGTGGTGGTGATACGTCTGACACTTCGCCAGCCCGTCCAGGTCGTACGTCAGACAATAAGATCTGGAACTGGCCCGTGCGTAACCACGCTGCGGTGGGCTCCGGTACAGCTGCCCGAATCCAACCCGGCGCCTGGTCGCCGCCTGGCGGCCGCCTGACTTTACTTCGACTACCTGCCATACTGCACCTTGGCCTTGCTCCTGTCAACCTCCCTATTCAAGGCGAACCCCACGGCGAACTAGCGAAATCGAGCTCGACACAAGCCCACTCAACTGCGACGACCCTGGAATATTTCCTGCCAACTACACCGTGCACCCATACAGCATTTAGTCGAGTCCGATTTCGAGTTTCCAAACATGGGCAACACTACCAGTACGGTGTTGGACAACATCGTCCAGGGGTCCAACTGTGAGCCCCTCCCCCGCAGTCGACTTCTTTGTCGCACAGACTTCGGTGTGCTGGAGCTGACCGATATGCAGTCGACAGAGAGGAAGTTGACCGTCTGAGGAAACGTTTCATGAAGCTGGACAAGGCATGTATTCTCTATGGCCTACTTGTTTCCCTTGCCATTGCGCTCAACGGCGATCCATTTGCCACCAGGAGACAATGTTGCTGACCCATCTCTCATCCAGGACAACTCCGGCACAATCGAGCGTGATGAATTCCTCAGCCTGCCCCAGATCTCCTCCAACCCGCTAGCCACGAGGTAGCCAAAACCCTTCCGGTGCTAGACACTGCGAATCACGTTGCTAAAGCGATCTCTACACAGAATGATTGCGATCTTTGACGAGGATGGTGGCGGAGACGTCGACTTCCAGGAATTCGTATCAGGCCTCAGCGCCTTTTCTAGCAAAGGCAACAAGGAGCAAAAGCTGCGCTTCGCCTTCAAGGTGTACGATATCGATCGCGACGGTTACATCAGCAATGGCGAGCTCTTTATCGTGCTCAAGATGATGGTTGGAAGCAACCTTAAGGACCAGCAGCTGCAGCAGATCGTCGACAAGACCATCATGGAGGCCGACTTAGATAAGGACGGCAAGATCAGCTTCGAGGAGTTCACCAAGATGGTGGAGAACACGGATGTCAGCATGAGCATGACTTTGGGTGAGTATCCTCTCCTACTTGCGCTCTTTGTTTGGCTTCAACTCGTCATGGCCGGACAAGCTAACATCGCTTCCTAGACACATTTTAGAGTTGAAGACGGCGGTGAGCGAGCACATCAGGATCACGAGACATGAATTGCAACAATCACTATTCGAGGTAGAGATAAATTACCCCCCGAGCGACATCACGGTCGTCAAACGGGCCTGGATTGAAATTTCCGGGTTTGAAACAGCGTTTCTTCGTCTATTACGTTCAACTATGCTAGTCCATCGAAACGTGATGACACCCGGTGCTTTTGATGTTTCGACAAGGCTTGTGAACAAGACACAAAGGCTTGGGTCGAGGTCAAAGACGATTGTGTGTAAACATGCATGGACTTTTCAAGCGATCCTGGCGCCTACGACCGCATCGCAGCTAGCTAGGTGACTCGAAACACCAGTACTGCACCTGAGGCAATTCGCTGGGAAGCCAAAGTCCTATCTCTTGTCTGAGCATGGACGCATCAACCCCCGTCACCATAAATTCGCCGTACGGTCCTTGAGCCTATTGCTATCAGCGATGAGTGAGATTGCGATGGAGGCGAGCTTGTGATGACCAGATCCCTTACCTCAATTTGCACTTTCATTGGAGCCAACTGAGTTAAATTTCGTACTGCAAAGCCAGCCTGTGGCAGGACAAAAGGACGGCTGAGAGGAACATTGAAGGTTACCCCCAGTAGACCAGCGTAACCACCTACAAATCGGTCCAAGAGCATGAGACCGAATCTAATGTTCCTTCCTTTCCGTGTTGTGTCATCATAGACACTTGGATTATAGGGATAGTGAAAATAGTAGTTCCCCGCAGTCATTTTGCAACTGCCATTCTACGTGACGTTTGATATATGTCCCTTGGCTTTATTCCTGCACATTGCCAAAACTTTGAAATCGCATCCTGGGGACACAATGGGTCCTGAGGTAGAACCAACGTCAAGCAATTAATAGCCAGGCACTTGAGTGATCTATCTGACTCTGACTGATATTCACCAGCATATGCCACCGTGGGTGGTGCGGCTGGACGGGGGTACCTTCTCCAGCAAAAGCTCTGGGTCAAAGGGTTTCATAACCGAACTAAACCACAGAGATACGTATATACTATACACCAGTAGAGGCTAATTACATATGGAGATATTTGTAAAGGGTGAGCTTTTTTACGCACTTACGTGCCTAGAATAGATAAGAACTAATGTCACCGTGGTCCCAAATCGAGACGCATCGTTGCAGGGCTGTAACTCGAACATACCCAATATGTCCACTGAGGTCTCACTACAGTTGGCGTAAAATAGGCAACACTGCATGGTAACCAGGAGCGAACAGTGAGGCAATCTAACATGGAACTGTAGCAAGTGTTCGACGGGTGAGACGACCACGATGGCATTCAAAGCAGAACTCGACAAGAATACTCTTCACCCTTGTGGACAAATACGCGATTTATTTTCCGTGAATTCCAATCGGATGTGAGACTCTCAAATACATACTCAGTCATCAAATCCAAAGGAAGAAGGGACTCGTTCTTCTTGCGTACGAATGCAATAGGCATCATCATCAAGTTACTTTGACCCTTGATTTCACTCTAGGCATTTTACCTGAGTATGACTGACGTTAAGCTCAAATCATGGTCATAACGAGTATAGCCGTTCAAGTATACCAATGACTCACTGCATTTCGAGGATTACCACATCCAAATGACGACGACGACGACGACGACGACGACGACGACACACGCATGGCACAATGTTGCTGGGGAATAGACTGGAAGGAGCGCTTGGTGGGCCGTCACTGCCTCATACGTTGCCATCTGGAGATGCACCTTCCTCCCATCTGTAAGCTTGCCAGTTCCTCCCCGCAGCCCAATCGATTGACGGACCTCCGCCCTTGGATTTGCACTTCTCCATTCAATCCAAGCTCTGATTTTGTCATACTTCATCCCAAATTACCACCTGTCATCCCAACACCACCAACTTCCAGCAGATTATATCAGATGGCCAAAGTATCCGGGCTATCTGTCACATTCCAGCGAACGTACTCATCTGCACGATCACCACATTATGCCTCCGACGTGATTAAGGGGAGAGGTAAGCGGTCCAGTCGAGACAGATATCCAGTCCTTCCACTGCCGTGCCTAGTTTGTAACAGTACATCGGCCTTTCGCCACGAGGAGATCATCTGCCCACCGCCAATCAACGAGTGGTGGCATATCAGGTCAACTGCCAAGGGCATTGCACAGTCAGCCGTTTTCGACGAACCAACAGACTGGATGAAAGCACAATGTCCAAATCGTCCCGCGTTGATCGGAACAGCTTCGCTAAACATCGATATCATCTGTTCAGCCACTCGAAGTGATATGAACAAGACGTCCTCAACACACCTTGCCTCTCTTCAACACCGGTGGTCAAGCGATTCACCGAAAGCAAACTCTCACGATAGGTCGACTTACAACCATAGCAGACCTGTCGATCGCACCTGGGTTCAGCAGACCGACCACGACGAACTGCTCGAGACGAAGAAAAGCTTGATTCAATCGGGCGTAGCCCAAATAGGGTTTACCGAGGGAACGGTCGACGGTAGCATCCGATCGGAAGGGCGTATGACAGCGAGCCCAAGCTACTGGCTCATTGAAAGTCGACAGTGTGTCACTAGGTATTCCCTATGTAATTGCCGTTGAGTTTCAGTCAGAACCATGCCCTACTTATTGATTTACCGTATCTAGGAAACCTAAGTGTACGGATCTATAGCAATCCATGCGACCATACCATTCCACATATGCTAGGCCAAACACATGACAATTGCCCTTATATCGTGTACGACGCCACCCCATGTGCAATTTCTTACGCAACTGCTCTACTCCATGAGTAGGCACGCTGCATGCAGCCAGAATTGCAGGTTTTGGGATCAAGAATCTCTGATAAGTCTAACATGGCACTCCCTAGGCTTAATAGACAAGCCTGCCGGAGAAACAAACACTACGGGCCAGGGATGGACAAGCTTTCGAGGGAAGCCGGACGGGACGGACCCACCAAAACCGGGCCCAGATCGGCTTTGCCGGGACAGCAGTCGCTGCTATGGATACACGGAGGTGCGGAGTGGCCAACTGAAATGATGCCGGATCGTTGAACGAGTGCCCCGGGCATGTACAGGTACAACAGGCGAAACTCCACCGTGCTGATTGCCTACATGGATGATCAGATCATGTCTGTCCACCACCAGGGACCTCTTTTCCTTGTCTCTAGCACATCCTGCTGTGGAGCTGCAGGGCGTTCGGGAAAGTGACAGGTCAGATTTCCAAATCAGTTCAGAGGAAAGATATGCAAGTCTCAACCCTGTCCCCCAATCATTCCAACCATGGCACTGGAAAATTTAGGGCGGAAAAGGGGAGGGTCAGAAGTCGAGGTAGGGTATGCTTGCTAACACTTGGTGCTGCTAGACTCATCTGGGTCAAGCAATGTAGCCTTTTGCGCCTCTACTCCCCAGCCAGCGCCTATTTTATCACGCTTGAACGGTCAGACACAGGATATACCCGAGATCTGCGTCTTTTCCCGCTACTTGAGTCCCGCCCGCCCGCCGTCCAGAGTGCTGGGCTCGAGGAGCGAGACACCTGCCGTGGCCAAGAAGGGATGGGCTTGCTCGCGCACCCAGGGCTCAAAGACCAAAAGGGACGCATAATATGACATGCCTAGTTCCGGCTGGAGGCGTCCGCTGGTACTTGTTTTATCACCGAAACACTTTCCATCTATGGTCAAAACGAAAGTTGGATTTCTTACTGACACCCAGCAGAAGCAACGCATCTGCTTTACACCAGGCTCTGGCTGCTATGTTTCTCGGTACGAAGGAGAAAGCCTTGCCTCAGCATTGGAACAAGGATAACAACTCAGCCGTGTTTCAATATCTCTCTGCCCTTGCTGGCAACACAAATACCACCACTGCCCACTGTGCCGCGATCTGCAACTTGGTGCTCCGTCCCTCAGGGATCAGAGACAGCGCCATACCGACTCCCTGTTCGACTCCGCCTCAAAGCAAGCCTCGTCGTCTAGCAGCAATCTCGTTGATTGTTCCAGTCAGGTCGCTCCGTGCCTTGGGACAACACTAGCCAAAGGCTGAGCTGTTTCTAAGCTCGCAGATATGTTCGCCTGTCTTTCTTACTATGTATGCTAATAGTTCAATATGTCACTACAGATAACTCAATATGTGCGACCAATAAGCAACAGCGCTAATGCGCACTACCACGGAAGGTCCCAAGCAGCCGGACATCATGGTCCCTCACTCGCCAGAGTCATCAAATGAGACCGAATCAAGAGCTCGTCTCCAAACATTTGACCAGCCTCATGCAAGGTCCTGGTCACTTGTCACATCGCGGCACTATTCTACTCAAAATCGACCTGTATGTTGCTATGTTTCAATCATTTCTAGCTTTCAAGGTTTGTCCCACCAATATGAATATTGATTACCTTGCTTTTCCAGCATGTACGAATATAACTTCGTGTTACAGATTTTTGACGATCAAGACTGGCGGGGATCGCGGGACAATCCGGTCCGTCGGACGACGTCCAGTCCATTTAATTCGCAAGCCTCGATCCGTTTGTCAATCTGTTGCGAGCTGGAGGGGCCTGGTCCCGTCTTGCAGCTGCGAGCAAGTGTGAACAGGCGGAAAGTGGGAGGCCACACTTCAGCCATCAACCTGCATTAGCTTTGTCAAGTTGCAAACGCCCATGCCGCCCATAGTCACACAACGCGTAAGTAGGGAACGGCTGAGCTGGCATGAGAAAAGGAAAACTTGCGATGCCCTGCAGAAAAGGTGTCTTGCAGATGACGCTTCCCGCGCTCACCCACAGGCCACAAACGGGATCCTGGGAATATACGGCTGTCTTGCTGACCCACCGGTTTTGACGAAAGTTCTTGTCTGACAATATTATGATAACAAGCCCGAGCGTGGCAACCTGAGGAAGACAAAACACGCTCACCGACTACCACTGCCTCTCTCGTAACCACTGTCAGGTCTCGATTGCTGCCTGACCGTAGGGCAACGCAAAGAAAGAGATGAGCTTGGAAGCTGGATGGAGAGAGGAGCCGACACATTTCCGTGTAAAGCTAAGATCGGCCTACTTTTCCAGGGTCCTACAAAGCTTCCTAAGTTGCGGAGAAGAGTCAAGTCTCGACTTTGGGCTGATAGGCCCAACCAGATGTTCGATGCGGTCTGGACTTTTGCAGTAGACGCTCTCCATCTTGCGTCACTAGCCTCCTTCTCCAAGGCGGGAGATCGGCGCAGATTAACACAGTCGTCATCTTCAGGCCGACCAGTCACTCTTGTAGGCACATGCACCGCCTATCAAAGCCAGCCCTAGACAGGCCGATTGGGCAGGAATGACTTTTGCGATCAGGTGCCACCCCTCCCCCTCTCTCCCAGACTCCCACGTCTCCTTTCCCTTCATCCCTTCCCCCTCTCCGACGTCTGCCCCGGACTGTTTTCCTCCAATCCATTTGCCCGGGCCTCCGAGCCCGCATTTCTCGCGTGACGGCGGCGGTGGGTCGGTTTGACCGCCGCCCACCCCTCTCCCCCGAAGCTGCGTCGTGGTGTGTGCCCGCCACTTGATCACCTGCATGAGGCTTACAAGGCCATGTTCAAGGGACCTTGCCCGCATATTGCCCAGTATTGTTCTTATCAAATAAGCGTAGGGCAGAAAGATCGACGGTGAGGCGCCGACCGAGGCTAGCGTTTTTTCCAACAACCACAGATGTTTGACGTCCAACAGTCTTCAAACGCCGAGCTGGCCGGCTATTATACCAAGCAAGCAATCAACCATGAAGAGAGGACACAGCTGGCTTGGCTGGGCAGAAAGCTGGGTTACAGTTCCTTCGCTAGTTGCCTTTTTCTTCTTCTTATTCTCTTTGCATATCTCACACCCCGGGCGTATCTTGCATACTTGCACGGCATCTTTGACCGGCATCTGGTGGCATTGCTGTTGCCTTGCCTCGCATTGCGCATCATTGTTTATGCATCATCTGTCTCTTTTGATTGATGGTGACAAGGTACAGACAGGTACGTGCGTACATACATACAGCTGCCGAAGTTACTTCGGGCAGAAGAAGAACAAAAAAAAAAGGTCATACAAAAACCAAAAATAACTGACAAACAGGGAGAAAAGAAGAACCCGAAGAAACGAATAGAAGAAACAAGAACAAGAAAACAAGATATGAACCCCACCACCCAATTTTTTTGCGCAACGACGCAAAGCTCGTGAGAGCATCCAGGCCTGATCTACTACAATACCATAGGTATACATGACTTCTACAACAGGGAAAACAAGAGACATACACACGTACATACGTACAACCAACCCCACCACCAACCCCAACCAGCATCCCACACACACTCACACACACGCAACTCGGATGGCATTTTTTTTTCTTTGATTCCGAGTTCTTTTCCGTCCGTTTTTGTTTCTCATCCCTTCGTTTGCGAGTATCCGGCCTCACTTTTTGAGCGTTGTCTGGTGGGCCATCCGCGCCGCGCATTTCATCGTTCGTCATTCCTCCCGAATTGCTTTCCTGGTACGCCCATCTATGACCGTCCCTCCGTTAAATCCCCATCCCCTTAGGTTTTTCTTTACACCACACACACCCCAACCGCATATAGACAAACACACCCCCTGAGCTTGGGAAAAAAGAAGCCCAAAATCCGCCACCCATATCTCTCTCCCCGTCTCCTTGTATTTCTGTCAACCTAGCTGGGTGTACCACCATCTCCTGTCTGCGATTTGACCTTGGCAGGTTCAGCCTAGCCGAAGCTTGGCCTACAAGCACATGGACAGGGCGCCGGCAAGAGAGCGGAGACATCCTGCAAAGAAAGAAGAAAAAGAAAGCATCGAGAGATGTGTTAATAAAAAAGAGGAAAATAAGAAGAAGAAAAAAAAATAAAGAAAACCACAAATGGTTAGCCCATTGAGGATGCTGACATAGATACCTGATGCCTGCCCAACCACCTGTTGGAATGCGTGAGAATGATGATGAGAGCAGTTATCCTCCCTGAAAAACTCCAAAATCCGCGTAACATCGTGTTAGGCTTCCGTCTCTCGTGACAAGACGTTTCCAAATGCCGAGAATGTACATTGGGGGGGGGAAAGAGAATAAAATGAGGCCGCCCACCAAGAGCCGACCGCCCAGGCGCCACCATGAACGTGCCTACGGGCATCTAGACATTGCCCTGAGATGTTCGTTTCTTGGGATTTGATCTCAGGGCGAAGCAGCCGACTAACCCCAAGTCTTCCTTTATCTGCTCCCTTGATGAGAGCCGGACCCCGTTTGAGCTGCGCCGCCGCCGTTGCCGCTCGACTCTTCGTTTGCCTCGTACTGGTCGAGACAAGCCTCGATGACTAGTAATGGAGCTGTCAGCATTGATGCCTTCCCTCACACAGCGTACAAGGTTGGATCGCGCGGGGCTTACTCTCTATGATCTGCTGCTCCCACACTCCGTATTGGTAGTCGACCAGACCATGTCGTTCAATGCCGTCGCAGAGCCGGACGAGCTCCTTGCCCATTTTTTCCAAGCCTTCTTTGGGGACCAAGGTCTGTGATCGCTGCAGCTGTCTGCCCGGCTCCATCAAATCCTTCTGCATCTGGAATAGTGAGAGCCACGCGTGATTGAAGTCGTTCCAGAGTTTGATTCGGTCTCCATGCAAATTTTGGTCGTCTAGGTTAAGGCCTGTGAATGATCATCTTATTAGTAAACCTGACCCAGACGAACTCGAAACTCCAATCCAAAGCTTGGCGCGAGTAACAGGGAAGAGAGGGAAAAAAAGACCTAACATACCGAGATCGACAACCTGCGTCAGGAGCCAGTTTGACACATCCAGCAGCGACTGGCTGGCGCTCTCGAGGACACCATTGCGGACATTTTGAAAGACACCCCGCAGCGCAGACTGGTATTCCATCCATTTTTCTTCCAGACCGCCCGTGGCAGAATAGTCCTGCTCTTCCATGGAAACGTCGGCACTCGAAGTCTGCTGCGGCATCCCGGCTACGTTAGGAATATTCGCCTGGTAGTTGGTCATCTGTGGCTGTTGATAAGCCGTCGCCGTGGCGCTCGCTGGTTGCGCATGGGGAAGGTTGGAGGTTCCTGTGCTACTACTCGGGTCATTGGAGAAGTACGACGTCGACACGTCTGTCGGCAAGATCGGAGCAGCTGCAGGCTGCCGTTGAAACTGCGCCTGATTATCGTAAACGGAGCCCGTCGCGCCAGTCAAGTTGTCGTATCCCATTGTCATGGCCGCGTTGTATCCACCAAAATTCTGCGCCGGACGGCCGTCCTGGCTATACCCTGAGGGGTAATGCATCGTGTTCGTCGCCATGGGCGCGTTGAAAGAGCCTGCTACCGGCTCTTGGTAATTGTACGTGCTGTAACTACCCGTGCTTCCCATGCCTCGCGCCTGCGAGGGCGAAGTGTTGAGCGGCGCTGGCCGGTTATATCGCTCTGTCGAACCTGTAGCCATGGTGCGGCGCTGCTGCAAAGGGTCTTGTTGCTGTTGCTGTTGTTGTTGTTGCTGTTGTACGTTATATCTTGGGTTGGAGGTGGGATGCATGGGCGCTTCATTCTGCCTCCGACGGCGATTGGGATCATCCATCCCACGAGGGTTTTGGTCGCCGGTCGGCTCCGAGGGCAAGCCTACCGTATGCGCCGGCGGCAACGGAGCTGGCGATGTATACAGTAAGGCCAGTTTGGGCCGTCGGACCGGTCACAAGACCGTCCAATTGTCGTGTTGGAGTCCGTTAAAACGCTATTGCGTTTCTCTCTGTCTTGCCTTGTCTTCCTCCGGGACTAGCGCGTCGAGAATAGCCAGTCGGTGGCGTATGACGAATTTTCTTTGCCGACGACAACGGACGACGCTGGGAGCTGGTTCCTCCAGGTGTATATGCCTCCGCGAAGTAAGACGAGTAGTCGACGTGTCGCGAAGTGAGAATAGGAAGGTCAAGACTCGAACAGGCGGCACCGGCGGGTAGTAACGTCGCGAGTCTAATAATTTGCGAGGTAAGGTCGGTGCCGATGGAATGCAAAATGTCAAAAGAGACAAAGGTAAGGAAGCGTTGACTTGGACCTGGGGGTCGGAGAGCCTGATGTGTGATGCCGATGTAGGGTCTGTCTGATGTCGAGCCGGGCAGAGGGCAGCACGGGATGGGCTGGCAGGTTCCTCGGGCGGCGGGTAATAGAAGTGGCTTTTATGAATTGAATTGGGAGGGAAGACGGCGGATAGAGTAGAGGATGGGGAGAACAAGGAAGTTAACTGTTCAGACTTGCTTGTCGCGACCAGCTCGGCGAAGCTAGCGCCGGTCTACTTCATGCCCTGACGCCTGAAGGTTCGGGAAGACTAGACGAAGACTGGCGACGAGTCGTTGGTGTCTTGTGAGTCGTCAGAGAAGTTTAGATTTTGGTAAACAAAAAGCCAGCGAATGGGGTGGATATCGCGCTGAGTTGTCAAACTGGTGTCAGGTTTGATACCAGGAAGATCCCAGATGGCGCATGCACCACGATGTCCAACATTACAAGCCGGTCCCTGCGCGATCTGCTTGGGCAATGAAGCCGCACCAGGGTCTCAGCGACCACCGAGTCGGCTTGACGCAAGATGCGATTCGTCAGAGCAAGAGCAAGCGTCGGGCGGACCGATCTGGTCTTGAGATGAGGTCGGTGACCCGAGGCTTGAGCCTTGAGCCTTGAGAGGCTGTGCGGCCGTGTGCTGGGTTGGGGATATGGGGCTTGTGGTGAGGCTCGTGATGTGGATGGACCAAGACCGAGGACCACTTTTGCTGCTCGTAGCTTAGTGCTGCGAGGCTAGACGCGAGTCTATGTAGCCTTGGAGAGGGGAAGGGGGTTCTGCTTTTGCCTGACAGGGAAGAACTGGGTAAGCTTGTGACGATGAGAGAGATGTTATGGGGCGGGTTCGGGGTGTTGGTGTGGAGGAAGATGTGAACGGTAGTCTCGGGGTTGGTCTTATAACATGGGAGGGATGCAGATATGGGTCGATGCTGGCAGAATCAGAATTAAAGGAAGGGTGTTAGTAGGGAGTGAGGGGAGAAAAAAAAGTAATAAGAGGGCAGATGAAAAAAAAGCAACGATAATCCAAAGAGACCTGGACTAAAATGGGGGTAACTAGGTACGTGGGTGTGAGTGAGTGAGTGACATTGATACTTGGAAATAAGTGTGAGTGTGTGCGACTGAGAGTAAGGCCCAGGAACTTAAGGTGAGGCGGGAAGACAAGCAGCTGCTGCCAGAGTGTGAGAGAAAAAAGAGACAAGCAAGCACTTGCCTTCTAATCCAAAGGGGAACAGACCAATGATGGAAGCCAGGAAGACCAAGCCCAAGGAAGTCTGTGCCGGGAGGAGGGGACGGATGAGACTAAAAAAGAAGACCCGAAGCCAGTGGCAGAGACAATGGCGAGCGAGAGGGGCCCAACAAGTACCACTACCGGACGGTTGATTGTAGTGTAATGCAGAGCAAAAGAGTAATGAACCCGGCAGACAGCGCCGTGGTCGAGGAAGTATCCGTTCCGTGGAGTAAGGTAGGGCAGATTCAATCCAAGTGCGGCTAGATGGCCCCAAAGAGAAACAAGCTGGACCTCGTACCGCGCCAGAAAGACCCAGATGTAATCTAAAAGTGGTTTTACCTCCAAAAAAAAAAAAAGGAAAAAAAAAGGAAGAGGCCGAACTGGCTCAATGCCTGCTGATAAGTTCGTCTTCTCCAAAGGATTGCCCCGGTCCAATGCGCGTGGCAGCCAGCAAGAGGATTGCGGCCAAAAGAGTCAAAGTGCGGCACCGGCAGAGTGAAGTAGCGGCCGCAGCGGAAAGGGTTCGACTGCAGCGGAATGGAGCTGCGAGATGGAGCTTTGAATCCGAATAAGGTACCGGATATGGATGTTGGACGACGTCGAGAACCTCAAGCTGGATCTGGAGTTGGGGAGATGAGGTTGAAGCTGACACCCGGCCGAACGAGGCACGTTATGCAGCGATCTGCAAGGCAATGTCTAAAGATGGGGGTTCCCTGGTTGGCAACCGGCTGTTTGGTAAAGAAGGCGTAGTAGACAAGAATGGACGAGATGCAGGCGACAGATGATTGATGGGTGTGGACATTGACGTGGGTGTGAGAGACTGAGTGTGAGTGGGCGATCGAGTGTCTCTCTTGTAATGGAGGGTGGGCTTGTGCTTGTGTTGGCGTCGACGATGGATGGAGGCAGGATACCTAGGCGGATGGCAAGGGGGTGTGAGATACGACGACTTGGGTGAGGTAGTTGTATCTGATGTATCTTCCCTTCCGATTGTCGCTGAGCCAGAGGGCAAGGGAAGGAGATGAACGACTTCAGAGAAAGGCGAGTAAGACTTGAATTGGCCGAGTAAGTCGGAAGACAAGTCGCCGCGGCCGCACTGCGTCTTGTAATAATTTACGAATATCCCGAGTAAGAACGACGAGACAAGGTGTTTGGAGAGAGGTAGACAGAGAGAGAAGAGACCGAAGGTGTGTGCGCGTATGTGTGTGTGTGTGTGTGTGTAAGAGAAAGACAGAAGAGTCAAAGGTGGTAAGAATGGAGAGGCTTATGCAGCAGAGCCAAAGCCAAGTTGCTCACACCCCATAACCGGGGCTAGTTTGCGAGCACAGAGTCAGGTCTTGTCAGGTGCCCTGCGCTGGGTTCGCCTTCAGGACGCTGGAATGTAGAAGCGCAGAGGAGCTTTGGATTTGGGATGGTATTGTTGGCGAGAGTTGGACGGTATGAGGTGGTAGTGTGGATGACCGCAGGGGTAAGTAAAGGTCGATGGGAAGGTAGGGTGTGAGTCGAATGGAAAGAGATAATACCTACACGGTTGCTGATTGAAGTGACGATATACCGAGAAACGCGGCAACCGGGCGGTTCTCTCTTTTCACCAACTCGGGTTCTAAGGGGAACGGAGTATGGAGAGAGCGATGATATGGCTCAGGAGAGTGTCTCGAGAGGACAGACGGACAGACAGATGAGAGAGATGGGATGAGATGGGATGAATGAGATGGAAGCAAAGCAGCCGGCCCAGCCAGGGAAAGACTGCAATGGGGGTGTGCTGAGCTTGCTTGTTGGTCCCCTTTCCATTCTTCCCACCCCTTCGTTTTCTCTCGTCTGTTTCGCGGCAGTGATGGGGTTGCTCAAAGCACGCCCTTCCATTCTCTTTCACACCCCATCGGGAGCAGACATACGGTACTCTAGGTATTTCTTTCACCTCATGTCAGTTCGTATCGCCTCGTCGTCACTGGTTTGCTGTACCTCGTTTTCAAGTCATGTCTCCCACTCTACGTGATCGGGCATCGAACCTCGAGAGAGTCCTGGCATGGCTGGATGCCACTGTCCCTTTCATTCTGCAATTCTGCTTTGGAAAACTTTGGCCTCGGTGTCTGGAAAAGTCAATGTGTCCGCCCACACTGTGACCCGTTTCGTTTCGATTTTCTGCTCAATGTCGGGCGGGTCTGAGCAGTTGGGGTCATCAACATGACTTAATCCATCGTCTCCTCCCCTCAATAATATCATCTACGATTTGAGTTCCTCCGATCGGGGCCGCAGGCATTCGGGTTGCGGATGAAGCTGAGACAAGAATATGGCTGACTGAATGAATGAATGGAGAGGACGATTCAGAGACCCTGTCCTGCTCTACTGCTTTCCCCCTCGGTGCGATGCCAATGACGAGCCCCCTGGACGATGAGCTGGAGGGATCGTAAAAGTTAAAAAAGTCTGTGAGCACCCAGATGGCTGGATTTGGGGGCGTTGTTTATTACCTCTCTGAGACAAGCCCAGTGACCCTTGTTTGTGCTCCTTCGCCTCCCCTGGCTGGTAGCTAGGGGGATGCGCACTCCAGCTAGGTGTTCTCCCACACAATTGCTTGCATTTCTCTTGTGAAGCACTTTTACCCTCTTCTTTCCCCGGCACATTGTTTTCCGCCGAAAGGCCAGGTCAGTGGTCACTAGGGCCCAGTTGGAGCCATCAAGCATGGCTTCGATTGCTTCTGTCGGTCTAGAGCTTCAGACCCCAGATAGAAAGCCCTTCAATGGTGAGGCGAGGCGATACACTGCCGATGCCGAATGACGTACATACATCGTCGTAGACACCCACTTCAGTTTATGGCGGAGCAACAGATTGATCGTCAGCTTCGGAGCGAGGAAGGAAAAAGAGGAAAGACTAGGGAAAGCATGACAAAGCCGTCGAACCTCTCACACTTCAGATGCTCGAGACAACGATAAACCATGCTGCAAGTGTCTCTCGCCCTGGTTGGCACGCTGGCAACCTCATCGACTGAGGATTCGGAGCTTGAGGCATATCGTTATGCGAATGGGGTAACCGTTAGCCGGTACAGAGTAGCTGGCCAAGCCCCAACTTAACTCGATACTTGAATCGTGCAGCGACTGCATCCCTACTAAGGAACTCGACTCATTGTGGCCGCCAATTTCAGCCAATAGCCAAGCCCCCCGGCCACTGGACTTCGAGACGCTTGTTTGGCCTTGGCCTCTGATAATATGCGTCAAACCGGTCTCTCGTCTTGGACAACGAACGCTAAGCTCACAATTGAAGCCTGATTAATCAGGTTTCCGAGCCACCATCGAGGTCAGCAGCAACAACTGGTTTGTTGCGATTCAGTCGAACTTGGGGGGGAGATACTGATGTGCAACAAAGCAACTCGAGCCGTCTCGGATTGGGGGGATGCACTGCACGGTGACAGCAGATTTGGTGCGATGAGGGGGAAAAATCCCAGATGGAAAATGGCCCGAGTCGGCCCCCAAGAAAAATTGGGCTAAAAGGAAATCGGTGGAGCAATTGGCAAGTCAAGACCACACAGGAAGAGACTTCCGTTCCCGCGAGTCTTCCATTGATAGAGTATTCGAAGCCAATGGAAGGCGAGCAATGAGAACGACAGGCTACCATTTGGAATATTGGAAAGGGGGCCAGCCAAGTTGGCACACAAGGACTCGAAACCCCCTTTTGCTGACGAGTGCGAGAAGAATCGAATGGTATTGATAACCTAACCAGACCAGACCAGGTTCGGCAACTTGGTGAGACTCGGCGATGCCCAATGGGTGCGGTGATTGAAGCCTCACTTTTGATTTCCCGGTCTTGGAGGGACGTTTCCTTCATTGCATCCGAGCATTCTTTCAAGAGACGGAATAGAAAGCGGCACGGACGTTGACACTTTCATTCGAGAAGAGTACTATGCAAACGGGCCTTCGAGCGCCTGATGAATGTGCATGCCTGTGCAATTCCAGGTCAATCGCAGCCTTCTTTCTAGGAGCAGTACTTTGCATGCAGTGCAGGTGAAAAGAGACGGAGATATTCGAACTGTAGGTAGAGGTACCTTGGTGGTCGTGAAGTGAACACGCGTTAGCCTTGATGGAAGATAAGAACCATGAACCTTGCGTGAAAGTTGAGCCTGCCAAGGGGTCATATGGGTGAGCGCCGGAAAGGACTAGATGGGGAGCAACTTAGCAAGTGAAGTCGAAGAGGTCGAAGCTAGACCCCGGTCATACAGCCAGGGTTGCAAACCAGGGCTCTGTGGGTTCCTGAACGAGTGCCGGTGCCTTGCTTGAGTGGTTCGGAGTGTACGGAACGCGGCAATGTACCTGTACATGGTGGATATGGCTGCTCTGACTGCAGCTGCAGGGTTAGAAGTCGTTCCCCCCCTCTCCGACCCCCTCCCCTCCTCTCTCACTCGGGGCCCTTTTGAGGAGGAGCCCTAGCGATCCAGGGATCGTGCCTGAATGTAACATTTCGCACATGGACGGGCAGGCCTGTGAATGGCTACCACTGCTCTATTGCGAATGTTGCAGAGGTCGAGAAGGTGGGGTTCGCCTGGCAGCACGATGCAGCATCTGGCTGGACGATGACTTCGGTTGGTCTCGTGTGGAACTCAGCCTGGAGAGGTGGTGTGAAAGCTTCTCAAGTGCTTGCTTCAGGAACATGAGCAGATCCCAACAAGCCTCGCTTGGTACTTGGCTTTCGGCAAACGAGGAGAGGTAGGAGGTGATGAGCACCTGCATTCGGCGTGTGTCCTCTGTCATTTGAGATTGCATTAGTCGGAACGCTCCCTGGACAAGGAAAAAAGACCAGACCTTGCCCTGCCACCAAGTTCAGTTCTTCCCGGTAAGGTTCTGTGCCTCCCCTTGGCGAGGCATGATGTGTCTGTAGTTGCATTGTTCATGGGGTCGTTTGTCGAGCCTGGGTGTGTGGCAGTGGTGGATGTACCCGTACGGAGACCTTGAATGAGAACATGCTTTTCATCAAGTCGCAGTGCAGGCTACGGATACGCAGTTGCCAGAACCTCAGTATGATGCTGCCCCTCAAGGCTCGGCGCGGATGAGGTGAGGTGTACTGTGTATTCGCAGGCATGGAGTGCGCGCGGTTCGGACGTAGTTTGACCCGGACGTATTCGCGTTGCTTCCGCGGCGTCAAGACGCAGGGGATCGAAATTGTGGTCTGGGGCTTATGCTCACAGGCGTTGTGAGATGCCGCGATGTGGTGGGCCTCACATCTCCGGTGAAAAACATTGCGGTTCCGCTGCGGACATGCTTACACTGCCAATGCCGTGCGTGAGCCTGCATTTCGGGGGTTAGGATCCACATTTCGACGAGATTTCATCACGACGGCTCTGATCCAGCGTAATGAGATGTGAGAAAAGACGTCCGAGTGTCAAGGTCGCTTCAACGCTTGTATCCGTACCCGTAGCATCGTACCTCTACGATATGGAAATTGGCTTGCAAATGACGGTCGTCGTAGTGTATCTGACAGAACTGAGCTTCGCGCCTCTTGTCCCTTCCATTTGGGACAATGCCTTGCGGTGTTGTATGGGACGTACCTAGGTACAGAATACGTATACCGTATACCTACTGTTGACGCCTTACGGGCCTCAAAACACCCTACCGACTGAGGCAGGAAGTTTGAACGACGAGGGAGCTATTTCGGCAAAGAACATCTCAGCGCACCTTCCACACTTCACCCCATCCATGGCATCTACAGACTTAATACGAATACCTTACCTTACCTCACCTCAGGTAAGGTACCCGAGGTTGGCAGGTAAGGCAGTAAGTATATCGGTATTTCCTACCTTATCACCCGATCACACCATATACAATGTGCAATAGAAGGCTCCTATCCGCCGCGCTTGCACTTGACTTCATCTTTGCTTCCACGTCTAATGTACACTCGACTTAAGGTAGAGAGATGGGAGGAGGCGAACAAGACGAGCAAGATATCCGGATCAAGTGCCGTCGGGTATACGAATAGGCACATATCACACGATTCACACCTGTGACCTAAGTAAGGTAGGCACGGAGTAATAGCTTTAGTTCAAACCCTCGGGTGCCCGATATGTCTAGCGGCCCACGGCTTTCCTGCTCTTCTCCAAAGTCAAACGCTGCGTCCGGCTAATGCATTCTAAGTGCCACTGTGGGACTGGGGCGGAGTTTCTCCAACACGATTAATTTTCCATCCGTGTCGTTACCAGTTGGAGTCTTTCTCTTGACATCCGAACACCGTCCCTCTCCAGACTTCAGAGTCCATTGTCCACTCAGTTTGCCGCCCACCCAGCCGTCTGCTCCACCACACCACACCGGAATAAACGCTACACCAACACCTTCACACGCCGGCACTTTCGATACTACCTACATCGTGTCTCCGTCCCGACCTTACTCGGTGTCTGTCCTTCTCCATGCCCCAACTACCTTGCCTTACGCTAGTACTTACTACAGATGCAAGAATCAAGGCCAAGACGACAGACCTTGGACCAGATAAAGCACGTGTGGTTACAGCGTTGAGTGCCAATCAAGCGCTTGCCCACACGCCTTGGGCAGCATGAACTCAATTGCCCAACCAGACTTCCCACGCTGGGACGCTCCCGCCCACTTCTGAGTCCTCTTCCAGTCGGGTTGATTGCATTCCCAACCTACCTAGCTCAACGGGGGACCAACTGCCTGCATCCAAGGCTTCTCAAGACTCGAGGCACGGCTTACGGCTACCTTACCGCAGCAACTTAAACTCCGGATGCAAGGCACCATGGCACCGCGCTGGAGTCTGGACAGGCAAAGCCTGCGTAAAGCGCGCTAAGAACCTTCAGAACCGCGCTTATACCATCTGCGTTTGCGGCATCGCCTCGAGGTGAGGTTGGCTAACGTGGGGAGTCTCCATCGATTCTCTCGACGCCTTACTTAAGACGACGTAGCAGACGGTTCGAACAAAGCACCGTCACCTGCTTTTCAGCCGGCGTCGTCCCTTCAAAGCTCCGACTCGTCGGCCGAGGCTTGCCGAATACCGTCGGTCTGTAATACAACTTTGACCTGCGAATTTCCAACCAGATAGGTAACTGAAGGCCCGAACCAGCGGAGATGGGCGTCGCGCCACGGACACTGACCGCCAACGGTTGAGCTAGAGGCGCCCAATCGCCGTCTTGGCTCTAGTAAGACCACGTTTCTTTCGATCTACGCATACACCCTGAAGCATTCCAAGGTGCTAGCCACCTTCGACTGTGGTGTGGCGCGCGCGCGCGCGTGTGTGTGTGTGCACCTCACCCCTCCTTCAAGGCTCCAACACTTTCTTCCTCGGCATGGTCTGGCCCGTCACGCAGCCGTTGGATGTTCTTGGGGCGATCTCAGCCTCACACAAGGCGACTACCGGCGATCATCTCAACCGACGCCTGGTTGATCCCCGGAGCTCGCCATGAGATGATGCTCGCTCGCCAAAAGAAAGTCAGCCCGCAGAGAGATCCTTCCTCAACCTCTGTCCGATCTTCCATCCACTTAAGCACATGGCCTCAGAAGAGAATGTAACGTCGGAGGGTGCCAGGAGCGCACGTTGGCAGCTCAAGCTCAATAGCCTCGTTATCGCATCACCTAGCATTGTTCCGATCTTGTCTCCCTCCCTAAACCATTAACCACTACCCACCACCCCATCTCGTCGTCTTAAGCTGCCATCACCGCCTCTGCCGCTACCGTTGTTCCGCCTCGCCCGTTGTTCGATTGGTTCAGAGTCTTTGCCGTCCCCTCCTTGCATCGGAATACACGGTACGCCCCATCCTCTCTCACGTTCTTGTCCAACCAATACGCGGCAATAGCAGCGGCTGGCTCATCTCAGGCGCCGCCTTGCCTGATGCGGCGAAACCAGCCGAGTCGTGCTGTCCACCATCTCCAGCTTCACCCTCTGATTAAACCCATCACCGGAAGAACAAAGCCGTCACCGAAAACGGCCACCAAAGGGTGAAACCAGCTCCACGAACCTTCGATTTACTCGTTCCATGCTTCTAGAAACCTTCGGAGGACAGGACAGGCTTGAACGTCTGTGCTCTCGCTGTCGTCTCCTTTTAGGGGTTACCTTGTGTGGGAAATTGAAACAAGGCCCTCGGCGGACGCACTTCTGCAACGTTGGCAATAGGGGCGCCGTCACTAGCCTTGACGCCAGAGATGTCAACGCGCTTGCTCACGGACCCCTCTAATAACGTCCACAACTTCAACCCGCCCGCAGCTTTACACAGGTGCCAGCTTGTGGTCTATGATTCTGGCCTGATAATGACACACGGGGGCTACCTTCATTCTCTCTCAGACCCGGTTTCAATGCGCGCCGAAAATTCTTTCACGGCAGCTCCGTAAGGTATACGTACAATCGTTGAAAGTGGTCATTGCACGCGCTAGTTAAATGAACGTATCAGCCAAAAGACATCTGTGTCGCGACGATACTTTGCTATCGCTGCGGTCAATGACGGCAGGACAGACAAGAGCGTGACTGAGATTCTCGTTTCCGAATGTCGATCGTGAGCATTGCGACACTAGTTTCCAGATCCTGGCACTGAATCATCATCTCATCATTGAACTGGTAGGGAGGGTCTCTGCCTCTTGCGTTGCCTTACGGTGTAAGGTCTTGTGTCCCTCGGGTGCAGTTAGGATAAGGACAACTGGAATCGAAGACACCACGTTGCTTCTCCGCGCACTGCATGGGCCAGGTATGAAGCAATGGGAGCAAGAGCGTTGACGCTAAATCGACCGCTTTCTGTCAATCCGTCCGACTACTGCGTCGCCGGACATGATTCCTCATCTCCAAACACCTGCAAGTCGCTTTCCAGCTGTCAACTTGAGCGCAGTCGGTAGTACCGCTGGCAGACTTGTCCTAAGCTCCAAGTCCTCTGGATCAGTGCTAGTACTGGGTGACTGCAAGCTGTGCCGACTATATAGACTGGAGTCGGCCGTAGTCTAGCTGTGTCGTTGCTTTTCGTAAGTTGCGATCACATATTAATTCCCCTTGATAGGAAATGTCGCCCACCAATACGGGACATCAGGCAAGTATACACCATAGGCTGGCATTGTAAGAGCTGCCTCTGTTCTATGAATACATGGAGGTGGTGGTACAACGAAAAGATGGAAAGTATGCCTGGCAATGTCATCATGAACGCCACAGATCGAACGAGACTTCTATCTCTTAACCCAGGCGGGCATCTTTCTGGCCTTGACATGACCATGTTTCTTTCTCTCGACTTGTCTAGGATCACGGGTAATGCAGCCAGCTGTAGAGTCGTACTTGTCAGCAACAGGTCGAAAGTCCCTCTCCAATGGTGAAGTTGACTTACCCTTTCTTAGTATCGGCTTGAGAGCTGGTTCGTGGACCAAGACGGCCTTAGCAATTGCCAATGTAAGAGCCTCGGCCTGCCCGGTCACACCGCCGCCTTCGACCAGTGCCCATACGTTGTACTTGTCTGTTCTCGAAGTGCTTCGGAGCGCCCAGATGGCGCTCTCACGATCATGAACTCTGCCAAACGCCTCATTCAGAGGTTTGCCGTTGACCAGCATCTCTCCAGTGCCCTCCACAACCCATGCGCGAGCGCTCGATGTCTTCCTGCGGCCGACGCCTAAAGCGCGTCCAAACCTGTCGAGAGGCACAACCTTGGCTGTGTTCTTGTACGGGTCGATGTCGCGCTTGAATTCCTGTAGGGCTTCCCTGACTTCGCTGGGCATCAGCCCGGGGTGGATCTGGTGCAGTCGCTTGACCATGCTAAGAACCTGACTGAACGGCATCGCCTTGACCGGCTCTCCGGTAGCCTGTCTGTAACCCTTCAAATTTCTCCATATTTGTCGTGGGACCAATTCCGGGGGCGCCAGAGGAAGATGCTGATATCTCTGCACAAGAGTAGAAAGTTGGATGTAGGCGTCGTTGAAGCGAGGCTCTCTGGAGAAGTAGGACGGCGAGATGGGTAGTGGACGAGCCTTTGTGACGCCGGAGAAGGGCTTTTCGGGAGGCAACACTAGGTTCGAGTCGATTTTGGGTTCGTCCTTTTCAGGTTGAGGTTCGCTCGTGGTCGACATGCTCTTGGAGCTCGACTGCAGGCTCGATCGTTGCCATTGAGCCTTTACCGAATGACCCTTTGCCAGTTGGCGCAAGCAGAGAGTCTGCTGAAGGCCATGGCGTAAGTTCGACATTGTTGTGGGACCTCGAGCAGCGCCCTCGTTGATGCGGTTGCTGTCGCGATATTGTGAGCTGGAGACTGCCTCGAACGTCAATTGACAACAGAAATCTTTCCTAGCTTCGTAGCTGGGCTGCGGCAGAACATCGGATGATGCCAGGGTCACGTGATGTGGCATCAGCGCCACAGACGCTTGGACCCTCTCTTGCCGCACTTTACCCCTCACACGCCACAGCTGGTTGCCCTGGCGTTCGAGCTGCCGTCGGTCGAGCGAGGGGCTTTCGGGTGGCGGGGCACTGCGGTCGAAATTTCATTCAAAAAAATTACTGTCACCCTGGCGGGGAACCCGAACTTTTCTCTCCTCTCTCTTGTCCATCACATCACGCACCCTTTGATACCCTCCCACTCCCTCTCGGTCAAACAACTGATTCAAGATGGCATTCGGAAAGCTCTTCACCTACCCGGTAAGAAAACAACACTGCCACTGCAATTACTTTTCAACTTCCAGATCTCGAAGAATCTTGTAGCTAACGAAGATCGTCACCCCTGCAGGCTAACCCCCGCACCACGGCCATTCGCGCTGTCGCGAAGGCCAACAACGTCGACCTCGAGTTCATCGAGGCTGACCCTACCAAGCCCTCCGTTGAGCACCTCAAGGCCAACAAGCTCGGCAAGGTCCCCGCCTTCCTCGGCGAGGATGGCTACCCTCTCTCCGAGTGCATCGCCATTGCCATCTACAGTACGTTCTGAGTCATCCTTTACCGGCGTCGCTTTCCGAAAGCCCGCGTATACACAAAACCACCATCCACAATTCGCGATATGATGAAGAAGCTTTTGCAATACAGTTATCCCTGTCTGAATTTCTTTGTTGACATAGTCTAAATTTCTGATCCTGCCATTGACACCGTTTACGTCGTTTGAACAATATCTCGGGGAGCAGTAGCTAACGAGATCCCATAGTCACCTCCCAGAACGAGAAGACCACCCTCCTCGGAAAGACCAAGCAGGAGTAAGTCCACAAAGAGCTCAGCTTATATCGAGCTGTGAAGCACGAAGCTAACAATATCTCGCATAGCTACGCCTCCATTCTCAAGTGGATGTCCTTCGTGAACTCCGAGGTCCTCCCCCCCATGGGCGCCTGGTACCGCCCTCTCCTTGGCAAGGACTCCTACAACAAGAAGGCCGTTGAGGACTCCTCCAAGGTCGCTCTCAAGGCCGTCAAGGTCATTGAGGAGCACCTTCTCAGCAACACCTACCTCGTTGGCGAGCGCATCACTCTCGCTGACCTCTTCGCCGCCGGCATTATTGCCCGTGGCTTCGAGTTCTTCTTCGACAAGGCGTGGCGCGCGGAGAACCCCAACGTCACCCGTTGGTACTCTACCATCATCAACCAGGATATCTGGACCGCCGTTACCGAGAAGCAGGAGTTCCTCGAGACTCCCAAGCTGACCAACGTCGCTCCCAAGAAGCCTGAGCAGCCCAAGAAGGAGGCTGCCCCCAAGGCCGCTAAGCCTGCCCCCGCTCCCGCTGCCGAGGAGGCTCCCGCCGCCCCTAAGCCCAAGCACCCCCTCGCTGAGCTCCCCCGCGCCACCTTCGACCTCGAGGAGTGGAAGCGCCAGTACTCTAACATCAAGAACCACGATGAGGCCATGCAGTGGTTCTGGGACAACGTCAACCTCGAGGAGTTCTCTCTCTGGAAGGTCAAGTACAAGTACAACGACGAGCTCACCATGACCTTCATGTCCAACAACCTCATTGGCGGCTTCAACAACCGTCTTGAGGGTTCCCGCAAGTTCATCTTCGGATGCGCTGCCGTCTACGGCACCAACAACGACTCCGTCATCGAGGGTGCCTTCGTCATCCGCGGCCAGGACTACAAGCCCGCTTTCGATGTCGCTCCCGACTACGAGAGCTACGAGTTCGAGAAGCTCGATGCTTCCGCCCCCGAGACCAAGAAGTTCGTCTCGGACTCTTGGGGATGGGAGGCTCCCATCACCCACAACGGCAAGGAGTACCCCGTTGCCGACGGCAAGGTCTTCAAATAAGCGCATCGCTCAATGGAGTGATCCAAAATTCATGGCTTATGGCAGAGATGAAATGAGTTTACGAATCGGCAAGGAGGGTGTGCAGATGATGTTATGGACCCGAAGAGGAATATCCTGTGCGTAATGCCCGAGGCTGTGTGCCAAGTTACTAGGTCTGAGTCACTAGGACGAGGCAGAAGATGCAGGTTGTTCCTGATCAAAACCAAAAGAACACTTTTCCAATTTCACTACAAGGCTCCACGTGCACATCATTGAATTGGATATGATGCTTCCATAAGCTCATGCTAAGGGGTATCTCGATGCTACCAAGTCTATCTCTATGTCCTGTGCCTTTTTCTCCAACCTAGCGTATGTCCAGGGTTTCCCAAAGACTGTCTCCTCATCCGTCTCCTACGCTGAGCCCTGCGCATTACCCTCCTGCTGCGCCTCCAGCCTGTATTCTTCGTTCAGCCGGAATGGGTTGGTGCGCATATACGTGCTGATATCAGACTGGTAACAGAGCTGGTTGAGGTAATCGTGGACCTGCGGCACCACGTAGCCCGGCTCGCTGGCGTCGCCAAAGAACTCTGGGATCCGCAGCAAGTTGAACGGCTCGCTCCGCGCCTTCTCGAGCGAGTCGTCCACGAGAACGGTGTTGGTTTGGTCCCACCGGCCGCCGTACGCGGCGTCCGGATGCGCCCGCTGCACGTTGGCCTGGGCCCAGACCATCTCCAGGCGCTTGTAGACCTGCACGCGGAGCTTGAAGTCGGACTCGGATAGGCCGAACTTGTCGCGGCCCCAGACGGCCAGCACGCGGCGGCGGTACGAGGCCCTGTCTTCCTGGCTGTCGGCGGCGCCGAGGCCGCCCTTGAGGAGGAGCTGATCGCACATGGACTGGACATTTTTCGGCTGGGCCGAGGACCAGACGACGACGTGGAAGGTGTCGAGGCAGTATTGCAGGAAGCGCTTCGCGTGGGGCCGCTCGACGAAGCTTGCGGCGTTGCGACGATTGGGTCGGAAGAGGAGTGTGCCGTTGAGGTCCATTACGACGAGGATCGGTCGAGGGGTGGGGACGAGGGTCGGCGGGAGGGAGGCTTGCTGAAGGTATTGCGGCGTGGGGTTCGGGACGCCGCCTGATGCGGCGCTGGGGGGTATGATCTTATCACGGTTGTGCGGCGCCGCGGCACTGTTGGGAACGAGCATGTTAGTCTTCGCGACGGCCACGGAGAGCAGTGGACCGCAAAGAGGGGGGATGGAAAGGGGAACGAGACTTACGCTTTGCGAGGTCCATTTGGGGTTGTGAATTGGTCTCCGGCGGCCGATTGCTCGGGAAGAGGGACTGCGGATTTTGAGGCGAAGGGGATGTTGGCGGCGTTGCCGAGGCCCGGTATCGTGAAGCCGTTACTGCTCGGCTGCTGGTTCGATGGGGTGGCCATGGCCGGGGCGGGCTTGGCCCACCATTGTAGGTCGGACATGCCTTTCTGTTGGGTGTAGACGAGCCTTGAATTGCGCGGGGAAGAGGCGGAAAAGGGAAGGTAAGGTTCGTTATCAGATTCGGGGAGTGTGTCTTTCCGAGAGAGGTCGCGGGGTGGGCGACCTGGACGCTTGCGCACGACGGTTTGGTAGAAGCAGCGTTGGTGGATCTGTTGCGATCTTGCGAAGATCCGGGGAAGAGAGGATTGCATGGATGGATGGGCCAGGTTATGAATCGGAAGGCGACGTCAATTGAGCCGAATGTGCAGAATAATTAGTCTGGTTGCTTCCGTAGCGAGTGGGCGTAAGTCGAATATACTAGGTATTCCAAGCGTATTCAGGGTCTTGTTTGTGTTGATGCGATTAGTGGAGAGGAATTTGTCCTTACTGGAACATCGCATTGAAAGGAACTTTGTGAGGCAGGTGTTATCGATAAGGCAGACAGACGTAGTTCTTATCGATACGAGGTCGTCGGTCACTCAGACCCACTGAAAAGTTGCTTCGAGGCGGGCGAGCCTCCCCCATGTGAGTTCTGCACATTTACCTTACAACCGAACCATACAGTGTACCTCTCACCTTCACAAAATCAGCGAAAATTAACACAAGATGCTGTCCGGAAAGAGGAAGCAAGATTTTTCGGGCCTTCAGCGCCGCGTGAAGCCTCGTAGAGAAGCGGAGCCTGAAGTCGACGAGCAGGTCAGCAGTGAGCCTGAGGAGATGGGAATTGATGGAGATGAGATGAGTGAGGACGAAGATGACCAGGATATGGAAGAAGATGAAGAAGACGAAGAGGTATTTACCCCAAATTATAGGAACGCTGTATTCGTTACTAACAGCCCAAAGTCCAATGCCTCACCACCGCCAAAGAAGTCCAACATCGACATCTCATCAGTGTCCTTTGGTGCCCTCGCAAAAGCCCAGGCCTCCATGCCCGCATCCAAACGTCGCAAGCGCGGCGCATCACCCTCAGAAGACGAAGACTCCGACTCAGGTCCCGAGGAGATTGGCAGGAAATCAAAGCACGGCGCCGACCACGTCAAGCGCTCAAGCAAGCACGCCCCGATGGAGCAGTCAAGCAAGAAGCCCGTCTCCCGCCGTCGCGAGATCATCGCCGTGCCCAAGATGGAGGTGCGCGACCCGCGCTTCGACCCGATGAGCGGGCCCGTCGACGAGGGTAAGGCGCGGAGGGCGTACGCCTTTTTGGACGACTACCGGAAGGACGAGATGAAGCAACTGCGGGCCGAGATCAAGAAGACCAAGGACGCGGACAAGAAGGAGGAGATGAAGAAGGTGCTGCTGTCAATGGAGAGCAAGATGAAGGCGCGGGAGCGCAAGCAGCGCGCGGACGACGTAATTCAGGAGCACAAGCGCAAGGAGAAGGAGCTCGTCAAGGAGGGCAAGCAGCCGTTCTATCTCAAGAAGTCGGAGCAGAAGAAGAGGTTCCTGATGGACCAGTTCGCAGGCATGAAGAAGAAGCAGGTTGACCGCACGATTGAGCGGAAGAGGAAGAAGGTTGTCGGAAGGGAGAGGAAGGAGCTTGATAAGATGCAGAGGAGACCTAGGGAATGAGCGGATGCCACCAGCGTGCTTTGATTCGGCATCTTAACCACAGAATGCATTACGGAAGGCCTTTAATTTTGTCTATAGTCCTCCCTGTATGGTGTGTCTACTACACATTGATCGTACAGTTATGATACAAAATTTTACAAAGTGGATTGAGGGTAATTCTTCGTATGCCCCTTTTAAGCATTGTACCCGTTCTTCTTTAGGCTCTCCTCAAACATCTCGCGGCATCTAACTTTGCTACCGAGCTTCGCGCAAAGCAAGAACGCACCACTCAGCTTGCGGTGCAGACTATAAGTCTCCTCGGGCGGCGGCGCAAGTCTCTCGCGGAGCATAACGGGGATAAGAGCCTTGACGCGCTCTGTGATGGTCTGGTCTTGGAAATCGTAGACTTCGGGTGCGGAGCCGAGGAAGGGCTCCGCGAGGGTGAGCACCGATTTGACGTGTGCATCCACCATGAGCTTGCTCTCGTGGCCGGTAAGGTATCCGAGACTCTCCGACAGCGTCTTGACTCCCTCTCGGTCGGTTCTCGAGGCTGCGGCGAGAAGCTGAACGTACTCAGTGACAAACTCGTCGGGGTACTCCCGGGAAGCACCAAAGTCGAGAAGCTCGAGCCTGTTGGTCTCGGCGTTGTAGAGGAAGTTTGTCCAGTTAGGGTCAGTCTGCATAAATTTGAACTCGGTGATCTCTCTGAGACAGAGGCGGAGGATCTGGGTACCGATCCAGTCCTTTTGTTCCTGGGTGAAGGACTTGACCCTGGTGACGCCCACGCCCTCCATCCAGTCCATGGTTAGAACGTTCTTTCCGCAGGCCTGCAGATGAACGTCGGGCACGACGAAAGTGTCTGGTTCATCGGCCAAGAGCTCCTTGTAACGGATCAGGCACTGCGCTTCTCTCTCGTAGTCACATTCCCAACCCAGCTCAAGTCGGGCGTTGTCAATGGTCTTGTTCAGGTACAGACCCTTCGGCAGGAGCTTAGTGGCGGTTAAGAGAATGCCGAGGTTGTCGAGGTCAGAATTGATCGAGTCTGCAACTCCAGGGAACTGAATCTTGACCGCGACCTTGCGACCGCCCTCCTTTAAAGTGGCGCGGTGGACTTGTCCAATGGATGCAGCAGCAATGGGCTTCTCCTCAAAGTCCTCAAACAGCTCGCGCCATTCCGCGCCCAGGTTGGCCTTGAGGACCTTATCTCTCTGCCATGCCGGCATGTAATCGGCACGGTCCTGCACTCTCTGCAGAACCTCCTGGATCGGTCCCGGGAGCATCTTTGTGTCCTGGAAGCTCATCATCTGACCCATCTTCAGAGCAGCGCCGCGCATTCTGGATAGCTTTGCGACAAGTCTTTCCATATTGCCGGCACTGAGCAACACTGAACCCTCACCTCCGCCGCCAAATGCTCTGCCGATGCTCTCGGTGATGGCACCACCCATCATTCCTGCTGCCAGACCGCCATAGTTCCAAAGTCTGCTCAGACGTGTGGCCGGTACGCTGGATTCCCTGAGAGCGTATGCTGGGGTTGATGTTTGGTCAACGGCAGCGCCCAAAATAGCTTCGACGGGAGGTTCATCTTTTGGTGCCGGACCGGTAGGAGCAGCGGTAGCAGACGCAGGCTCTGCAGGTATCGGTGCTTCACTCGTGACAACCTCGGATTGAGGAGCGGTCTGGGAAGTGCTTGAAGCACTCTCGGGGGTAGCCGACTTCTTTATCTCGGCATCCTTGGACAACTTTGAGAAATCAACGAACTCGGGGAGCTTCGTTGGCGGGAGCTTCTTCCGGGGACCGAAGTCAACCTTTGGCTGTTCTCCCTCTTTACCCAGCAACTTAGCGGCACGGGTGCTGTGGAAGATGTTGACGTTGACACCTTGAGGGAGGTCGTCCGCCTCTTCAGAGACATGGGCCCCGTACGGAGCCGCCGGCCTGCTTGCCGAAGACCCTGCAGGAATGGTGTTGTCCTCGGGCCTTTGATCCAATGGTGATGTGCCTTGAAAGGGGAAAGCCGAGGGGTTGGATTGTCTCAGTTCAGAGAGAACCGACCCTGAGCTTGGTGAGATACGAGATGTACTGTTGAGGTTGGGCTGGAAGTTGCTTGATGGTGTGAGTGAGGGATGACCAGCTTGAGATGTTGAGCTCTCATTTGACGGCGGCGTCTCATTTTCATTTGGTGTCTGAGCTTCTGGGGCCTCAGAAGGAGCTGGCGCTTCTGTTGCGGCGTCGTCTCGTGTGTGCTCAGGTGCTGTCGGGGATTTGCGTGTCAAGCTGGAAGCTTTGGTGAAGCTCTCGAGCTGTCGGCCTCTCAGTGCAACATGTCTGGATGCGACAGAGCGCGATGCGCCGAGCACAGCTGCCAAATCGACAGCAAAATCGGCGAACCTCATCGAAGAAACGATCTGTTCAATTATGCTACACGCATATCTTTGCGATTGCCCTTTGACGTCTAGGTGACCTCGTGTCTTTCAGGAAGTGCCGGGTTTATCAAATGGTCCTCGTCATGGAGGGAAAATTGAGTGATGGGCATATGCATATAAAAGGAGAAGAAGAAGATAGCTCCAGGGAGCTTGAGGTAGTACCATGCATATAACGGGGTTATTCCGCCAAGCCACGTCTATCCAGCCACCATCCATTTCCAAATAGTTCAACATCGGTATGTATCGACAGATACAAACTTGGTCACTGTCTCGATCACATGCTCGTCTTCCATAATGGGAGGCAATTTTGGAGTGATTTCTATGCTTCCTGCAAGCTATCCTGTGGTGGTATCTTTGGTCTATCCCTGTTTCCTCGTCTATTATCATTATTCGTATTAGTCATTTTGGCGTTGATTCCCTTGTTACCGAGGCACCGCCCTTCAAAAGTGATCCTCTTGCCCTCATTGGCGTCGCCTTCAGAGACGAATTATGCGGGCTACCTGCTCTTGGGCTGCCAATCTTCCCCCATAACCTTTGGGCGGCCGGCGTTAGACCACCCGAAACCCGCGGACTAGACGGGAACTTGGGCACCGGTGTCCTGTCCAACTTTCCAGTTAATCCGTTCTTCACAGATTCTCTCTTCGAATGCGCTGCGCGCTCAACTAAACGGTGGTGCAAAGTCTCTCGTTTTCTGTGTTCTTGCAGCTTGAATGGGTTTGGCGTAGCGTCGCCAGGACCGAGGTTGATGGTGGGCGCAGGGAGAACTTGGTCGTCGTCGTCGTCTTCGTCATCTACAAAGGCGTACCCATTTACTCTTGGCGTCTCTCCGCCCCCGACAGCACTCGGAGCTTGGTCTTCTTTACGCGGTTTGCCAGCAATCGCGTCTCTCACAGCAGAGAGCGTCGGAGATGGCGGCCTCTCTGCGATTGCTGGTTGCGGTACCCTTGTGTTTTGGTAGTTGATCGATTTAGGCGGCATCATCGACTGGGCCTGCGCCCTCTGAGCCGGGCTCTCGTAGTCATCGTCCACACCATCTGGGCCGAACATTAAGTTATTCTTGGGGTTGGCGTTCCAACTGTCTGGTCTGGCTGGTCTGTCATCCACGTCCTTGATGGCCAGTCTGTCCCTTTTCCACCCGTCATCAACCAAACTCCTTGTCTCTAGCAGTTTGGCTTCGACCTCCGCCTGTTTGATCATCTGTCTTGAAGGCAGTTTGTTCCCTCGCCATATCCACTCGTACTTCTCTGCTTTCTTCTGGTTTTGTTTGTCCATGAGCTTGTAAAAGCTCTCATTGTCCTCGCTGGTGTAGGTGGCCTGGAAATTGGCCAGGCTCATGTCCGTGTCCACGGCTGGCTTTGGCGCTTCGGATGCCGTCGATGCCACCGATGCCGGCGTATCAGCACCGTATGCAGAGGGCGTGCGTCCACCGCTATTGAAAGGCATAGGCCTTTTCACCCTATTCCTTCCCGGCGTCATCACACGCTCTAGCCTCTGGCCAGCATTGGAAATCCATGCCTTATCTTTTGATTCGAGAGCGTCAAGGTACTCTTGCTGGGTCTCGGCCTCAAGGAGTCCGGGGAAGAAGTCACGCGCAATGATCTGCGAGAGGGCGTCGGTGTAGGTATCTTCGTCTATGACCTTTTTCGGGCGTTTGATTTTCTTCGCGGCGGGCGGTGGTGGCATCAGTTGGAGGTCGGTCCGCTTGCGCACAAGCGCGGTTGATGTGCGTTCTTGAGGCTCCATCATCGACAAACAGGGGCCGATCACGTTGAAAAGTATGCGTTGAGAGTAGCGTAGATACACGAGGAGTGCGCCGCCAGCGCCATGGGGTGGGAAGATGTCGCGTTGAGAGTTTGATGTCAGCTCGATGTGCTGAGGCCAATCTGAAAGTCTGAGTTGCGCTCAAGTTCGGGTCCGAGTAACGTGGGGCGGTTCCGATAAGCGATAAGAACAGCCATGCGTGCTGCGTTTATGCAACTATCAAGATTACAGGTACCTGAGGCTTCCCCGCCAGTCGCCGGGGTCCTGCGCTTCGTACACTACAGCCTGCCCGGAGGCGTAAGTCATCCGTACTTCGTTAAGGTACCTACCTTCCCGGGCATGCGTAGTGTAGTGGCAGATGGAAGCTCAATCCTCGCGGGAGTGGAGGGAGGGGCCAGACCATGGCGCCGCCCTTTCAGCGCCCCTGTCGGACTCCTGAAGTGGCAACTCAGTGCCACCCCGCTGCAACTGTATCGCACCGTGCGGAAGCAGCGCACTGTTTCCTGTTAGCTCCGAATACTGAAGAGGGTTTAAGGGCCGAACCGTCGCGAAGGGAAGCTTTCGAATCCGACCCAAGCCCGGCAACTTCAACCTTCGAAGAGCTTCTGCTGCATAGCAAATTTTGCTGCAACCACCTCTTCTTTCCCGCCCCCAATTTTGCGAATCTACTTGGGAAATCGCACTCGAAATCTCAAGCCCACGGAGACGATAACTGGAATTCCCACTGTTTCGCGTGCGAACGACAGCAGAAGAAACCCCTCCATCGTCGCTGGTCTCTACCTGTGATACGGATACCCCACACTTTGGTTCTGCAGTATAGTCCACCGTTGCTGCCGCCATGTCTACGCCGGAGGAAAAGGCGACGGCCTTCAAGAACCAAGGCAATAAGGCCTTCGCTTCTCACGATTGGCCTGCTGCTATCGACTTCTACACCAAGGCCATTGAGCTGAACGACAAAGAGCCAACGTTCTTCACCAACCGCGCTCAGGTTCGTTGCCTACTTACTGCGCCGAGGCTGCAAAGTCAAGTTGCTCGCGTGACTGACATAATCTTGGTTCGGAATAGGCAAACATCAAGTCTGAAGCATATGGATATGCCATTGCAGATTGTTCAAAGGCGATCGAGCTCAACCCCAACTTCGTAAAGGTGGGCACCTTCGGACAAAGTCAACGAGCCTTGTTTGCTGACGTCGGTGCGACTTTAGGCATACTTCCGCCGAGGCCTTGCCCAAACCGCCATTATCAGACCAAAGGAAGCTCTTGGTGACTTCAAGAAGTGTATATCGCTCGACCCGAACAACAAGGATGCCAAGTTGAAGCTGGACGAATGCAGAAAGATTGTTCGCAAGTTGGACTTCTTCGCCGCCATCGAGGTCGGTGACGAGCCGTCAGCTGCGGAAGGTCTCGATCTTAGCACCATCAGCGTCGAAGACGACTATGATGGCGTTAGATTAGGAGAGGAGATGACACAGGAGTTCGTCGATGACATGACGGAGCGTTTCAAGAACGGCAAGAAGATCCACAGGAAATATGTCTACCAAATCATCCTGGCCGTCAAGAAGCTTGTCTATAACGAGCCAACCATGGTGGAGATGAAGATTCCTGAGGGCACACAACTCACAGTTTGCGGTGACACACACGGTACGTTCCTGTGCATCTCATCCAGTGCCAAAATACTGACTTATAGCTAGGCCAATATTTTGACCTTATGGAGCTTTTCCGTCTCAACGGAACGCCCAACGACAAGCACTACTACCTGTTCAACGGTGACTTCGTCGATCGTGGATCATGGTCTTGCGAAATCGCTCTTCTGCTCTACGCATACAAGTGGCTCCGACCAAACGCTTTCTTCCTGAACCGTGGTAACCACGAGACCGACGACATGAACCGTGTATACGGTTTCGAGGGCGAGTGCAAGGCCAAGTACAACGAGAGAATCTTCAAGCTCTTCTCGGAGAGTTTCTCGGCCTTGCCCCTGGCAACTCTGATCGGCACCAAGTACCTCGTGCTGCACGGCGGTCTGTTCTCAGACGACAAGATCACTTTGGACGACATCCGAAAGCTCGACAGACATGCCCAGCGCCAGCCTGGTCAGGCCGGTCTCATGATGGAGATGTTGTGGACGGACCCTCAGGAGGAGCCCGGCCGCGGCCCGAGCAAGCGCGGTGTTGGTATGCAGTTCGGCCCCGATATCACCAAGAGATTCTGCGAGAACAACGGTCTCGAGGCCGTCATTCGCAGTCACGAAGTTCGCATGGATGGCTACGAGGTGCAGCACGACGGTCGTTGCATTACTGGTATGTTCCTATGCTCTCATGATCGTCCTTGACCTGGCACTCACTGTCATAGTGTTCTCTGCGCCAAGATACTGCGACTCCACCGAGAATAGGGGAGCGTACATCAACGTTGGCCCCGATTACAAGCTCGACTTCAAGCAGTTCGACGCCGTTCCTCACCCGGATATCAAGCCTATGGTAAGACGTACCCCTCCACCACCACCACCACCTTCTCCTCCTCCTCCCTCTTCCCTTGAGCTGCCGCTGACCTTCCACTTTTAGGCGTATGCCCAGAGTTCTCTCATGTCTTCTCTGATGTAGTTCGATGATATGCGGACCATCGTCCGTAGGGTATGAGATGGTATAGTTTGTATCCGCAGCATACACGGTGCATGTGATCGGCGCATATAAGGGGCTGGGTGGCAGCGTGGGTTTGGCCATGCGGATAAATCGGAGTTCTTGCCCTCAGGGCGTACACCATAACCCCGAATCTAGAAGAATACGACGGTTGGGTGTTTGGCCAAAAGAAAAGCAGTCCTTTTTCTCGATCTCCGTAGCTCTACGAAGACGTAGGTTCATGACGACCAAAGCTTTTCCTGGCCATCGGTACCGACAATGGCGCCCAAGTAGTCAGAGCACTGCTTCACTCGGAGAACTTGCCGGCTGCCTTGGTCCGAGATGCCTGCCCACGCCGTGATCGCGGCGGTAACGGGGCTAAGGTCCTGTCGGGGCACGCGCAACCAGCATTGCGCTCCCTCGACTTTGAGTATATCGATGGGAATGGCGGAACCTGTTGCGCCCAGGAATTGGCTGAGGGCGGCATTGCAATACGAGCGTACTTGAAGGTTGTCCAGCTCGAGTGCCTCTTGTGATGTTGTCGGAGACTCGGAGATAAGTTCCAACTGGGCGTAAGAAAAGGCCGGGGTCTTGATGGTGCATGTGAGAAGCTCATGGGATTTCTGGCCCATTGCGCGCGGCGTGCTGGCGGGTGCTTCGCCGGCTGATGAGTTTTCCGTCGTCATGTTGGCTTTCCCACCCTCTACCAGATTCAAAAAAGATGCTCTTTCTTGATGTTTTTCGCACTGGTGACGGGTTCTATAAATCTTGGAGATTTGAAGAGATACGTGAGAGCCGGCAGAAGAGAATTTCAATAAGATGGGAGTGAGTCTTAGCATGTAATGTGATTCGAGCACAGGATCGAAGAAGCTCTGGGGGTGGGTCTGCGCCAAAATCAATCACTATCCATGTGCCTTGATATGTGCATATACCGCCTAAGGCTCTTTACGACCAACAGAACCATGACTTTCATACGGGAGCCCCACATTTGACTTCCAGCTGCCAGAAGCACTTCAGCCATCTCTTCCCAAGAAACACCATCGATAAAGGTCAAGCTCTTGTGACTTTCACCCTCACTTTCTCAACACACTCCTCACCCATCCGCTCTTTCCCGAACACCGAAGACAACACCACCGATCGCAAAAGACAAAACCTCGCAAAAAATGTCGGCCGATAACTTCGTCGCGCCCGGTCAGCAGCGCTACCTCCGCGCCTGCATGGTCTGCTCAATCGTCATGACCTATTCCGTACGTTCTGGCCTATCCTTCGGCAACAATGGGGAAAAAGAGCGACTGGGTGGAAACCGATAACTGACCTTCTTGAAACCAGCGTTTCCGCGACGAAGGCTGCCCCAACTGCGAAGATTTCCTCCACATGGCCGGCTCCCAGGACCAGATCGAGAGCTGCACGTCCCAGGTCTTTGAGGGCCTCATCACGCTCTCGAACCCGAAGCGGTCGTGGGTGGCCAAGTGGCAGCGCTTAGATAACTACGTGAGGGGCGTCTATGCGATCAAGGTCTCGGGTCAGCTGCCTGACGAGATTCGCAATTCGCTTGAGGAGGAGTACAGGATACACTATATTCCGTCAGTAACGCCCCTCTCTTTGGATATTTCTGTCTTTTTTTTTCTCCGTGTGGAACACGAAAACGTAAAGGATGGCTGGGCATTGGGTACACTTTTGACTGACTAGGTTACAGGCGCGACGGAACGGAGACGGAGGTTGATGCTTGAGATCGGCTACGAGCTATCGAACCATGTGTTTCTCTTTACATATAAGGCGTTTACGGGGAGTCAAAGAAGGTCGGTACGGAGTCAGGGAAGACTCTATTCAGATGAAACAATTCTCAAAATGGTATCTAAAAGTGCAACCCAAGTTTCGCCCATGCAAGTCGTTGAACCTCCTTTTTGTTATAGTGTGATGCCCCCCCCCCCCCCCTACTGTAAACCAAAACGCCTGTCGACGCGAGACAGGATCAATCCCCTGACCTAAAGTTGGGATCACCGCTGATCCGTCTTTTGCTTCTTGAATGCAAACCCGCCGAAACCGGATCCCCCTTCTCTTGATCGTTTCCCCTTTTGCCTCTCCATGTCTTCCTTCATGATCCTTTCCGCCTCGCTCATCTTTTTCGGCTGTTCAAAGGCAGACTTCTTCGCGCCGCCCGCTAGCGCGTTCTTCTTGGCCTGAGCAAACACATTTTTGGTCTGGGGCTTCGCCGTCATCTTGAGCGATAGACCGCCTCCGAGGGACGGCTTCTCGGCAGGCTTATCCTCCGTCTTCTTCGACACCTCTGTAGGGGCCAAATTCGTCGCCGTAGGCGAGGCCTCGGGTTCGGCTGGCTTGGACTGCGCTCCCGTCGGGCTGGGCTCCTTCTTCGCTACCGCGGGCTTGGCACCAAATGACAATGACACTTTTTCTCCTTCTGTCCTCTGCAGCCCCCTCTCCCGCTCTTCTTCGTCATCAGGCTTCTCGCCCCTCGCCTCGGCCGCCTTCTGCGCCCTCTTGATCTGCTCCCGAATCATCATCTGCTCAACCTCCTCGTTGCCCCGATCCTGCGCCTCCTTCCTCCTCAAGGCCTCCTGCCTCTTGAGCGCATCTGGCGAGTTATCGATCCACGCAATGTGTATTCCCTTCTCGTTCTCCTCGACGCGACAGATGCCCTCGCGGCCCAGGTGCTTCGCAAACTCGGTCAAGCTGGGCCACTTCGTCGCGTTCATGTGCACGTGCTCCTTGTTGGCAATATACTCCTGGTAAAAGTGGTTCATCTGCACCTGCTTCTCGCCGTGCCCCGTCCGCAGCAGCTGGGTGAAGTCGCGGAGGAACTGGTTGCTGTACTCGTTGAGGAACTTCTTGGGGTCCTCGCCGACGACGATCATCTGCCGCACGTGCGACTCGGACTGCGTGTGCATCTTGAAGCCGTTCTCGTCGCGGCATTGTTTCTCGCACACCTGGCAGTACCAGCGCAGCCGCTGGAGGCCTTTGCTCTTGAGCTTGTTGTTCAGGTGCTTCGTCGAGCCAACTTCTGCTTTCGGCATTTTGGGCGGTCTTTTTCGGGGTGTTCTTGGGTCGACGGTTCTATGGGTGGGGGAGAGGGTTACTTTCGAGGTACGATGGTAAGATTGATATGCGGTAGACCAAGTGTCGATAAGTAGCGCGCCTGGGATTCAAGGTTGGATGCGGTTATGTAGACAGGAGAAGATCGTCGCAAAGAAGCAATGAGCCCTTCTAGGATAAGGTTGACGTGTGGATTCTTCCAGGGCTGCTTATCTTATCATAGATGGCAGGGGGCTAAGAGGTGGCGGGGCGGAGCCATGTGCGCGACAGGTAGCTGTCAAACGCTGTATCCCACTTCGCCGACGTCGGCCTGACGGGTAAATATTTACGTTCATCTGGTTACTAGGGTGGTTGGACCGCCACCTTCAGTGCTGGATATTGCAATATTGGCTACGGCTCGGTGATTCTCAAGTCTATGAGTTCAAGAAGTGGTATTGAGAATCATCAAATCTCGGTCTCAGAAGCAGGTAGCCTTCCCGACCCCCAGACATATACGAGTCATGATACTCAAGTTGACCTAATCATGTGCATTTGATATATACCTCTAAATAAATCAAGGGAATCTTGTCTTTCCAGGCCATTCTCTTCATTCTTTCTTCTTTTCTGGTCCAATAATGCATGTTCATGCTCCGTTTTAGATGACCCAACCCATGTAAAACTTATATACTTCAATCCGAAAAAAGTAGAGCTCGCTTCCACCGCGCGCAGTTGAAGCGCGCGGGGCATCCGAGGCGAACATCCTAGTCAAGGAAGGTGAATAGATTTGTGTGCAGGATGTTCATGGCACGAGTAGCATCCCGAGCGTCAATGACGCAGGAGATGTTGATCTCGCTGGCACCTGCGTCACAAAAGTTAGCAAACAGCTCCTCGCATAAACCATTGAGAACGACTTACCCTGTGAGATCATTTCCAAGTTGACATTGTGCTCGCCTAGCGTGGAGAACATGCGACCGGCAATTCCAATCATGTTCTTCATTTCCGCACCTACCAGACTCAGAATAGCCATATCATGGAGCACGCTGACGTCGCCACATTCCTCCAGCTCAAGTCGCGCCTTATCGAAGCTGCCGCCCTCTGAGTTTCCGGCGTGGATGGCCATGGACACGTGGACCTCACTCGTGGAGATTAGATCGACAGAGATCTGGTTGCTGTCGAGGATGGAAAAGACCTTTGCGAAGAAGCCGTGGGAGATAGAGCGCTTGTTGGAGTGCACGTTGATGACGGAGATCTTATCCTTGATCGTGACAGCCGTGGGCCTCTTTGGCTTCTGGACCAAGGTCGGGTCTGCGGGTGCTGACCTTGAGATCTGATGGCCGGCCGTGAGGACGGGGTCGGGCACAACGATGGTGCCGACTCCTCTTGGGTTCTTAACGTTCTTGATGCGGATGGGAATAGGAGGCGAGGCGTGGATGACCTGGTCCATGGTCAGGTGGTGGATGACCTCGGAGCCGTAGAACGTCAACTCGGCCGCCTCGGACGGTGTGATGGAGTGTAGCAGGCGGGCCGTGGGAACCTTTGTCGGGTCTGCCGTGAAGATTCCGTCAACCTCCTTCCACACCTGGAGCTCATCCGCCTTGAGGCCGACTGAGCATAGCGCCGCGCAGAGATCCGTGTAGCCCCGGCCAATGTCACCATCAATCAGACTTCCGGGGACGTTGCCAAAGAAGCCAGTAACTACGGGTACTCGCTCTTCGCAAGCCGTGATCTTCTTCCGTAGTACCGCGGCGGCCTCCTGATAGAAGCCCTGGCTCAGACGAGCCGTGGCATCATAGTGGAACGCGTCACTGAGATCCACATATTCCGCGGCGACACCCTGCGAGTTGGATTAGCGGCATTTTCAAGACACTGGAAAGCCATGTCCATTCCATACCAAGTCCTTCAGCAATGCGGCCATGAACCTGCAGCTGAGTTTCTCACCAAAACTGATGCATCGATCCTTTGACCTTGAATTGACCTCGAGGTTAAACCTCCTTGCCGCTACGATGTACTCGACCAGCTCCTGGCACTCATCGCGGATCTCCTGTTCCAAGGAGGCCTGTAATTCTGGGTTGCGGAGGAAAGTCTTGACTGCCGATACGTGGTCCTTGCAAATGTCCTCAATCAGACCCTTGGCCTCGTTCATGAGCTCATTCTGTGTCTCTTCTGGCGTCGTGGGTGCTGCGATGCCCTTGAGCCTGTTAAAGACGCCGAGCAGCCTTTGGCGAGGGGTCAGTTGAGAATGAAGGCTGGGTGCGTTTCTTGAGTGACTCACCGGCTGGTGGTGCCCTCGATCTTCTTGCCCGTGCTTCTTGCTGAGCAGACGACGACGACTTTGTTGTGAGAAAGGCTTGCACTAAAACATGCACATGTCAGTCAAGTTTCAATCTCACCTGAGAATTGTCTCTCCCCTACCGCACAATATCCGTGGCAATCTGTCGTATGAGTATACTGGATTAGCCTCATGCAGCAATCGCGACTTTCTCAGTAGTGAGTGACAAACCTTGTCTGGAAACTTTCCAACACTGGTTCCGCCGAATTTCTGCACCACCCATCCATTGCTGGAGGTGTTGCCTATCGTTTGACTGCTCATGATGTATCAATGGCTACGCGCAGAGCCTAGAGTGGTTGGTTTTCGGGTATGAGTGAGAGTCTGCGCAAGGCGGGCCAAGAAGGAGGGGCACTATGAGCGATGCGGGAATGGGAGAGAGGGAAAAAAATAATAATAATAAAGAATGGCGACAATTAGATTGGGAGGTCAACCCTCTCAAACTGAGTGTCTTATGTGAGATGCGTCACACCAAAAGACGCAAAGCTACACAGAGAAAGTGGTATGACTGGTGCAGGGGAGTTTTACAGAGTGGGAAGAGAGAGTCCACGGCTCGAACGCGGTGGAATTGCTATGTTCAAGGTGGTTTATGTTGCGGTGGATTAAACCAAGGCAATGAGATGGGACGAAAGTGGGATGTGGTGGAGCGACGAAATCGGCGACGCTTGTGCAAGTTGCAGCGTCCAAATTTTTGCGTTTCCGGAACATCGGAGGCGGGCCCGAATCTTCTCACACTATTCGTACCTACCTTACCTACAGATCAGAGACCTTACAGATGCATTGATGCAAGGTCACCAAACAATGACCGACGTACATTGGTCAGCTTTGCTACGGATACCTAGAAGCCTTAGCACTCACTGCCGTTCCTCGGTCAAAAAGCATGAGAACCAGGGAATCACTCCAATGCATGGCTGCAGTCTGCCACGCCGCTGCCGCTGCTACTACCTACCTATCCGTACTGTTGCTGCTGATAGATAGATCCCCTGGCCTGCCCCGGCTTCTGCAAAGACCTGTACCAGTGAGGGCTCTGAATTGGGCAGTCTGTCCGCGGCAGCCTCTATCCGTGACAATTTCTTTGTCTGAGTCATACGCAGCATTGGTGCTTGATTAGCCCCTCTGAAGAAGGTAGTTTGGACACCAGCGTCAAGCCCGCTCTTCTTTTCAATGTTCCAACAAACTCTAGATAATACCTACTCCGTACGGGACGGATACAGAACGACCATCTGGTAGTCACTTGTGAACCCCACGGGGGACACTGGGCTGTGTGCGTCCGCTATACTGGTCTCTTCAAGCCTCTGCGTTGTCGCTGCTGTCTCCCGGCCAGCCACTCCACAATGCAGTCTCGCAAAGGGCCTATGAAACCTCTGGCAGAGAAAACCTTTAGTTGTCCAATCCCGGCCACCGCGCGGGGATGGCGAATCAGGGACCGGCCGATGACGAAGTGACAGACGGGGATCCCACGCCCCCAGTGAATTAGCCGCATTTGACGCTGCTCTGCGTGCCACTGCTCTGTTGCCGCTGCAACTCATGACACCCTAGTTTTGCTCAACACCACTTGGAGCCATTCAGGGTCTTGAACAGTTCTTATCAGATAGTGAGCAAAGGCAACCTGGAAGTACCCTGCCAAGTCTGCACGCATCTGCATCTGATCGAAAAGGGGCCACACATTGTCTGCTCAGAGCTCTCCCAGTACGGGTCGTATTACCACTAAATAAGCGTATAAATGCAAGTACCGTTGCTTTGCCCAGAACCAGACACAATTGGTATAGCAAACCCACGAGAACCAGAACCAAATGCAAATGCCGACCTCGATCGCCACGCGCGTCAAACACCGACCGCAAAAAAACAAATCCCAAACCCCGTCTAGAAATGAACAGGCGCAGAACCCAATGACTTGTCCCTACCAAATGGCTTGGACTTTTTCCGCGCTCATACAATCGTGCAGTCGTGCCATCGTCATCGCACTGTTGTCGACAGTCCTCTTCTGGCATCAAGCCTCTACAAGAGACCGTCTGACAGGCGGCCATCGATACATGGCACCTGGTTTGCCAGGCGCGACTTGAGTTCGATCTCCTTTCGTCATTGTTGCAACTCGGCGTTGGCGAGCAACGCTTGATTGACCTCCGAGTGCGAGAAGGTGTATTTATCCATGGGGAAGTCTTCCTCCGGCGTCCGGATGCCGATCCCGCTGTCATCCGGGTTGTTTCCCGCCGACATGTCCGCAGAGTCGACCTGGCCTTGGCTTGTTGAGGGTGGGAATGGTGCCTTGTCTGGCTGTGCTTGGGGAAGACTTGAGAAGTTGAAATCCTCGCTGCCGGTGCTGAACCGGGGACCTTGGCGATTCGCCTCCTGGGCTGCGGATTGAGGGTTGGCCACAGCTGCTGACGCGCCTGACGTCCTCATTTGAAGAAAACCACCTTGTTCGGCAAGGAAGCAAGTCATCTCGTCAATCCAGCACTTTGTCACCCACCATGAGCCGAAACTCTTGCCTTGCGCCATGGTAAGATCCCGCATCACAGCCGTGCCCACTCTTTGCACGGCATAGACGATCTCGGTATGGGATGCGTAAGGGAATCGTATCGGAAGAGACTTGAGGAAGCCAACCCAACGCTCCAAGACATTCTGTCCATTGGGGTCGCCTGCGCTCTCGGCGCCGGGTTGACGGCCGTTTCTCAAGGCGATGTCGCCATAGACCGTCAGGCACTCTACCTCCCAAGGAACGTTCATGGGGCTAAGAAGATCCCGCAATTCGGTGACAAGCAAGTTGACGAGATCATCCATACCCCGTGTGGGGACACACTCCGCCACCTTGCGCACACGCACCATCGTAATCCAGTCGAGATACATCTGATCGCGGTTGGCCGGGTTCGACAACATGTTGGCTGCCGCATGAGCAGTAAGGTTGACTCGCAGAGCTCGGTCCAGAAGAGCTGCAAAGATGGTTGCCGGTGCCTCCTTGGCTCGGATAACGTGGTGCGGTTGTCCCTGGAAAGCCTCTCGAATGTGAGGTACAAGGCGCTCGGAGATGCCGCGTAGCGTATCCAGTACTGGCTTGGGCACGACCTGAAGTGTGAGCCCAGAGATGATTCTCAACATGCGTTGGTAGAGGATAAAGTCACATTCTTCAATCCAGGGGGCGAGGCTAGGGTGGCCGAGGAGCTTCTGAACAGGCATCGTCAACGTGCCCTGGAATGAGGTATAGAGATGGAAGAACGTCTTTTCCTTGCAGTAGCGAACACACTCCACGAGGGAAGTGCAATGCGATCTGTATAGGGCAGACAAGCTCTTGGCGGCATCTGGGTCAGTTCCATGTGGGAGAAAAGGCTCCATCCGAGGCAATGCGAGAGGTTCGTTAGATTGGAGAAGCAGCTCATCGGCTTCCGAGGGGAAGGAGAATTGTAATGAAGTCTTCGATGCCGATGAGTTCAGATGATCCGCGCTGGTCACATTTGGATGGCTATAGAAGCTATGCGACCTCGAAGTGTGATGCGTCACTTGAGCTGGGCTCTCTGGCCGCTTCGCAGCGTCAGGTGATGGCAGAACAGCAGCGGCAGGCTGAGCCTTGGCGGGTGCCGCGCTGAAGCTTTGAGAACGGGGAGGTTCGGAGATAGCCACGGGGATGTGAGGTTCGGGTTCGCGGAGGTCGGGTTGGTCGTCAACCAAGCAGAAGTTGACGTAGTGGTACTTTGACTCTCCTCTCACGCCAAGTCGCCTTGTCTTCAGACCTGGGAAGAGTACGCGAACAAGCTTTCCGAAACTAGCTGGGTTAAGGACCGTGATTCTCTCGGTGGCACAGCGGGACGCGTAGTTGGCATATACCCGGCCTCGAGGTACAGATCCCTTTCCTTTAGTGCAGACAGAGTTGATCCAGAGCATGGCAAAGACTTGGCGGGTGCGTTCGGAGTTGGGGCCTCGCTCATTGCCGTGCAGTTCGCCGGCAACATCTTGCAGACCGCGGTGCTTGTTGGCATTGAAGAGGTGACGCATTTCCAGCTCGTTGTTAGCACTGGATCTGGCGGAACTAGACTTTTGCATGCCCATGGCTCCAACCAAAGAGTCGCCATCTTCGTCACGATCTATCATTTGGCTGTCGTCGGTGAAGCTGTTGTTGGCGAAGCTTTCGGAGGGCAACGGGTGCCTTTGCATGGCGTGTTGCTGGAAAGACATTGAGTGGCCCATGTGAGCACTGGACTGGCTCATAGAGGCATTCATTCCGGGTGGCATCGAGTATTCGCGGGCGTTCTGCATCTGGGTAGCAGCTGCATGGAGCATCATCTCCTCCGGTGTGATCCGTGACGCGGGTGCGAGGCTCCTCTGCTGTCTTTGATCGTTGTTTACCCATTGTGCCGAGTACAGTTCGGGCGCGTCGGCGAACTGTTGTTGTTCCATGGTAGGCTGGGTTGAGATACTGTGAACAGAAGCAGTCGAGGCCCGAGATTGAGGTCTCTTCTTCGCCCTGAGGGCCTGGGCGAGGTGGTCTGTTTACATCAGACCGTCAGTCAAAGAAACACACAGATAGAGATGCTCTTGTTGCAGTGAAGCAAGCTTGACGAGGCTATGAATCGTACCGTGGTCCATTGATCGTTGTCCGTCCGCTCGGTGAGGGTGTGATGTTGTTATTTTGCGATGAAAACACACGGATCATGCAGGACGCCGTTTCCAAACAATGAAGAAGTCAACGTGCGCTGGTCAAGGACAAATGGGCTCGAAAGAAAAGAGGAGGCGTCGAGGTCGTGAGAGTTATCCGGAATCCCTGCAGCCTTGAAGAGCGCGGTGCGCCGTGGTGAGGGTCGAGATCTTAAAGGACGTGGTCGGGGGGGAGCAGGACCAGAAGCAGAGTGTGGATGTGGGAAATGTTTTGGGAGGCTTTCCACTGTTTTGTTGACTTGACAACCAAGGCTCGGCTGGGCACCTCCACTCAGGTCTTGTTCCAACGGATTGGCGTGGCTGGGCGACTCACGTGATGAGAAAGGCCAGTCATTGCAGCGTATCACGGTGCGTGGTGCATCCTTCCATGACAGCGGATTGGATGGTTCCCAAACAACCTGGAGGAGCCAGTCCCGTAACAGCTTGGTCGTGTTTGTGTTTTCCAATTGGCCAGTGCGCCCAAGGAGTCTGTGATGTGGGGTCTGCTTACTTTGTCTGTTTCTGGACTTCTGGCTCTGGCGTCGGTACGTACAGACGCTACTTTGTTCCAAACACGCGGAGAAGCCACAGTCAGATCTGTCCACTCAGCTTCAAAGAGCAACAACACTCCGTACCTTACCTACCTCCATCCCGTCCGTAGGTACTCCTCTCCCAAGGTTGTTTCAGGCCTTGGTTGTCAGGCCTTAACATCAAAAACCATAACAGCAAATACAGCCAAAGTAATCCGGGTCCGAGTCTTTCCCCACCTTCGCTAAGGCAAGGGAGCTCGGGTGCTCTTATCTTATCTCACCGCACCCAGGGTAAGTAAGGTAGGCCAAGTGAGGTGCGGTGGCATCCGTCCAGTACAGAGTACATACCCACCATAACCTGCCGTGCCCGCCAAAAACACACTCGCTGGCTGAAGACTCAAGACCGAAATCTGCGAAATCTGACACCATCCGAGCCATGGCCACATAAAGTACCCGCTAACACGAAGGACATGGATCCCAGGGCAAAGTTGCCCGGCACACAAAGTCGGTTGCAACTGGGAGCTACAACAAGCTGCGCCGTGCTCACTTCGTCTCGTGCTTGTGCCCCTCTCTAAACTCCCATTAGCCCCGACTGAAGCTCGACGCAAAGGCACCCAGACCATTCCTACTGGCCAGATCTGCACACGTTACGTCGTCATCCGGCCTTTTCCCTTTCACCTGCTAATTCCAACACAGACACAAGGTCACTCAACCCCATACTTTCAGTAATTTTGTCAAGAACCTTACATTCTGACATCGTCAACAGCATCTCGCGGAACTTTCGCAACCTATCCACATCGCTCATCAAACCACTGTCAGTTCCCGCTGCCCGCATCGAGTCCTCCTGCGTCTCCTTTGCTGCAACCTGGCCTGGTCCTAACCCTTATCATAGCGCATTAACGCACAGCTTTTGCTACCCAACCAAGCTCCTTTTCAGCCGTCAATATGTCTGCCCAGGATCGCGTCCAGAACTACATCGGCCAGCTCGACCGTGAGGTAACTAAGCCTGCGCCAGCTTCTACAAGACGTTTGTTACAATCTTGCTAACTCGGACGTCTGCGATAGCTGTCCAAGTACCCCGCCTTGAACAACATCGAGAAGTCGACCAACGTTCCCAAGGCCTACGCCGTCATCGGCGTTGCTTCCCTCTACTTCTTCCTGATCATCTTCAACTTGGGCGGTCAGCTCTTGACCAACTTTGCCGGCTTCGTCATCCCCGGTTACTACTCCCTGAACGCCCTGTTCACCGCCAGCAAGCAGGATGATACCCAGTGGTTGACAGTATGTTTGCAATTTCCCCCGCAGTTATCGACGCACAAACCTTGCTAACCTCGATTCTAGTACTGGGTCGTCTTTGCCTTCTTCACGTCAGTTTCTGTCCGGTCCGTCGTAGACATTCGAAGCTAACTTGATTATGCTACAGCGTTGCCGAGAGCCTTGTCAACGTTGTCTACTGGTTCCCCTTCTACTTCACCTTCAAGTTTGTCTTCCTGCTGTGGCTCGCTCTGCCCACCTTCCGGTACGTTCCGTTCGATCCCAACAGCGGTAGCTTCCGCTAACTAGCGATAGTGGTGCTGAGGTTATCTTCAACTCCTTCCTCTCCCCCATGCTCGCCAAGCACTTCGCCGGTGCCTCCACCGCTTCCGGCCTCCGCGCCCAGGCTGGTAAGGCCGAGTAAGTGCGCCCCAGCGCCAGCTCATCAAACAGGTTGATTGCCTTGAGAGATCCGCCTTGGAAGAGTTATACAGCTGGCCCGGCTTCATCCCAGTGGTAATCGCAAAGCTAGTCAAATGGACGTTATGCAGCGACCTAGAGCACAAAGAAGACGGGATGGAGTGTCAGAGGCTAGCATTACCACACTATAAGACAACGGTGATGGCTTGTTTAGGTTTGGTCGGGGGCTCCAGGAACGCAAGAGCCACGACGAACGGTTGAACCAGTTCCTGTTACCCAACTAAAGTTACTGTATGCTACTGAATACGGAGTCAATGACTTCTGCAATGGACTAGAGACAGTACTCGATGCTAAGAAACTATCGTGCGACATGCGTTGCCACCGTCTTGAGTTCGTTCCCTTGGTGAAAATGTGGAAACCTGTCGCAAGCGTTGTGCGGGATTAAGAGTGGTGGCTTCGAGACAAAGAGATAGTCGAGATGCGATACATGTTTCTTTTGTCATGGGCAACTAAAGCAACAAGCCGTCGAGTGGGCATCTTGCATTAAAGTTGCTAGACCCTGACATAGACCGCATACCAACGCTGCTGCTCAGCGTCGTACAAGGACCGTCTTGCATGTGTATAGTCGAGTCAAAAACTGTGGAGGCCGTAATAGGAACGATGATTCGAACATTTCTCATACCAGCCGGCATGTCATTGCTGCTGCCCGTTGTCATTTTGTTGCCCCATTGACGCAAGAATCCGGGTTGGAATTGCTGCACATCACCGGAACAACTCAACGGAGCAGCAGCAAGGTGACATATTTGGAGCAATCTGCAGCGTTCCTGATACCATAACTCTCGGCCTATTTTCGCCTTTTGTTGCAGAAAAGCGGTTCAATCAGCTGGCTAGACCTTGATGTCGAGCCCGCCAGCGCAGGATGTGGTGTAGCGCGAACTCTGAACCAGCAGATTCAATCATTCAATGGATAGTGAGCGGGCGGCTGCCAAGTTCGCCGCCGCCTGGTCCATGAGCACAAATACCAACCCGCCATAAGGTAGGTAGGTAGGTACCTTAGCCTTGGGGGGGTTTTCAGGGACCTTTGGCGAGGGTAGCCCCAGCGGGCTGGCCGAGAATCCCGAGACGTGGAAACTGGAAAGGGGTCCCCCACACTTTCCGGGTTGAACCCCCTGTTCCTACATCGACTCTGCGGGATCTCCAGCGCGTGTTGGCCGTTTACTACGTAGAGCCGGCTTGGGAGGGCGTGTGCCTGTAGCCCGCCTCTCAACTGTTTGGGATGTGAAACTCGTAAAACGACACAGGCTGTTTACCCTCCCTTTCTGAATTCTCAAAGCCCAACTCCGCCATACCTTGACAGCCTTCGTTTGCCCGTTTCTCGTCGACGGCCTTTTCCGATTCTCTAACCTGTTTGGTAGCCTCGTTTCCGCTTGACAGGCTGCACGACGACATTCACTCCGCCGATAGACGCACTTGAATGGAATGAACTGGTGGATACAGCCAATTTGCGTCCTAGGAAAACGACATATCGACGCTCGCTGAGCCTACCTATCCAACATTCCCGCCAACTCCCGGATTGACCGACTCGCCGGCGAAAGCTTACCATAGCGAGCGGCGTCTCGGCAAGAATAGATTCAAAGGCATCTGCCCCCGGAGGGCATGTTCACACAATGCAGCTCAGCCCTCTGCAATCGCGACTGGCGGCCTCGCTGATTGCGTCGCTGCTACTCATCATCCTCTATTATCTTCTATCTACGCCCACCTTCGCCCTCGCCGCGGAATTGAGCGGCGCCACAGAGCCAATCCTCGACGATGTTCAATTCGACGACACCCTCGAGCAAAGAAGCAGTCTCGAGCCAACGTACGAGCCTGAATTCACTGCCTTCGATCGCAGCATTATTGGAAGAGCACCTGCCGGTGTGACGGGCCTGACGAACAATGTCAAAGTCAACCGCAATGTACCGGGGAACTCGACGCAGAGTTTTGTCTTTGAGGCTATCACAATCTTTGCCAACTTCTTCGATGGGACGGACGAGGCGTTCATGGTAGAACCTCGCGAGGGCAGCAATGAGTCCATCTCACCGGAGCTAGTTAGCATCGAAGGCGTCAAGCCAGAGGACGAAGAGCGCGGCCTACGCCGGAGGCAAGCTCAGGGAAGGACCGTATACATCTCAGCGACCACGTGTATACAGCCACAGCGTTCGGCTAACAACACGAAGGAGGACGCGCCACAAATTACAATGTATGTTTCAACGTCTCAGGACAATCAGACACCTGGGCCAGGGCAGAACTCTACTCTACAGAAGGCGATCGCGTTCGAAGAAGGTGCGGCAACCTTTAGCGTCAATGCGACGGGTGACGTCTTTATTGGAATAGGCGCACCCTCAAAGGATACCGACAAGTTTACGGGAGACTGGAACTTTGATGTCGCAGCTTCGACAGACGATTTCTTCCATAGCTTTGACGGAAATCCTGCCGAGCTTCTCTGGGTCGACAGTGACTCTAGCGCCGCACTTCTGACGACGCAGAACTTGACGACCTCTCAGAATGAGACTTTGATTCAAGAGATCATGGGGTCAGGGCTCCCATTCATCATGTTTGTCGAGAACCGAGAGCAGCCCACAACTAAAGGCGTTCGACGTTCCATGTGCGGACTGGAGAACTACGCTCAAATCGCGGCGAAAAAGGGTGGCAAGTTTGGCAACCTCGCCAGCACTCTCATGACTACGAGAGGCGCCGGGAACCTGCCAAAACAACAGTTCTTCTTCAATGGACTCAACGCGAGTGCTCTTTACTCGGGTATCCTAGTGCGCACCAGCAACTCATCTTCCTCGAGAAAACGTCAAGATGGCGCTCAAAGTGGCGGCGGAGGAAAAGTATTCGAAGCCACGCCATTTGAAACCAAGGATGGTATGTATATGGTCACGGTGAAAGTGCTGTTAGTCACTGACTCTGTGGTTAGGAGAGAACTGTAAGATCGTCACCGACCTGCAATTTTGCAACGAGACGGAATACGCTGTGCCCGCGAACTCCAACAAGATGAACATTACTCAGCTTGCGCAGTTCTATGACAACTATGCTAGGGACATGTACGCCAACTTCCAGAAACAGCTTGCTCAGGTAGCCTGCGAGGCGCCGGCAGTACAGCAGTACTCCCTCGCGCGAAACTGCTCCGACTGCGAGACTGCGTACAAGAAGTGGCTCTGCTCGGTGACGATTCCGCGATGCGAGGATTTCACGAGTCCTACCAACTTCTCCCTCGTCAGGAATGTCAACCAGACTTTCCCGAACGGAACTCTACTACCAATCGATCAGCTAGAGAAGTTTCCTCTCAGGGTAAATCAGCATTCGAGAAACCCCCTCATCGACGAGATGGTCGAACCAGGTCCATATCGGGAGATTCTCCCTTGCGCCTACCTATGCTATGACTTGGTACAAAGCTGCCCTGCGTCGCTGGGCTTCAATTGTCCCACGCCTGATGACGACATCTTCAACTCAAGCTACGCGGAGCAGGGTGATGGCCTGACCTGCAACTACCCAGGTGCCGTGCACAATCCCTCGGGATCCTCATTGTTATCAGTTTCATGGGGTCTGCTTTCGGCTCTCATTCTTGGTACACTCGGCGCAGCCATACTCTAGGTGTTATGAGAAAGTGCGACAACACCGATTCCGCAGAGGGTGTTCATTTTTAGTAGATTGACGGCCGACTTTTGTATAATGGGTAACGGGCATGACGGGACAGTGTAATGAGGGTTTTCTGGATGAATTGCATGGCATCGGCGTTAAGACACGACGTCTACTTTGAGATTGAGGATGAAGATGTCCACATGTGTGTTCACGGCCGTATGATCCGTGGCGGAAGGGACTGTTAGAGGATCTGAAGGTTGGAAAACGTTGCAGACCTTTCCCACCCTCTATGTTCAGACGTGAATCTCAGGCCGCCACCAAAATGGCCTTGCAGGAGTCTGTTCCAATGATAGAGTACAGTATTATACGTTTCGCATACTGCTCAGACCGATCCCAAGCACGTATCTACTCCTCGAAGCGTCATCTGAGAGAGACTGCCTCTTGATAGTCGCTCACGCAGTTCGGTGCCATCTTGGAAATACGGAGAATAGCACCAATAGATACTACTCGTCAGCAACCCCGTCTTTTTCATGACGAACGTCCAAGCGATGTCGTATCTCCGTATTTCGCCCATGTCGACGTTCATTACCATTTCTCGTGTCGACCTCAACGTTCTTCAGTCCGTGTGGTGGCCGCAACGGACTCTTGTGTGTCTTTCTTAATGCTTTCTGATCCCTTCCATTGGCCCTCGACCATGTCTTTAGACCTTCGTCCCCTTCCCTGCCTGCAGCTCTGCGACCCTCGCCTCAAGACCCTCAATCTCCTGGCTCTTCTCGTCGCGGATCTCGTCTTGTTCAAGCTTCGTCCAGGTCCAGTAGGCGATTTGGTATGTGAGGGTCGCCATCAGGAGGACTTTGAGGACGGGCCGGGTAAATGTTTTATAAAAGTTTCCCTATTCGTCATGGTTTCTGTGTCAGCTTATCGGGCTTCTACCAAAAAAGGGAGCAAGAGCGTCGCAGAAGGGTATGGATGGGGTTCCACGAACCACAATGGACGGCCTCTTCTCGCCATCTACTGATGTTGAGTAGATTCGCAATGCTGCGCGGGGCATCTGTGTTGTGCGCTGGGAGCGAAGAGCTCTGCTTAGGATTATGGTGCTGCTGCGCGCGGCCATGATCGGCTGCGGTCTCGTTGGGTCGGTCGTCGCTTCCGTTGCAATTCGTGCAGCGTCGGTATCCCGGTTCGTGCAGTGGGGGGGACAATCGCAAATGGCTTTCCTTCTCTAGTGAGGTGTGGTCGCAGGTTTCTCCTTAGGTAGGTATCGTAGTTAATTCTCATTTGTAGCTCGTAAGGTCCGTCCATGTTCCAATGAGCTCTTCCGAAGACTCGAACAAGTGCGCCGCGTCGCGCCGATCTGTGGCTGTGCGCGTATCCCCCGCATAACCCGGTAGCGCGTCGACCGCCCTACGGCATTGCGGATCCCGCTCTTGCCTGTGGCACAGTTGGCAATCATCAATATGCCTTCATCCAGGGGTCAAGGTACCTCATTCCAAAAGGCTCCAAGGTCCCCCTTCTGATTGAGCGGCGCATGGGGATTCGGCATCCCTGGCTCCGAACAGGCAATGGCCCCGTATGTCTTTTTGACGACACCATGTCCCGAACGACCAGAGGTTAGAGTGGACTCAGTGGAGGTGGTGGTGGCCGCCGGGAGGTCCTGAAGGGAGAAGTGCAATTCCCGTACGAGAGAGACCCGGTACGAGAGGCCCGGTACGAATGGTACATGAGCAGCGGGGGGTCCGCGCTTAGCGGGTAGAGGTACCTACCAGGAAGCTAAGGCAGGTGAGTACGGAGTAGGTAATACGGCAAACCACCTTTACCACCTCCCCTCGTGGTAATTAGCTTCAACCGCTCTTAGCCCGGAAAGCTCCCTCGCGCAATCTGTCCCTTCAACCGGCTTCCCTTCTCTTCTCTCGACACCGTTTCGACAATTCGCCTTCGCACACACGACCAAACACCACGTTTACCACTCACTATCCTCTACCAGCGTATTATATAACGAGCCAAACTTCGAAATCGAATAAACGAAAATAAGGGAGCAGACCACCAAAAAGTTCCCATCGAGCAGACCACATCGCCGTACCGCCCGTCATAAATTATCCACATTCACACATCACCACAATGGTATGCAATTTCCAGTCCAGCCCTCGCCGCACCCCGACTTCAGGACCATTTGTTCTTCACGGGTCTTAGCTTCTTATTGGGAACATAAGCATGGCTCAATCGTGACTTGACTGACACTTCTTGATCCACAGGCGCAAACACCCCAACAGAGACGCGCAAACGCAAAGTTCGCCAAGGACAACGAGTCCCGCATGGGCAAGTCCGAGGATCAGATCAAGAAGCGCACCAAGGAGGCGCCCAAGTCGCCCATCTCCCCCATCTGGCTCAGTGAGTAGTTCCCATCGACCTCTTGTCACATCCCTTTGCGATCAGCTGCAATTCCCCTCTCCAACAAAGTTGTTAGCCGTGCTTGGAAGCATTAACTAATCCATCTTCTCTCTATAGTTCTTCTCGCCTTCGTTGTCTTTGGCGGTATCGTCTTCGAGGTCCTCTCCCGCATGTTCGGCTTCTAAATTGACCCGGCCGATGCTCGTACTCAGTCACAAAAGTCAATGAGGTTGTGAGCGAGACAAAGTCCGCACAATAAGGGGTGCTGCACGAGCAGTGTGGTGTATCCACATTCAATTCTCCCAAGCAAAGCCTCCTTTATGGTCTTGAGCTCAAAAAGCAATCGCGACACCGCAATGGTTGGAAGGGGGCGATGCGGTCAGACAAGACTTAGCCCAGTCTCCCGTTGACGACAGAGAGGGAAAAGGGGGAAAGTGTTCGTTTTCCTGGGATACTTGGAGGTCCAGCCCACAACCCCAGACAGCACCTTGATTCCAGTGGTGGGAACAAGTCTGTACAAAAACAAGCCACATGTCGCTTTCTTATCGTTGATGGGAGAGCAAAAACCACCCGATTACCGGCGTACTGTATTTGAAGTTTTCCCGTTCATTTCATTTCTCTCTTCCTTTCAGAGGCAGCTGGTTGATAGCAATCTCCTCGATGAAAAGCAATTCACTTTTGATTCTACATGACAAAGACTCTCTTGGTTCCCTTTTTGGTCCTGACCCTAATGCCTCATGAACATGAACGCCAGAGCTATTAACGAAGCCATATGAACGCAGCTACAACAACGTATCGTGTCCACACCAGCTTCCTTATCTTAAAAGAAAAACCGACCAGTTTATGCGCCGAGACCGCGACGCTGGCCGCCAGCATCGTACTTCATGTGCACACCAGCCTGGAACTGCTGCTCGAGTTCCTGTGTGATCTTGTTGATGTCACGCTTGCCCTTGGATCCGGAGGCCTGAGGAGCCGCAGCTGCACCACCCTTTCCGCCGCCGAGAAGACGCATGAACTTCTGCTGGCGGGCCGAACCTCCTCCCAGCTGTCCGACATCCCACTGCGCAGCAGCAGCAGCAGCAGCAGCAGCTTTATCAGCAGCAGGCGCCTCGGTCGTCTCTTTCTTCTGCTTCTTCTTGTCCTTCTTGTCCTTCTTGGATTTCTTGCTGGGTGTCTCCTCAGCAATGGCGACACCGCCGTCGGATTCGTCCTCGTCCTCCTCCCTTGAGCGCTTGCGCTTCTTGTCGGACTTCTTAGACTCCTTAACCTCTTCCTCAGCTTCCTCCACGGCCTTGGACTTTTTGCTCTTCTTTTTATCCTTCTTCTCCTTCTTGGCGGGGGTTGGCTCCTCGGGCTCGGCAACCTCCTCAACCTTCTTGCTCTTCTTTGACTTCTTTGACTTCTTGGGCTTCTTGGGCTTCTCCTCCTCCTCGTCGACCTCCATCTCCTGTTCCTGGGTAATGGCTCTGGCCTCGCTTTCGGCGCGAAGTTGTGCGCTGGGGTTTGGTGACTCGGGTTCCATATCGACATCCTCGTCTTGTTCGACAGCTGCGCCGCCCTTGGTCTCTTCCGCCTCCGAGTCAGAGTCGGAATCCGAATCCGAATCTGAGGAGGAAGAAGATGATGATGATGAGTCCGAGGAAGTATCGGCGTCTGAATCGTTCTCGTCGTCGTGGATCTTGAGATCTTCGTTCTCCTTCTTCTCGGCAGCGTTCTTCTACAGAAGCACATTATAAGTCACTCGTTTCCCGCCGCCATCTCATTCCGTGGACTTACCTCTCTTTGTTCAGCCATGACCGCGTGTCTTACGCGCGCCGCCGCAGCCTCGGCCATGAGCTTCTTGGCCTGAGCCTCGAGCTTATCGGCCCGTCTCAACATGCGGTCAAACCGCTTCTCGTCCTTGTTGTCCTTGCGCGCCGCCTTCTTGGCTTTGTCGGCGGGCTGGCGAACTGGATCCTGCCCTTTTGCGGCACGCTGGACGTTGGCCTTGCGCTCACGCTTGGCTGCCGCCTTGGTCTGCCCCTTCTCCTCGTTGGCGGCCGCACGTTTCTCACGCTGGTTGCGTGTGCGCTCGATCTTCTTCTCTGTGAGGAAACGAATTGGTCAGCTATGCCGGGTGCAGATTAGGTCGGCGAGTGGCGGCGCGCAAAGCGGCTTGGGTTTGCATTCTTACCCTTGCCCTCAGCCTGAGCCTTCAGGTCCTCAGCGCTCCCAACCACGACCTCTTTGATTGGCGCCATGTTGTCCCGATTGCGCTGCGTTTCCAGGTGTTTGGGGTTCTCGAGTGGTGTTTCAGTGGATCGGGCGGCTGTTCCTCCAAAACCTGACAGAAGTGGCTGGATTTTTTTTTTATTCTGCCGGGCTGGGATCTACTGGTGGAGATGCAACAATCAAAAAAATCCTGGCGGGATCCGTTTCTGCCAGGCGGTAAGAGGCGACCTTACTGCTAGATCCCTGCAAGGTGGGGTTCTCGATTTTGTTCGATGGAACAGTCTAAGGATACGTACCGATTTTGGTCCCTAGAAGCTTTGACCTGCCTTATCCGGAGTGACGGGACAGGATCTAGACTACGGACCCTCTTTTCCCGTACCGCCGATGCCCGAGTTACCGGCAGTTCGATGCTCCAAGACTCTGGAACTGAACGTTTCAGATTATTCTACAGCTGTATACTCAGACATAATGTATAGCTATTACGTGTTGCCATCATAGAAATAGCTTTCACAGGGGTACCTGCGCGCCCGCCCTTTCGCATGCAAACGATCGTGTTCCTGGCGTCAGTCACTTCTCTCCACTGCTGCTGCCAGTCTCACACCCGTAGCCTGCCTTGACGCCTCCTACGAAGCTCTTAGGCACACACACCATCAGCCAAGGCTGCCTGGCGCGAGACTTCGCGACTAGATCATGCATAACTTACGCCAAGACATGTCGTCACGCGCTTCGACTTACACGAGATTCCAAAGGTTGTTCAGCCCGGCTTTAGATAGAAACTGCCGTGTCTCGGCGGTACTCTGATGCATGCTGTACATCATGAGAGACACTCGTCTGCACAGCTTTAGATACCGACTTTTAGATGTAGCCATGCATATTGTTTTTGGTGTTCAGACGACGACGTGCCTAACGGTATGTTACATGATGCAAGTCGAGCATGTCAACTAGATACTGACAAGCGTGGATAACGCTTTGGAAAAAGTACACTCATCATGTCCAGCTTGGGTCTATCCCCTTGGAACAAACATCCCGATATCCCGACTACAGGCCTGCAGCGGGGTTCCTAAAGCTGGTGAAGGCCGGCTCACCACTGTCGCTGTGCCTCACAACCCGGTCAACGCTCTACATCTTCCTCGCCTCCACCTACTCCAATTTAGACTTCTCCTCTCCTAGCTTAGCTAACTGCGTGTAAGTGGCGCCTGCAGCATCTGCAATCCCGCCCCTATATCGACTTCAGAGCGAAGCAGAGCTAGCAACGTTTACTGTTTCATTGCCGAGATACTTGAAAGTTCTGAGCGGTTTTGCCATTGAATGCTTGAAACAAAAGGTGAGAGTATTAATTAATATAGGACCCGTCTTGGTGAATCTTTACTGTCGTATCTTCGTCTACCATAAGATCCCAGACCCCCGTAGAACTCCATGCTGAGAAAGCCAAGGAGTCATCTATTCCTCCACAAAATTACATCCGTCTTTCATTCCTTTCATAAAGACGAAGTTAAAAAAACAGGATGAGTGGTGCAAGGAAAAACAAAAACAAGTAAGAAAAGAAGAGTGGTGAAAGTTTAGGATCCAACCCGTGGACGAAGCAAGTATGTCTTATGCGCCTCATCTCCCCCACCTTTTGTTTGCCAAATCAGCCCAACCCAATCCAAAACGCCTGTGTCTCTGTGTCCAGACTATCCCAAGTGCCGCAACTAGCGTCTTAAACTTGTAATCAGCAGGAGTGAAGTGAGTCTGTAGGGGAGAATTGCTTACCGTCTACGATGCCCCTGGTTTACGTCCCCGCCCTGGTCGTAATCCAGATAATACGGCGAATCACCACCATAGTAATAATCCTCTCCGCCACTGCTCCCGTAACTCGCAGGCGCCGCCGGCTGGTACGCCTCCGTATAGCTGTTGCCATAGTTGGTCATGTAATACGGGTCGTCCCTCACGTAGTCGTCTCGACCGCTGCCCCGGCGGCTCTCGTATTCGTGGCCCCGTGTGATGACGTGGTTCATGTTGATGCTGCCCCAGGGAAGCCCAGACTCGGTCCCCTCTTCCGCGCCGCCGCCGCCGCCGGGCTCGGAGGAGCCTGGAGCGATTTCGTACGTGTTCTTAGCGTTGGACTCGTTGTCTGCGTCGCGGTCTGCCTTTTCCTTGCTATCTTGGTTCTTCTTCCCTGTAGTTTCTTGTGTTAGTTGGGCTATCGTGTTGGCTTCTTTCGAGGAAACCCTTATTCGGGGGGTCTCTTTTTGTTTGGGGGTGAATGACGTACTGAATTTGCGTTGAGCCAGTCGATTTTGAATGCGCCTGCGCTCCTCCGGGTCGGTGATTTCTGCCCAGTCATCGTTCTTTGACTTTGACTTTGATTTTGAGGAGTGCTGCTTCTTGGAGCTTGGTTCTGATGATTTTGAGGCCTTGGATGACATGTCGTGGCTGTTCCCGGGCTTCAAACTAGGAAGCGTGGTCTTTGCTCTGCGGATTTACAGCGGCTCTCGAGAGAGCTGCGGTCACCTGGCCGTAAGAGGATGCCAACTCTTGCGAGAGTGCTCTTAGATCTCTCGTAGAACCGACTTCATGAGCTAGTGATTCTATGAACACAGCAATGCAAGGCTAACACGGCTACAAGGTTTGTTAGATGAGCTTAAAAACTAGTCCGACGTATTACACTTACAGCCTTAGTTGCACTTGTATTAGAGAAGAGAGTCCCTTGCGTAGATTATATTAATACTAACTTGGTGTAGACCAAGGAAACTTCTGAGGAGTAAGGCGGGTGTGGAGTATCAAAGCCTTGTGGGAGATGGAATGACAGTATTGCGAACAGGGTGTAAGTGTAAGTCTATGTGTAATATTGTTTGTCTGTACCAACAGCATCGCCACTAAGCTAGGGAAGAACCCTCACTCTTATATCGAAACCCAGAATATCCAGGCCACACACTGTGAAAAGCCATGCTACCTTGGACAAGAGAGAGGGGGTGTTCGTACCAAAATCCTGGAGCACCCACTTTCAACGGGGGCATCCCAGGACAGCCTCACGTAACGAGCAGGGCAGATTCGAAGCCAACTCAAGACGCGGTCAGTCGCCCGCGGCTTCCGCGTCGTGACGCAGGACTATGCAAGCCGCCATCAAGGAATGTGCAGAATAAGATTCCCAAGTCTGAGCACAGACGGGGCGGAACACCCCCCATCTCCCTCCTCCATGGGTCCCATCAAGCCGTACCCGCCAAGGGGCGGCAGACTACGGGAAGGGAGTGCGAGGAGTCCACGACACCGGGATGAGTTACGGGTGGGGGGGGTGTGGCAACGGCAACGCAGCAGCAAACTAGACGGGGACAGGAGTTGACAGGGGCAGCGACGAGCTGAGGAGGTTGACAGGACTAGAGACCAGGATACTGGCGGAAGGAAGAAAACACAGAATGTTTGACGCGCAGCAGAGCAAAGCACGGGAATGAGATACCGGGTCGGTGAAGCCCGGAGGAGGGTGGATAATCCCCGGGGCGCCGTCCAGAACGATCTTGGAAGGGCCAATGAGGAGCCCTTGCGATGGATGCCTACGTCCCTGGACACGACATACAATGGGCCAGTGTGGATAGAGATATTAGACGTTCAAAGGGCAGAAGTCGCAATGACTTCCGCGCGTCAGCAGGTTCAAAATCTGCCATTGATCTCATAAGGAACCAGTCCAAGCCAAGACGAGGCAGATGACCAAGTACTCAAGGAGGAGGGACCCGTAAGTTCCACGTGGAATCGCTCCGGTAGGTAAGGCTTCGAATAGGAACCGGGGCCCGGAGTGGAGGCTGGGAGAGGCCGGAGGGAGGAGAGATGAGACGGGGCAGAATAAGCGAGCAGGGACCCGGCGACGTCGAGGACGCTTGCGAGGGCTCTTCGTCTTCCGAGCTACGTATTGAAGGGGGGTAGCTTCGTGAAGCTGGTACGTCAGGAACTACGTAGACAAAGACAAGATTCTCACCCAAATTCAGCTTTGATGATGGGCGAGTGGGTTGTCACTCTCGAACCAAACTTTCGCAATCTGTACATGGTTCCATGTATCTCTGAGCAACGCAACGGGAAGAGCTCAAACGCGCTGGAGCAGCGTTCGGCCAGCATCTGGCCGAAAGATTGGGGAATCGACAGCTCCAAGTTTGCCATCAGCCCTAGGTCGATAATTAGAGTGTGCCCAATCGCCCAAGAGCAACGTTGTTGCTTGTGCCTGACGTGCGTGTAAACCAGGGGGGTGCGGGGCGGGGGGGTTTGAGCTGCATGGCATGCGGATACAGTTTAGCTACTCGCGGCCGCGTAGCTGCGTGATGACCTTGATTGATAGGACACCTATCGCCCGGTACTGGATGCCACACCCATTCTCAATGAATCGAGGCGTCTCCCGCGCAGTCCCCGACCCCAAACCACTTGGTCAGACAGCTTTTGAATGTAGCCATAGCGAACTAGACCGAGGCTTGCGCCCGTTATCCAAACTCCTCCAGCAAGGCGAGCATTCGGATCAGAGGCATCTCAAAGCTCGTACTTAGTCGTCGAGAAAGGGTGTTGTTGTCCATATGATCGATGAGTCGTAGCCTGAGGTTCGTAGGGACGACAGACAGTAGCCGATCTGCCGTCTTTCGCGCAGCTTGGATTTTGACACCCTCGTTTTGTCAAAGGTACGTGAGTGCTGACGAAACGGCATGGCGTGTAATTCGTTCGTGTCTGACAGAGGCTGGCCCTGGTGCGCCAGACAAATGAGTCACTCGTGGAGAGCTGGCTCCGGTTTTTCTTATTCCCGTTCGACATTGGTCTCTTGTCTGGGCGAGGTAATAAGCGACGGCCAGTGTACTTCGTAGCGTTCGTTGGCTGCGTAGCGTCTTTCCTATCCTTCGAGACGTCGTCTGCGGCCCAGGTTCCGAGGGAGGGGGAGCGTGCGAAACATCCCGACTTGCCTGCGGAACGGTGAGGATTAAGCTTATTGATAGACCCAGGAATTGCCCCTAACGGCCCTTACAGAAGTAATGTTGCGAAAAACACTCGGTTGGTCCACTCCCGATATTAGACCGTCGCGTCAAATGGATTCGTACGGCAGGTTTCTGCCGTGGCTTTGGCTGCCCTCGTGACCGTCAGATCCTGAAAACATCTCAATTGATCAATCAAATCGCTGCGTTATTTCCCGTCCTGAATGTCAGGTGTCGTTGGACGGCAGGCTGGCGCCGGGCGCATGTGCAGTGCAAATTCCCGCTGTCGGGTGTTCTTGGGAAGAGCCAAAAGCCTCAATGTCGCTTGCAAACTCAATGGCTGGTTTAATACGTTTGGCCTGGAAAGCGATATTTGATTGGCGTGATGGCATCAAGGTGGGTCACGCTGTCTCCTTCCTCGTCATTCATTGAACGCTCCTTCCTCCCTTCCCTTTCTGAATCAGTAGTCCAAGGCTCCTTCTCTTCTTCATCTACACTCTGTTTACCTAGTCATGTTAAGATACCCTTGGAGCAGGAGCGTGAAAGATTTCGAATTTAGGTACTCCATCTTAGAACGGCTAACATGTTAACCAGTCCGGAGTGCACCGAGCAGCTAAGATTCATCTTCCCAGTTTCTGACAGTTTGTTCTCTTAGCCCGTGGAGATGAACTACGAAGTATCTCGGATGAACTGCTGGCTGATGGGTTCAATTCCGAGAAGGATGGCCTTTCTCTTGAATATGTCATCTTGGCAGAGCGAGCTTCTGGAAGAACATCCCAGCACTTGTTCAAAGCCTTATTTGTTAGTGTACTACGTAAGGTAGACAGCTGATTTGACAGATTGCGTGGCTTAGCTGACGAGTCGTCTGCAACCCCGGGACTTACTGTGTATGCAGTGGACTTCAACATGGGAGCCCAGACCATACTATCGCCCTGGCGGAGATGGGCGGCCGGTTGAGCGGGACTGATTACGCCGCCGTCGTCAAAATTGCTGTGCATTTATCCGTGTTTAGTTAACCTTACCGTTGGGCCGAACGATTCCAAAAGCTGCAGAAGCGGAAAACGATTTTCTTGAGTTCTTGCGCGCGGGCAATACGACCGATGCGACAGGGTTGCAGATGAGGTGCCCTCCTCGATCCTCGGTGACTCAAAATGGCGTCCCACGAGCTCGGTCTCAGCCGTGCAGCTCGATCTAAGGCATCTGCCTAGAAGGCTTGCATTGGGACAACCATTCAGAAAACGCCACAAGTTAACAGACTCGCTCATTGCGACCATCATAGCATAACGGCAATATTTGGGTCGTATGCGTATCTGTCCTGTCCTTGAGGTAGTTTACCTGCTATGTGTGCTTCCATGCTGAAAAGAGTCTAAAGGCGATTTCTGCCTGGAATTTGAAATCAGAGTTTGTCACGTAGCAATGATCTCGACTCTGACAAGTCAATAAACTAGCAGTGCGACACCTGGCACCCTCTCGCAGACACACGCCAACTGTTTCCCTTGGTGCCGTGACCGGTTCCTGTACCCGCTTATAGGTCTGCCAGTCCGACAGCATGTCTTACAGTAGATGCGTTGCAGTCAGCGTTGCTACTGGTGTGGCGCATGATGAAAATATCATGGTGTTGTTGCTATGCCATCTTTGGCAGCTTCTTTCGAGGTTCGAACAGATGCATAGGGAGAGCTTGTAATTAGAAAGGTGTGTCCTATCACAAGGTGCGTCATGAGGGATATGGAAGTTGTGAAAGAGTAGGTATTGGTGCCACTTGAATCGATATGTTTACTTTACACTCCATATGGCATGAGCTTAGGGTTCCCGCTGCCCAGAAGCGTCAACGCCTTCAGCCAACATCGCTGAAGCTTGAATGATAGTAGGCATCTCATTGGCTCATGTTGTCAATTTGATGAAAGCAAGTACCTTTGTACGGTTCATCCTGTAAATGGGTGGTTTCGAATTGAGAAAGCTCTGGCCTCGGTCATTACTTTCTTTTACTCTACCTTCGGTATGTCAACACAACTTTTCAGTGCACAAGCTTTGTACAGTTAGTTGCATACTGGTTCAAAAAGGACATCCTCGCAAAAAAAAATCCACGTAATCAGTTGTCGGCGCGTATCCGCCGTAGGCACCGACTATCAACGTCACAAACAGCCAGTTGCTGCGCCGTGATCTTGCATCATTTAGGAATCCATCGCACACGACGAACAGCAAAGGTTTCAGCAACTGATGAGGTATTGGCCTCGCTCAAAAACAGGCAGAGGCTGGGTGGACTACATCTCGGGGTGGTACTCGAGACTTCATAATCAAGTCGGACTGTGTGCACCTTCAACTTTCATAACCGAGCCTTTCTCACCATCAGACTCACTCACCATGCGAAGCTCTAGGTACGGCAGATCTATCTATCATCTACCCCATATTTACAAAATTGGTGGTTGCAAGTCTGCAGAATAGTGGCTTCAGCCTGCATGAGGTTGACTGAGTACATGCGGTCGAGCACAAGGGTTGCCTGGTTGCAATCCACGAGAAAATGTGCCTCACTGATAACAAAAAGCGCCTTGTGCTTGGCGACATGTTCAAGAAGACGTGAGGACGAGCTTCCCCACCAATCTCAATAGCTCTGAAGACAAGCCTTGCTGAAGCCCACCACTGTTACGCAGTCAAACGCCTCGAATGCGGTTCTCGCAACCGTACATGTATGTATACGACTGGTATGATTTGGGCTAGTCTGTTCAAGGTAGAGCAGCCACATTCAGCCCTACAGAGCGTGGGCTCTTTCAACTGGTTATCAAATTGAATCCGTCTCAATTGTGTGGTGTTCCTTATTTGTTACCGGGAACAATTGGAAGGGTTCCCAGGGGCCAGCTAGATATCTTTCAATCGCGAGGCTACAGTTGATACTCTTAGTATGTCTTTGTAGTGAAAGCTTCCTCGTAATAAGTATACGACATCACTTACAGCCTTGATTGTCGTAATAACCTTTCTACTGATGACCACAACCTTGGTATGACACGTCTATCTGAACAGGAGGAATGTTAAAGGTTGCTCGTGCTTGAGTGTTTCGAGGTTAGCATACGCTGTTAGCAGTACATTAAGTAAACAGTCGGCAGCGTCCGTCGATACACAGCACCTAGCGGCCCACGAACGATTGCGGGGACTACTACAATCCCATCAAGCAGCTTGAGCTTATGAGAAGACTTGTTACAGCATTGAGTTTACCCCGTTGTCCCCTCAAATTCCAGACTATGCGTGATAGGACTCAGCTGGCCAGCTGAGAGAGTAAGCAACCTGAAAGTTAGCCCGACACCTCACAACGACTCACCCAGATATTAGGGCTAGAGAACCAGGCATTTTCTGCATAGACTCAGCTTGTCCCTGATCAGCTCGTTTGACTCCCGCTGTCTACGTGTTACCGCGGTCCACAAGTAAGGGGCTGAGCCATGGACTGCTTATGGGAGGATTGGCTGTTATCCAGTTTCATATTTCGACGGCGACATCTCCGCGGCAATCTTGTAACCTGCATGACCAGAGGTGATCAGTTTGCGAGACTAATACAATTCTCATGATGGCTGTTCATGGTACGCTGTTGATGATCACCGTCCAGCTTTGATGCAGTTCTCTCCAGTACGGCCCAATGAGAATGCAAGTTATTCCAAGCTCAGCCCGTCAGACCAACAACTCATGTACCTAATGTCGTAGCTCATGCGCTAGCCATAGGTTGGCATCGTGTTTACGCGCACTCTCTTCCAAAATAGAGAACTGGGACGAATCGGAGGGCGAACTGCTCGTCAATCACGCTAACAATAGAAATGGAGAAGCTTATATGATTCGACTTGAATACCCAGACAGTCGATGATCGCTGTCCATTTTTCAACCTCGTATCGTACAAGATCTATGAATATAGTACAGTTGGTGGTGTCAAGTGGTGTGAGGCTGGAAAACGGGACAGTCGCGCAACCCCTAATCGATTTATCGTAGACCCTGAGCCTCCCTCTCGGCCTTGCGCGCGGCAATGCGCTTCCTGAAGCGAGTCTCTGCCCTTCTGCGCTCACCTCCATCCACCTTGTGACCCTGCTTGTGCTCCCACATGCCCTCGGACACGACGACCTTCGCGCCTGCACCGGCCTTCAGGGGCAATGCGCTGGGACCAGAGATCGTGTGCGAGCCGCGAACCGTGTATCCTGACGGCCTCGTGAGCTTTTCGATGTCTGCGTTGCTCACGTCGGTGTGCGCCGGCACGTTGACGACCAGCTTCTTGTCTGTCTTGGGGTCGCGCACGACCTTCAGGTACGCCTCCCCGTTCTCCACATGCTTAAAGTCGCCGCCGGCACCGAATGCACCCTTCCTGTATCGATCGAGCCAAGTGAGGAGGTAGCGTCGCGTCCGTGGCGGTTCCAAGCCGAGCTCTCTGAGTTGTGTCGAGGAGAGGGTGAAGAGAGAATCCCATGTCGGGAACTTGTCGACGTGCTGGCTCAGGCCGCGGCCGAGAACCTTGAGGAGGGTCGGGACATCGGGAACGAGGGGTATCGGTGACGGAACGGCGGGGATTTCTCTCGTCTTATGAAGCCATCTGGCCTGGCACGTCGGTGCGACGGGGGCCTTGTGGAGGAAGGGGCTCAGAAATTGCTGGATCCGTGGCGCTCTCATGTTGACCTGTGGGAAATTAGTACCAATTGAACGTTGTGTGCAGAGATACTGGGCGAATTGACATACTGAATGGACAGGTGAGCTTCACAAGCTGTATGCTTGGCCAATTTCGAGCTTGCGTGGGTGATGTCGTCGAAATCAATGGATCTCGCGATGTTCCTCGACTGCTGTCTCCCAATTTTTGTTCCGACAGACGCTAAGGATCGGGATAACTTTGTCTTAGGTAAGCTGATCAGCTCCAACGGAAGGGGCCCGTGCATTATGATCTGACCGCCTTCCATATTGGCTCCACTCTGTCACCCATGCTGTCATGGTCTGCCGAGGGTCGTTCTGCCGGAGAAGCTCCGCTAAATTAGCAGTGCCCCTCCATCTGTCGCGCTAAAACCCAGGCGTCTTTGGAGGCAATGCGACGCGACTTTGCCTCTTACTGCCTGCTTATCGATTAAGCTAGGTACCGAGGAGCTTCCTTCCTTCCTTCCATGCCCGAGTCGCATGTTGCACTTTACCTCACTCAACTTTCTCTCTTCTTCCAATATTTTCTTTCCGGAGACAACACAATAGTCATATACAAACCACTCTCTGATTTCCTTCGTCTTCCCGGTCTTTTCTGCTTGTTCATACAGTTTCGACAAAGCAAGCATGTCTCCAGCTTATACTTAAGTCCCGATGAAGTCGTTGATAAGAGTGTTAGCAACAGTGATCAAGATTAAACATGGCTCGCACAAAGCAGACAGCGCGCCGCTCAAAGCCACTCCCAATAACCACTGCAATCTCATTTCATGGTCTGTTGAATTTAGCCTGGAAGCACGCATATTCTGACTAATCTTCTTAGAACCTTGGCCGGTTGACTTTATTCACCAACTGCAGAACCTCCCATCCAACGATGAGGCTCAAACCCAAGACCATGATGCGACTGAGCCATCTGCGAAACGAGTGAAGCGATCGCACGAAGATGTGAAAGCACTCCTTGTGGCCGAGGAAGAACTGGAGTTTGTGCGAAAATGTCCTGAGAAAACACTTCCCTTTACTCGATGCAATGTCGGACCCCATTTGCACCTATTCTCAGACAAATCGAAGGAGTTCAGAATTGCCTCTCGCATCAAACGATCAATCCCGTCGATCAACGTCTCTGTCGCAATCCATTCAAATTCCCTCACTCAGCGTCTGACAGTTTGTCTGGATGTCTTTGCCAAGAAACGGGAGAAGACTAATGGCGAAGGCGAAGTCTGGGTGGCACTTGATGTCGCTCTGCGCCCTCAAGGAGATTTTCTCTCTATGGTGTTTTGCTTCAAGCTCTATTGGAATGAAACTAAGACGCCATACAGCTGGTTGCGATCTGTGAATGAGCGCCAGATTAGTCAGAGCATTCTTGATACTTTTCTACCTGACGAAACCGCCTCATCCGCCTCAAGTTCGAAACAACAGAGCTGGTCCCCATTGGACTTTTATGAGGCAGCTCATGTACCACCTGCCGAAGACGAGACCGCGCTATCGATCGAAATACCCGAGTTGGCAGCCAAACTCTATCCCTACCAGAAGAAGACAATTCAATGGCTTCTCAGTCGAGAAGGTGTTCGCTGGAAGGAGGCAAGCGTGGACTCAGTTTTGAACATCGAGGAGCTACCTATCGCCTCAGATACCGATATCGCACATAGCTTCCGCAGAGCTCGAATCGAAGGGGGATCTAGACAATCCTTCTTCGTCAGCGACCTGTATCATGTCGTCACTACCGACCTTACAGATTTTCAGCAAGCCGAGCGGGGCATCCGAGGAGGTATCCTAGCTGAAGAGATGGGCCTTGGCAAGACTCTCGAAGTCATCGGCCTGGTCACGCTACATCGCCGACCCCCGACCGATAGTTACATTGTCACGCGAGAGGGTGAAGAGCTTCTGACAAGCGGCGCAACTTTGATCGTTACGCCAGAGTCATTGAGGAACCAGTGGGTTGCAGAGCTTCAACGACACGCACCTCACCTACGAGTCAAGTTCTATCCGGGGCGCAAGAATGTCAACTTTGAGACCGAGGATGATCTCCGTGCTGACTTGGCCTCATACGATGTGATCATCACCACATACCCAGTCTTATCAGCGGAGGTACACTTTGCTACGAAGCCCCCTGAGAGATCTCGGCGCCAAGAGAGAAAGTACGAACGTCTAGTGTCGCCCCTGACGAGAATATCCTGGTGGCGTGTCTGTCTTGAAGAAGCTCAGATGATTGAGGGCGGAGTAAGCGGGGCAGCTGTCGTCGCAAGAGTACTGCCCCGTGTCAACGTTTGGGGCGTTACTGGAACACCAGTGAAGAATGACGTCAAAGATCTCCATGGTCTGCTTAACTTTTTGCGTTACGAGCCCTATGCATCGTCTACACAGGTTTGGAGAGCTCTCACAGAGTCACACAAGCCTCTTTTCAAGTCTCTGTTCGGCAGTATTGCCTTGCGCCACACTAAGCAACTTGTCAGACACGAGATCGCTGTGCCGCCACAAAAGCGATACGTCATTACGTTGCCCTTCACCGCCGTGGAGGAACAATACTACGGCGAGATGTTCAAGACTATGGCCAAGAATTGTGGACTAGATCTTCTCGGTGCCCCTGTAAAGTCCGATTGGACACCAGAAAAGAGCGAGACTGAGATGCGGGCGTGGCTTAACCGTCTACGACAGGCAGCTCTCCATCCTGAAATCGTTCAGATACGCGGCACTGGTCGAAAAGTCGGACCTATGCGGACAGTCGATGAGGTTCTGGATGCTATGATTGAGCAAAGTGAAAACGACATTCGAGCCGACCTTCGGGCCTACCTCCAGGCCAGACTTACACGCGGTCAGATGCTCGAAAACAGTCCCAGGGTCAAAGAGGCTCTCGAGATATGGGAGAAGGTCAAGGTGGATGCCATGGATCTTGTCGCCGAGTGCCGACAGGAGGTGAAAGCTGTCATAGGTACGCTATCAGGAGAGGTTTTGGTCGCAGATCGAGGATGGGACGAGAGCGACCAAAATGAAGCCGATGATGGCGCGACAAATGCTCTCGTTGGCGAGGCCCGCACCAAACTTCGACATGCTTTGGAGGTCCTTCATAAAGCGACATTTTTCTGTGCAAACGCCTTGTTTCAAATCAAGAGCAATACGGACATGACTGAACCGGATTCCGATGACTTCAAGAAGTATCAACAACTTGAAGACGACGAGTATAGCAAGGCTCAGGAGGTCCGACGAGAAATCCTTTCGGAAAGTCATGCCAGAGCAATGTCGCTTATGAATAGTCTGGGACGCCAAGCCGAAACACAGTCTTTCATCGAAATTCCAGAACTAACATTGAGCGGGCCGAAGGGACTGGAAAGCGCCCCGACGCTTGACACATTGGAAGAACTATATGGTGTCCTCAATGAGCAGGCAGATCGCATTGATGAATGGAGAGAGGCTCTCATCGGTTTGCTCTGTCAGGCACTGATCGATGAAGAAGCGGAAAATGAGGTCACGGGTGAAGAGTTCACCGACTCCACGCAGATCCAAGAGGAACTGATCGTCCATGTGCAAGTCCTTCGTGCCGCCATTGCCGACCGTCAGGACGCCATCTCAGGGCTTCAGAATGCGTTGGTTCGTCATGAGACCAACGTTTCACTGATTGCCGCAGAGAATGGCGATGGCCCAGCCCCAGAGAAGTTCCTGGCTCTCAATGACGCTAGAGATTCAGTGAAGCCGTCCCCAGTTAGGCATGGCTCACTTCGCCGTGCTATTGCTGAGTTGCGAGGTATTGCCTCAAGGCTACCAAAGGATGGCGGCGGCCGGGCAAGCCTTGAGCACGGGATTGTGATCAAGCAGATTCAACAAACACAGGCGCATATCACCGCTCAGACTAAAGCGGCTACAGCTTTGGAACGGGAGACCGACCGTTTCACAACTGCAATGAATGCCAGGGTTGAGTACTACCGACAATTGCAAGCAGTGTCAGACAGTGTCGCCCCCTATGAAGGCCCCAGCGATGGACAGGCCGTAGCTTCTTGCATCGCGAGCGAGGATAATTACCGCAGGAAGCTAGACTCTTCAAAGGCGAAGCACAGATATCGTGAGTTCTTCCTAATACGTTCGTCTTGATTTGAACTAAACAAATGTCTTTCTAGTGCTGAATCTCAAGATGGACGGCGGAAAGTCTAACGAGCCTCGGATGTGTATCATTTGCCAGTCAAACTTTACCATTGGAGTTCTGACAGTGTGCGGCCATCAATTCTGCAAAGAATGCATAAAGCACTGGCACAAGGCTCATCAGAATTGCCCCATGTGCAAGAGGAAGCTTCGACTCACTGAACTCCACGATATTACTCTCAAGCCCAGAGAGTTGAAGTTACACGATGAGACTCCAGTTTCTGCTTCGTCCCAAGTGAAGAAAGACGAGATTGCCAAGGCAGATGGCATCTACTCTCAATTCAGCACTAAAAAGCTTGCCCAGATCAATGACATTGAGTTATTGAAGATGTCTTTTGGAACAAAGGTTGACTCGATTGTCAGACACATACTATGGTTGAGGGAATCGGATCCTGGTGCCAAGTCTGTCATCTTCACCCAGTAAGTCCAATAAGATGAAGACCTCCTTAGATTTCTCCACTAACACTTCAGTTTGCAGATACAAGAGTTTCCTGACAATCCTGGGCGAAGCATTCAACCGCTACCAGATCGGCTTTTCCGCAATCGACAGGCCCAATGGTATCATGAAGTTCCAGAATGATGCTAGCATCGAGTGTTTCATGCTCCATCTCCATGGCCGGGCAAACTCGAGTGGGCTCAACCTTGTCAACGCCAGCCACGTCTTCCTGTGTGAGCCGCTGCTGAACACTGCGCTCGAATTGCAGGCGATTGCTCGCGTAGATCGCATTGGACAGAAAAACGAGACAACGGTTTGGTTGTATCTGATTGAGGGGTCGGTGGAGGAGTCGATCTACAACCTGTCGGTCAAGCGACGCATGGAACACATGGGTCAGAAGTCCAAAGGAAAGTCCAAGCAGTCGACTCCAGAGGTCCAGGAGCCCACTTTGGAGGCTGCCAACACTTTGGAGCTAGAGCAAGCTCATCTCAACCAACTGATGAGTAAGGATAAGAATGCAGGCGAAGCGGTTGCGACTGATGATCTCTGGGAATGCCTATTTGGGCGTGTGTCCCGGCGTATTGCATCAAGCGTTGCAGAGGAGATTGTTCATGAGGACTAAGCTGTCCTTCAATCTGCGCAACAGAGAGCTAGCAAGTATATTGTTTGGTCAGAGAAGAACAGGACAACGCAGGCTATGAGGCGTTTGGTGGCTTGGTTTGGAGGGACACCGGTGGTGGTATTGGCACCAATCTGCGGGTAGGGATTCTCAATGTTTGAGTATAGACAACTTCTATCGAGACATGGTCGCGGCGTAGCCCGCTACTAGGCTAGAATGCAACACAATTGACATTCAAGATCTTACACTTGAAGAATAGAGAGCTCCAAATTGAGTGATCGCCAGCATCCCAGACCTAAGCCAACTTGCCCCAGGTATGCCGTATTAGGCACGTCTGTACTATGTAAGTACCTTAACTGAGGTAAGTTCAAGGGACCTCACCTCAAGCATTTAGGGGTTTCGTGGTTCAGGGGCCTGTCCCCACCACAACTGGCGCCAGGTGCTGCGGGGACCTTGTTGGAGAATTAGGTCATAATTGAACCCCGGGCTGACAGACAGGCGACCAGCATCGGAACCATTGTACAGCATTCCAACCACAACCTCAGCAACCCCGCCTGAACCTCCCAGCTACAGTTTAGTAGCCTGATCATGTTTTGAAAGCCTGACAATCGCCTCGAGGCTACACGCGAACACGATTGCATCCCAGATGCACCAGCTATACCCCGTACGCCAGCATGTATAGGTCTCGAGGGACTGCTCCTCAGGGGGGCGGCATCCTCGGCGCCTTGAAGGCGACTGAGATGCTGGATTCGAGGCCGACGCTCCCAGCAGGTTTGCTTGTCTTGCCTACCAAAGAATCGCAGGAAAGCTGACAATGGGTAGAAATTCTGGTCGCCATATTAGACTACCTCCCAGTGGCAGACCTGATGCAGGTCGCTCGAGCGTCCCGACGAATGCAGGAAATGGTATACGACGATACGAGATGGGTCACTCGATTGAAGAGCATGGGGTGCTGGGACGAGCAAGAGGCGAGACGCCGTTTTGAAGACGCCGTGAGGAGGAGACGAGAGGCGGCAGAACGTGCAGCGAGCGCAGCGAATGCAACCAACAATCAGCCAGGCGCTCCAGCAAACCACGCAGCACCGAAACCCACGAGTACGACTTTATTCGATGCTACATTAGAAGAAGAGCGCCGGAAGCGCCAGTCTATTGCACCCCCCATCGATGGATTCGAGAAGATGACTGTAGGAGCCCCTGCGCCGAAGGACCCTTTCAAAGACCCAGAAGCACTATTAGACGTGATCAAGAACGCCAAAAGTGTGAGAGGACACGCGAGGGAAGAGTATGGGAAGATTTACGGCTCATTGGCACCTTTCTACTTTGACCTAGCAAGGGCAAAGAGCCATACGGATCCCATCGTTTTCCAAGTCTTCAGAGACCCCGAGCGACAAGCCAAGATGCTTTCGAATCTCCAGACATTTGCAAAGAGCGACTGGGCGCAGGGCTGGAATCAGAGGGAGGAACGACTAATGACCATGACGAGCATCTTTGAGAGCGCTGTGCTGCGGGAATTCGAGCAGGGTTACGAGTCTTGGGATGTCGACAACAGGATGAAACGGTATGCCCATGTGCTGCACGCGCTGAACGGCGGTAATGCTGGGACGGAGCTCTTTGTGCAAAAACACCCCATCTTCAGCGACGAGGAAGTCTTGAGGGCGAATTCGGTGGACTGCATCAACCGGGCCAACCCAGACGACATCAACCTGGAGCCGTCGCGCATGTTCTTCGAGACCCTTCTACAGAAGATGAACGAGCAGGCGGAGGTTATAGAGCGGGTATTCGCTAACCCTGACATTGTGTTTTGGGAATTGATGGAAAAACTCAGGGAGGATATTATCATGGATTACATCACGCCGCTTTTTGACGCTGCACATGACCGGAACTTGCAGGCGTATCTCAGGGCTGTGGCTGGGGTTTTTGAGCAGGGCATGCTTTTCTTCCAGTCGCTGTCAACACCAAAAGCCTTCAAAGGAAGTCTGGAAGAGAAGGCGAAAGAAATGATGTTGCGAGTCTTTGAGCCACATCTTGACCTCTACCTACAAGAGGAGCTCGACTTCTTCACTCAGCACGCCGAATCAGAGGTGGCAGAGTGGGAGAAGAAGCTGTCGGAGCAAGACGCTTCGGTCGAGTCGTTCTACATGAGTAACTTCAACAGGCAAGCGGACAAGAAGGACTTTTTGAGTTCCTTCAAGAAGGTCGTCATGATGCCGGTTACTGTGTTGCCCTCTTTTGGAACCTCGGCGAAACCCGTGACGCCAAACGGCACTACTGCTCTTTCGCCAGAGCCATCGAGGCCGCATACGCCCAGCCTTGCCCCTGGCGCGGACGGGAGCGGACGGCTGAGTCCACTGCCCGAGAAGGCCCCGACTGATGAACTGGCGGCCAAGGCAGCCCTCATGGCGTCGCGCATGGAGGGCATCAAGACGCTTTTCAGCATCGAAGTGGCACTTAACCTCACACACGTCGCCAAGACGAGCATGGCGCGTGCATCCAGCTTCATCAAGCTGGGAGGCCAATACGGCGAAGAGGCGCGGGAGCAATGCGAGACCATCTTCGTGGTGATGCTCCGCATCCTCGGAAACAGGCACGTCAAGCCTGGCTTCGACAAGGCCGTGGAGCACCTCTCACACTACAACCCTCGAGAAGTCAGCGACCACAACCAATCCGGCGTGGCGCCCCTGGTGACCTTTATCGAGCTCGTCAACGTGGGCGACCTCATCTCGCAGATGATTGACGTCTTCTTCGAGCAGCAGCTCGCAGGGCCCAAAATCGCCGACAAGAATGACTTCCTCGACCCGTCGGGCATCGCCAAGAAGAAGTGGGAGCAGATGCTCGACGAAAGCGTCGCGGCGGGGCTGAACAAGGGCATCGACGTACTCATGGACGAGGTCGAGTACCTCCACGGCACGACGCAGCAGCCGACGGACTACAACCCGGAGGAGACGGGCGGCATTCTCGCGGACCCGGGCCCCACGCCCACGGCGCAGCGCATCAAGGAGCTCGTCTCGGCGCACACGCGCATGCTGGTCGGCAGCACCGACAAGTCCATGCTCGACGTCTTCAACGGCGAGGTCGGCCTGCGCCTCTTCACGGCCGTGTGCAAGCACCTCAAGCGCCAGCGCGTCAGCACCGAGGGCGCCATCAAGCTCATTGCCGACATGAACCTCTACTTTGAGTACATCCGCACCCTCAAGAACCAGGACCTGCTGGCGTACTTCAAGGCACTGAGAGAGCTGAGCCAGATTTACCTCATCGACCCGCGTCACGCAAAGGAGATGGCCACCATCATTGCCGATGGCGACCGCTTCGAGGGCGTGTTCCGCGCGGAAGAGGCCTACGAGTTTGCGCAGCGCCGGGCGGATTGGTATCAGGTCAGGAAGGATGTCGAGAGGGCCATGTACGGGATGGAGTGCTCGCTGATGTAGAAGAGCACGATACCGAGTGCACGAGGAGGGCCAAGAAACTAGACGATGCAAATGATGAGAAAAGAAAGCCTTGATGTTTTGTGGAGTACAAAAGATAGATCTTCTCAGAGCCATTGGGAAGAACCTCCCCTTTAAATAGCCTGTCCCATCCTTAAAAGAATATACCCCCCCCTTCCCTTTACCCATTTGCCTCTGCCATAACGCCTGTGATGCTACATACTTTTTTCGAGTGTGGAAAGAATTCGTAAAGACTGCGTTGTTTTGCAGATCTAAGCTCCAAAATTGAGCTTGCGAGCCACCTTGGCGCCCCTATCCTCGTCAACCATGCCGGGACGCCGCTTCAGGTCCGCGCCCATCTTCTCCTCGCCGCCGCCTTTTCTGGGCAGTTCCTCCTTGCGCGAGGGTTTCGGCTCCGTGCGCCACCAGTTGTGATTCAGCATGTCCCTTGCGGTGATGCGCTTCTTGGGATCGAGGATGAACGTCTTCATCAGGAGATCGACACCTTCGGGGCCCACCGTGCCGAACATGGCCTGGTAGAAATCCTTGCCCTTGACGGGCTCGGCATCATCCGGCACCGTGTAAGCGGGAAGCTTGGTCACTCCGGGCCAATTGTCCTCCGTTGGCGTACCGACGGCACGGCAGATGAGGGAAATCTGTTGAACCTCGGTCTCGGACGGCATGTACGGCGCACGAATAATGAGTTCCGCAAAAACGCACCCGACACTCCAGACATCGACGGCGCCGCTGTAGTGCTTCGCGCCAAAGAGTAATTCAGGCGGGCGGTACCAGCGTGTGATGACCTGGTTCGTCATGACCTGGTACGGGTCCGCGAAGCTCCGCGCGAGACCGAAATCGGCAAGCTTCACCTCGCCGTCGGCGGCGATCAACAAGTTGTTGGGCTTGATATCGCGATGTAGGACAAAGTTTTCGTGGCAGAACCAGACGCCGCGGGTGAGCATACCCATCCAGGCCTTGATATCTGCGGCACCGTAGCGGACGTTGGCCGTGTCTTTGATGAGCATCTCGAGGTCGCCTAGGGGTAGGTATTCGAGTACGAGATTGAGGTTCTGGTCCTTTGAGGAGAAGACGGAGAGGAGGGAGATGATGTTGGGATGTTGGAGCTCTTGGAGGTGCTTCAGTTCGCGGACGGCATCCGGGGCCATGCCTTCTTGGTATTCTTTCTGGACTTTGATCTTCTTGATAGCGACGAGGGAGGAGGTATTCGAGCGGAGGTGGCCAAGGAAGACAATAGCGTAGGTACCCTCTCCGAGTTTCTTTCCTGTAGGTAGGTGCTTGTCAGCGAGGCTCTTTTCTGTCGTACCATGCGATCCTTCAGTGGTATCTCAACGAACCCTTGACATATTGCTTCTTCTCCACCTCATTCATCTGCTCGGCAAGATCTAAAGTCGGGGCTGTCGTCGGGACGGGCGCGGCCTTCTTGTCCTTGGATGGCTGCGGGGTGCCGTTTCCTGAGGAGACCTGAGCCGACGACACATTGCGGAAAGGTGACCCGATAGTCCCCGCTGGCTTCAGCGCGTCGGCGGCACGAACGACGAGTGGTGATGCCGACATTGTGGGTGGCCGTGACTGATGTCGTCGCGATGCTTGAAGTTGATGGAGGGACGAGGCGACGGCTGAAGTCAGTAAGTCGTGGTAGCCTTGTCAGGCGTACCGGATGTTGATTGGCTAGAGGTGCCACAGCTAGGACAAAGCCACATTCCGGCAGGTGCGCCCCTCCCGAGATTAAAGCGGGGCCCGGGTGTGCATTTCGACTGAATTGAATTGCAGCAAAGTTCGGATGACAGAAGGCAAGTGTTTCGACCGGAGGAAACCTCCGTGATGCCAATACACGGTACCAAGTCTTTTCAGATCTCCAATGTTCCATCGAACGCCTTACTGTGCAAAGCCACACAATGACCCAGCATCACCAGATCTTAGTTGGCTGTATTCTTTTCGCTATCGAACCTTGCGCTCCTTGCGCCATCTTCACCTTACGCGGCGCGAAGATCATCAAGTGACATGGGCACAGGGCGCGAAGCGGAAGTTTCTATGGAGCGGTCCCCGAACCCGCCAGACTATGTGACTACCTATCCGAAGAGCAGGTGTACGGAGTACGGATACTACGTGTTGGGGGAAGCACCTAGAAATTGCGGCGGTGCAGGAGAACAAATGCCCAACTCGGATGGATCCGAGGTGGTGGTGTTGTAAATTGTTGGTTCGCGGACATGGTTGTTCCCCGTCTCTCCGAAAGCTGTGGCTGCCAAGGCTGAACATGCACAAATGAGTTCAGGGCTCTCCCCCTTCAGGCCGCATGTCAATGAGAGTAAGCAACCAACAGAGGAGGTGTGGAAGACTCAAAGAACTAACGTATGGTCGATTCATTGATTCCATTCTGACCTTGCTTCCCCGGATGCAGGTGCCAGGAAAGATAATGTTGAAAACTCAAATCAGAGAGTCAGCAATTGAGCAAATCAGGCGAGTTGAGAGCCCCGATAATTTCCCTTTAGGCGCTTGATCCGGCCAGACTCACGGCGAATCGCGACTTTTGCGATAGCGAACCTGCGGTCTAAGACTCAAAGGTGCCTTGTTAGCCTGTAAGGTAGGTAATTAGGTACCGTAGAAACTCGAGCAACTCGAACTTGCGCTAGCCCGTGCCAGCCCTGCTAGCGCTCTGGCAGAATCGTAATACTGCCTAAAGTGGTTAAATGCGGCCGCCACCTATTTTTGGCGTAGGTTAACATTTCGATCGATCTGACCAATGAGAGCTCGCCGTCGAGGCCGGACCCACAATTGATATAATTCAATAATTATTTTGGCTTTCTCGTCGGTTTTGAGCTTTTCTCGTCGAATTGGCAAAAAGGGCAAAAGTGTCAATTGGAAGCAGTCGTACGTAAGCAACCGAGCCCCTGACTGTCCCCTGGCCCACTGCCTCCAACGGGCCCCTATTCATACGGCGGTTGGACTGTCGGGTCGACGAACTGCCCATTGATGCCATCACGGACTTCCTCTGCTGTGAAAATGTACTCTAACCCGTCGTTCAGAACAGCGAAGTCTGGAATCTCCTCTTGCAGCGTCTCCTGCTCAATGTGGGCTTCTACGTCGAAGAGCTCCCACCCAGTGTAATCGATGGCCTCGGCGGGCACGTCTTTGATCCGGATCTCGTCGACCTGGCTGCCATCGGGCCGAATAGATATTCCGCACTGCAGGAAGGCCTGGCTGACCATTGAGCCCTTCTCGTGGGCCAATTTAGCGGCTGCCGTCTCGACTGTTTTGGTGACCATTATTCTCTTCATACCCGTCTCCCACTTGAGCTCCTCCTGCTTATTCAGCGCTTTTTCTTCCTCGTCGAGTACGTAAGCGTCGGTTGCTTCTGAAAGCCACTGCTTGAAGGGCTTATTGACTGCGGTATCGAGAGGTTGGAGGAGGGAAGTGGTCCCTGGCGGTATGAGGCAGGGTGTGATGTGGTGCTGACGTAATAGCGCAAGGATGGAATCTGTCTTATGGAAGGAAGCGACATCCATTACCAATAGGTACTCGTCTCCCTTAGTCAGCGCTACCAATTCCTCTTCAATCCATCTTTTGAACAAGTACTCATTGTTGTAGGCAGTCTTGTTGAACTCAACTGTCACTCCTTCTGCGTATAATAGGCCCTCTTTTTTCCATAATTGACCCCCTTCCTCTGCGGGCTTGCCGTGGAATATTATTTTCGGTTTAATTCGTTGTATGCCGTCGGCGAAGATGTAGAGTATTAATGTGGCCTGCCGCTTGCCCCAACCGCTGCGGTCGCTCTTGCCAGCCACGGTTTTGGCCCCGACGTCGTCGTATGTGTAACCGTCTAGGTATTCGAAAGGAACTGGGGTCTCGTCGAGGTTGAGAATTCGCGAGTTAGGAAATCGACGGGCTGGACTTCCGAGTAAATCTCCGACGTTAGACCGCTTCACCTTAGCCAGGGCCATTTGATTAACTCGTCGGATAAAGGAAAGAAAGCTGTTGACAACTTTGAAGTACTCAGTGGGTAACTTCGTTGCCTGTTTGGTAAGTCGACGTCGGGTAATTCTCATACGATTCTGGAAGCCACGAAACCAACCGGGGGAAAAAATAAAAAGATGTTTGCTGTTCGGGTTCTGCTGGGCGAAAATCCGCTTAGCGGTCCTTTTGAACCAACTGGTACTAACGAGCTTTCCCTCACTTCGTCGCTGGCGGAAGGCGCCGTATAGCGCTGTCTCGAGCTCTGGCCACTGAGGGTGGTAGGCGTAGTTGGAGGACCGATTGACGATTGACTCGCGGTTCTGATACCAGGAGATAACCGTGCTTCGAGGGACTTTGAACCAATCTGCGGCTTCCTGGTATGTGGGACGTCTGTATATCCCTGGGAGCTCGGTCTCGCCCTGGCGCAGCCTCGGGGGGCAAATCGACTCTTCGTCGAGCTTCCTCACGCGGTGATGCTCTAAAAACATCAGGACGTTGACTTTGGTATCGTGGGTATAGTGGTGCTGGCGGCGCTTGATTGGGCCACTTCGCGGTGTATATTTCCGGTCTTTGATGGGGGTAGGAGCAGGCCCGCGGCGCTTAGCTGCTGGAGGTGTAATTGGCACTTTTGCCGTATTCGAATCCTTCTCGGCAAGGGCCCGTCGTGAGGGCATCGTGGGCACGTCGACGAGGCCCGTGGTGGAGGTGTAATTGGAGGTATAATTGACAGTATAATTGGTGGTCAAATCGGTGATGTAATCGGTGGAAGTGGGCAGTTGGGTAGGAGTAAAAAATGGAAAATAATCACTTACCGCCTTCCGTATACGGTTTAGTCGATTATATAATCGGATAAAACTGATCCCTCGAAAGGGCTTAGTGTGGGCCGCTAGCAGGGCTGGCACGGGCTAGCGCAAGTTCGAGTTGCTCGAGTTTCTACGGTAGGGACCTTACGGTCGGCCGCGCCACTACGTCATCCCCTTGTTGATTTCCTTTCCCCGAGACCAATGACATGTTAACCCCCACAACGCGCGCCCCGGCCGGGAAGCTTGCGCACCAAGTGTCCGCACCAAGTGCCGATCGAATCCATGACTTCAGAACTTTTTTGGACCAGCACGACCAGGTAATTTGCCAGGGGGCTGCCGAACGAACAATTCTACGTCGAGGTACGGATGGAGAGAGTGCGCCCGACCGCAGCAAATCAGGCCGGACCCATCGGGCAACCAACATGCGGGTAACGGGACGCCGATGACTCTCTTAAGTCCGCATACCCGACCTCCCAGGGCCACCTCAGTTCATTCTGCTCTCTTTTCCTCGACACATTGTCCAGGCACCGCCCGATGTTTGACGTACGCAGGCATCTCCCGCGCAACATTCATTAAGGACCCCTCCCGCGCGCTCCCTGCCGCGTGTGAAACCTACTACCAACGAGATATCTACCAAACGTGCTCAGACCTCCTTTTCGAGTTCTTTTTTCCAACCTTCAGCCCAAAGTCTCGTGATCCCTTCAAGGTCTACGGATACACAAGCAACGTTTGCGACAGTGAACAAGTCCTTTTCTGGTAAGTGATGCATTCTCGAGTCCACTTTTTTTTTCTTCAGTCGTCATACCTCGTCATCAACACTCCCAATTGGCGTCGTGAGCCTCGTTGTAGTACACCAACTGTCCCTTCACTGAACAGCCTTCTTTGGCGCGACGCATCGTGAAATTCTTGGCACCACAAACTTACACCCCTCACAGAACAACCACAAACACCACAAACACCACAACACCAAAACACACACATCCGCCCATCATGAGGATATTATCATACTGGATCTTCCCAATCATATCGGGCCTCGTCTGGCTCGGCATGCTCCTCGGCATGCTCCTCTACTGGATCATCGACACCCACCGCACAATCTACCCATCAATGTCGCCGCCCCAGTCCATCGCCTACATCAGCGACGTCGGCGCATACTACCTCAAACCCTTATTCATCACCGGCTGCGTCCTCACCACCGTCTTCCTCGACCTCTCCTTCTTCTCCGACCGCTGGCTCCGCCACAAGGGCCGCCTCGTGCCCAACACCTCCATCGGCGAAAAGATCCTCTACGGCTTCACAATCTTCTTCGCCATCATCGGCACCGTCGGTTTGATTTGTCTCAGCATCTTTGACACCTACCGCCACAAGAACCTCCACCTGCTCTTCCTGTTATTCTTCATGGGCGGGTACCTGCTCTCGGCCATTTTTATTTGCTGGGAGTACCAGCGCTTGGGCATCAAGTACCCGGACCACACATACCTCGCCGCCTCCTTCTGGATCAAGCTCGTCTTCATCCTCGTCGAGATCGTCCTCGCCATCGCGTTTATTGTCTGCAATTTCAAGGAGATTTACAACGCGGCTGCCATCCTTGAGTGGATCGTTGCCTTCATCTTCTCGTTCTACATCTTTTCGTTCACCGTCGACTTGTTGCCCGCGGCGAAGACGCGGAACAAGGCGAATCGGTTTTCGAAGCCGGGGATGAGTCAATGGACTGGCAGCGGGCCGGGGAACTTTTAAGGAGAGAGTGGTCGAGGAAAAGTGGTAATGGACATGGGAATGGGATACGATGAAAAAAGACGGCAAAGATAATGAGAGTTGGTGGATGGAGTAATCGCGGGCGTGGCGAGGCTCGCGTTGTATGACTTGCATTTGCATACCCCCGGGGACAAAGATCATGAGCAACAGGCGTTTTGGGCGTATTCATTTTGCGCATACTCTAGATTTATAGTAGCATTTACAAATCCATGGCATACGTGCGACACAATATCCGTCCATTATCATTCTCATGTTCAGTGACGCAGCGAAAAGTCAATTGGTATGTAGGTCGGCATGGACCTACTCCCGTGCGTATGCAGACCGATTGCTACGATGCCATCCCAACATCGAATGGGAGGATACTCCAAGCGCCTCGAGTGTAATGCATAGACTGAGATGCTTAATCTGCAACGTTACTCGCCCGCCACGACCAGCTTGAAGTCCATCAGATCAGGGCAGGGGAACAGCATAGATGAGATTGGATGTTGCTGTTACTATGCGCCTTACCATTCGAGCTGATTGCATCCATAACTCCGAGCCTTGGTACATAAAGATGAGATGTAATTTAGTGATTTGGTGTAGACTAAGAGAAATGCTAATCAACGCACAACCACCGAGAAGCGATGTTGGACCTGTACATGGAGAATGTGTCGACCATGAAATGCACTCCGACGCTCCTCGCTGTAAATCCTATCCCACCCCACCCCCTGCCTAACTGAAGTATTCCTCCAGGATAAATAAATTCCATCCACCAACGCCATCCACTCTAAGTGAAGAAATGGCCGTCCATTCTGAAAGCGCCCATACGTCGCGATCTATTCAAGATTCTCTCGGAACCGCGAATCCCGCGTCGGGCTGTGCGTCTTGTGCGTATTCGGATCCCGGATAGCAGCCGGCGGCGACACAGGACCCTCGAGGTCGTCACTCGCCTCGACAAAGTGCTCCGACTCAGCATCAGAGCTCACGGGGCTTACATCACCCTCATGTCCCACCGACCTAGACGTCGTCTCGCTGCTCTTGCCGGCGATAGCAACCTCTCTCATGCTCGCCGACCGCGCATCACCAAGACTAGTCACGCTCTCGTTCGCGATCCTCGTGAGCGCAACACCGCCGATGAAACCACGCTCCTCGGCGCTCTCCCCGGCCGCAGACCGGCCCCGCGGTCGGCCGAAGCGCGACTTGAGCCAGCTCTTCATCTTATTCGTGGGTGAGCCGCTGTCGCTCGGTGAGCGCGGGTTATCACTGCCGGAGCTTTCTCTATTGGTGTTGATATTTCCAGGCTTATGCTGTCCCGCGCGGTTGACGCCCTGGTCGTCGCTCACGGGTGAGACTTCGCTGGGTTCTGCTGCGGCGACGGCCGAGTCGGCCGGCGTGATCTCGGGAACTTTGGATTTGCGCTTCTCCTCGGCTTTGACGGCCTTTTCCTCTTCCTTCTTGGCCTTGAGCTCTTGCTTCTCGCGGTGGCGCTTCTCCTTTTCTTCCTGCTTCTCTTGCGCTATGTGGTGTTAGACGTAATTTTGAGAATAAAGGGGGAAAAAGTCACTTACCAATGACCTTACGGTTAATTTCCTTAACCTCTCTGTCACGTTCCTTGCGCTTCTCCTCGTCCCTCTTCTTCGCTTCCGCCTCGGCCTTGAGCATCTCTTGACGCTCCCGTTCGATGGCCGCCTTCTCGTTGATCTCGTCGAGCACGGGCTGGACTCTCCTTGTGGCGATCTCATCGACTGCCGCAGGGTCCATGAACATGCCGCCACCAATGTCGACCTTACCCCTGTTCACGTTGATAGACTCGTGCTTGGCCATGGCGGCCATCTGGGCCTTGGCCTCCCAGTCGCTCTTCCGACTGGGTGCTACCATGCCCGTCTCGGCCGAGATCTTGTCGTCCATGCCCTGTAGGCGGGCCTTGACGTTGCGTTGGGCGGCTGCTAGTAGGGCTTCGCGATCCTTTGTCCGCTTCTGCTCGTCAACCTTGGTCAGGTTGGAGGAGAAGATGGACATTTCTCTCCGAATGCGCTCTGATTGTTCCTTGTCGTGACTAGCGTCGCCGTCGCTCGAGGATCGCCGCCTGAGTTTCCCCTTCATAGTAAACCTCCGCTGAGGTGTGGCTTGGGTGTTGCTACCATAGTACTCCTGGTAGTCCCGGTTCTGATGATGCTCCACGTGGAGTTTCGATAAACGTTCTTGCGCTAGCTTGTACGCCGCTTCCTGGAGGTTGACATACGGTTTGGGTTGGTTGTCGTCAGGGCTGGTCTCTCCTGCAGCTTGGTGGACTCGTGCCTGGTCGACCATCCTTTGCTGTTGGCTATACATCTTTTTGGCCATGGCCACCGCAGAGGCGTGGAGGACGTCGGCTCTTTTCTTCTCATCTTCTTCAGGTCCGATAGCGGGCTTAGAGGTGAACATGCTCCGGGGCAGGTTTGTGTACGGAACGGAACCAGTGTTTTCAGTGGGGGACTTTGGCTTCAAAGAAGGACTGTGAGCTGCTGTGGCGGCACTCAAAGCGTTTGCAGCAGCTCGTGATTCTCCAGGATAAGATTCCTTTGGCACAGGGGTCGATTTGGCTCGTGGCCTCGTCCTCCTGGACGCAGGCATGGCATTCTGGGCTGCTGAAAGGGAGCCAAGACCGGCGGTAGAGGGTGCCTGGGTGGGTTGTTTGACTGAGCGGCTTTGTTTAAATGCCTGGTTCGCAGCGCTGCTGCCCCAAGACTCGGTAGCAGACGGGGGAGGGGTCGTGTTGGTGGTGGATTGTTTCTTTGCTGAGGCGCTGGCCAGCAGAGCAGCCTTGGCCCCGGCAGAGCTCGAGTTAGGTTCCCACGATGGTGCCATTTTGTAATCCTTTGCGAGCATGGCTGCGGTTGATGCAGAGTTTGACTTTTCGGGTTTCCAGAGGTCAATTGATTTCTGATTAGCCCAGCCTAGAGATGCGGCAGCTCCGGCGGCAGCTCCATCAGATGGGAGACCGGGGGATGGAAAGCTCGGTAGATCGCGCGGGTCGGCGTACTTTAATCTTCCCGAGTGGGCTGCTGTATTCAGGGAAAAGGAGGATTCATGATTAACACAGATGCTTTCTTTATTCGGACTACCCAAGCAGAAATCTCGTATTCTGCAGGAGAGGATGAGGTAAGGTTTCAAGTTTACCTGTGGACGGTACTTGTGACCGTGTTTCCGCCATGGCTGTGCTTGACTTTTGCTGTTGCTGCGGCTGCGTCTGCTGCGTCGCTGTCTTGGAGGAGCTGGCTTGCATCATTGCCAGCCCGGAGCCGGCTTGGTGGTATCGATCCCGAGGATATCCACTTTACCGCTGCGGATGCTTGCTCCTCACAGGGTGAATGTACCGTAGCGAGGATGTACAATACAGGGAACTTGAGAGGAAGGTCGAAAAGTGGGAAAGCTCGCAGCGGATTTGCGGCTTACACGGGTTGAGGTGGACGCGCGTGGGCAACGCCGCAGGCGGGTTGGCAACGAACAGAAGCTGATGTTATTTCTGGACCTGCTTACCCGTTTGTCACAAGAGGGAGTCGTATCACGAGATGAGATGAGCCCTCGTCGTACCAGGGCCTACTGTAACAAGTATGCGCCGGAAACTGGGAGCGGGAGGTCAAGGAGCTTGGGTAAACCAAAAGAGTAGAAAAATTGACCAGGAGCGACGTCGAAGCGCAGGCGGGGGCTCCCGAAAGAGGGCATGCAACTTATATCATACAACCAGAAGCAGATCTTTTTGGATCAAAGGGGGCAGGCACTAAGGGGGGGGGGGGGGGTAACACTATGCTGGCGGCGCGGCGCGAGCGAGCGAGAGCGCACGATGAGGTATGCTCCCCCCAAATGGCAAAAGCTGGTGGTGAGCGGGAGCCGGGTCAATGATGGTGATACGGCGTGCGCAGTTAGTGCTGGTGGCTACTGGCTAGTCGTACCACAGTACTCCGTAGGGAGCTGCGACGACAGCAGCACCTTACGTCATGCGGGGTCCTTTCCCTTCCGTTTCGGGTGTAGCAACCTGCCATCTAGCACTTCTGGCCCCTGTCAACATCCACCACACACCTCACCCCCCAGCTCCTTTGAATCTTTGAATTGGGATTCCATTTCCCTTTGCGAACGACCGAATGACCAGGTCCCCCAGGAACTGGCAAACACTGGCACCACTGGCACCACTGGCCCATCGTCCGCTCCGTTGTGGCTTCGGTCCAGCACCCGCCCGTCTCTGGAGTCGGCCAGTCCGGACCCTGTCGCGCTGAGTGGCGGACCAGGTTCCAGCCTTTGGATTGGGCAATGGGTACCTACCCGTAAGGTCTGGAGCGCGAGCCATCTACGGTCTAGGCCGAACACCTGTGACCTGGATCACCGAGCAGGGAGAGGCTAGCCCTGTGGTGTGTCAGTTGTTCATAATCGGATCTACGTCTTTCACCGACTGGACTGCGAAGCCCAAGATGCCGTCCGTGATGAAGGCGACAACACCATCGACGAGCCCAAGATTCAAAAAATCTGAGCTGCAAGCTCTCGGGAGGCTTGCTGTCGCGCTCGACCCCTTTCATTGGCTTGAGTGGAATGGGTTAATAGTCAGCCACATCTCACATTGTTGATGGATGCGTGCTGCAAGCCTCTGAATCAGCTCCCAAATATAGCTTCAACTTGAGACGTTGATCCTTCCATTTGGCGCAGGCAGCCCACATTAATCCGATGTCGTGGAGAGCAAACTGCAATCCGATAGTCTGCAAACTGCTGGTCACGTTGCGGTTGCTTTGATACGACTGAAAACGTTGAATGGGAGCAACCAAGAAGACCGAGCTCATCCCTACTGGACTTCACAGCCCAGACCTCCCCCGAGACCGCTTAAAATGCGCGAGTTCAGGCCGCAGTCGCAGTTCCCTGCGCGCAGATCTCTTGTCCCAAAACTCAACCATCGGTGACATCAAAAGACCTCCTCCTTCTCTCACACACCCCGATCTTAAGCTTTTTGGAGACGTGCAGGGATCTACCAGCCCTGGCCAGAGATCCCAGCACGTCCAACCTCACCTCGGCTCCCTATCCGTCATTAGATTGGCGGGCTAGGGGTGCCTTGATGGTGAATGACGGTGACAACCTGATGGGAAGAGGGCCCTACGTCGCTTGCACGTTTCCATTCCGATGCTCCGGATTTCTGTTCGACGTGCCCAATCGTGGCGTCAGCCGCCCCCCTTCCTAAACATTTCACACCAAGAGCTGCTACCTGACCACGCACACTACCTACCTATCACACCCACCACACCTTGCCAACCTCTTAGCTGTCTGTACGCGCCATCGGAACTGCTAGTCTCCAGCCGTTGACTGCTGACTACTGGTATCTGCAGCGCCCTCTCTATCTCTACCAAACTCCCGCAGAAGCTCTGACATTCTCAGTCATGGATAATAGGGGGATCACGTCTGTTCTCAACTTTCGTGATGTCGGCTCTACGGTGAACAAATTTCTTGGACGAAGGTATGTCTCTATTTCAAGCTATTCTACCTGTACAGAAGCAGATGCAGGTTGTGGGAAGCTGAGAGCTAACATCCGTGCGTTTGCTTGTCAGACTCGTAAGGGAAGGCTTGGTATTTCGTTCTGCCAGACCAGGTATGGCACGCGACTCAAAATCTTCGCGAACACCCGTTTGATCCTCGTGCTAAAAACCCCCAAGACGATGCCACTTTGGCAGACAGAAAACGCCTCCGCGAGGACCTGGGCATTAAGGCGGTGATAGATTTGCGCACAAAGTAAGTTGCACGTGTTAACCCCCCCCGAGGAAGGAAAAAAAAAAAAAAAGGATCTTCTTTTGGAATGCAAGATCTCGCAACTCTGATCAATGACTGACGACATCTTTCAGAACCGAACACGTCAAGCAGCTGAAGAAGCGCGAGGCCGATCTCAAAGTGCCCTCCCTCTTGGAATCTAACGCTGCGCTAGCCGAGCCATTCCAGATCTCAGGTCTAACGTATTACGAGATCAGAATCACTGGCGGCAACTTTGAGTGGTTCTTAATCAGACAAGTTTCTTGGTGGGGTTTATGGTGAGAAAATCCTGGCTTCCTATTCCAAGTCTTTCGCAGCGGCTGATGCTTGATATGCAACATCTCTAGCCGCCTCATCTGTCTCTTTACTCTCGGCTACCGCAATGAGGGCATCTCTATCTTGTCTCGGGAGGTGATGTTGCCGCGTGGTCTCGTTGGTCTGGGCCTTGACACTCTCGACCAATCTGGCGAAGAAATTGCAAAGGTATGAACAAGCCTTTCAACGGCTTTGTGTTTGAGGATTTCTAACAAGTTCCATGCGTAGGCTCTCAGAGTGTTTATCGACCCGGCGACTTCACCGACTCTGGTACACTGTACACAGGGCAAGGATAGAACCGGGCTGATCGTCAGTCTCGTTCTGTTCATACTGAACGTACCGATTGAGGCCATTGAGCATGACTACATGCTGACCAGTGGTGCTCTTGAGTCCGAAAGAGAGGAAAGGTTGGCAGAGATGAGAGAGATTGGTCTCACAGATGACTGGTTTGAAACGGCGCCTGACATGATTGCTCGAACCGCTCGTCATCTCGACGATGTCCATGGTGGACTCAACGGGTATCTGGACAAGATCGGCTTTGGACAGGCCGATCGTCTCAAGCTGCGGGAGCTGCTGCTGTACTGATCCAGCGACTGAGGGGCTTAATTTGTCACCGAAGCTCCATACAGCCATACATAACAGCTCATTGGCAAATCCCACTCTCGCCTCAGAACTCGAGTGATGTGAACTTTGGCTTTTCTCATTTTTTCGTGAACCGTCCCTGCATCCAGCATCGGTACATCTTGAGCTTACGAGCCCTGTTGACGAGCATGCGTCTGTCGACACCGAGATCATCGACGTTGAATTCAGCCTTGGCCTCGTCCGATGCTTCTTGTGTCTCGCCGGACCAGATTCGCTCGAGCTCTTCCTTTTCGAAGAAGTACACACGAGTGCCATCGCCGCGCACGTAGAAATTTTCATCTAGATAGCGTCCCTTCTTGAAGCGCACTTGGGCAAGGTCACCTCTTCCATAGTCGCGGAAGCAGACCTGGCCACCCGGCTTGAGCAGACGGTGGACGTTGGCAACAGCTTGGGTCCATTGATTCGGAGCCAAGGCGGAGAAGATGAAAATGAGTATAGCAACGTCCACAGATCCTTCCTCTAGCCCGGGAGGGAGCTCTTCGCTCGTAACGTCCCAAACGTCGGCTTGCATGTGGTCTTGGTTGTAGGATTCATGGGTCCGCATGACCTCTACGGCCTGCTTCGAATAATCACAGGCATGGACTCTCAAGTTTGGGTTCTTGTTGGTTGCAAGAATGGGAAAGGCGGTGTTACCCGCACCAGCGCCTATTTCAAGGATCGTCTTCTTGCCAGCGTCCTTCTTGGTCACTTCGGACAAGATAGGGAACTCTTGCTGCAGCCACTTTCTGTTCTTGAAGAAGTTGGCTGTGTTGTTTTTGTAGAACAAATCCCACATTCTTGCTGGGTTGTTGTTTAATCTGTCTGAGGAGTATTGTTAGCAAGCTGTACCAAAGCAAGCGTCTTTCAAATAACAATGAGTATTGATTGTGGTGTAGTCAGATGGGAGCGAAAGACTAATAAGGAAAGTTTTCATCATAGAATTCAGATGAACTATGCGTTGTGCTGGAGTATCATCATAACACCGGGAGGTTGGGAAAAAAAAAACGCGAGATATGTGAACTTACTTTTGTCAAAGTCGGAGACCGGAGACTGACGCTGCATCTCGTACTGCTGCTCAGAGTACTCCTTGTACACTTCGTCAGTCTCGACATGGTCCCAAGCGTTGAACTCGAAGACATCGTCCTGTTCGCCCAGCAAGCGACTGCCAAATTGGAAAGGATCGCTCCTCTTCTGGTTGAACTGGGGATCATGCGACCTGTGAGCCGCAGGCTCTTCCTCGGTTGCATGCTGGGAGATCTGGAGCTCCGCTGCCTTCTCGACGAGAACTTGCTCGCCCGCCCCTGTGTTCTCAGACGTAAGAGAAGCCATCTTACTGGTGTGAAGCCAAGACGAAAGATTCGACAGGGTCACAACCGGTTTCTGTGTGGGCGGCAGCCTGACTCTCCAATGCTCCAAGTGTTTGTTGGCAAAGGAGGAATGGTTGGGATGAAGAATCTTTCTGAAAATTTCCTGGGCGTCGAACTTTTTGTCTGTGGAAAAAAAGTCGTGGTGGGACCTTCGGGGTGATAAAGCGCCGTCAGCCGATGCGACCAATGCCTGGGTGTGATGGACCCACTTGCAGCTTCCGCCATTTGCATTGAGGTTGTTGGCGGCACGGTGCCAGATGCCAGCCCATTTGGCGGAGTAGGAGTATTGGGGAAAGAGCTAAGAATCGGTACGTACCTAAGCTAGAATGGTTCGCGGATTGCGACTGCCTCCCATGCCTCAGGTACAATCAACTTGGATAATCCTCAATCAACGTCTACCCATTGACGACACTTGATCGCGCAACTCCAACCATCTGCTCATAATCTGTACGCATCTCGTTCGATCGATACGCGAACCAGAACGCCTGCTCGCAACAATGGCACCTTCCCTCACCCGCCCCCAGGGCCACCTGTCCCCAGCCGAGGCCCTCGAACTCGCCCAGAAAGCGCCTACGATCCTGCGAAACAACCCGACAGCTTTCTCATCATCGCCCCTTGTTTCGCTTTTCTCCGCCTCGGAGACGCCCGAGATATGGACCATCTACGAGAACCTCCTCTTGGCCTGCCTGCGAACGGGCGACACCCAAGCAGCACATCAGTGCCTCGAGAGACTGGTCATTCGATTTGGCAACGAAAACGAGCGTATCATGGCTTTCAAAGGCCTAGTGAAAGAGGCGGAAGCCGACAATGATGGAGAGCTTGCACAGGTACTCAAGGAGTATGAGACAATACTAGGACAGAACGCGACAAATATTGTTAGTTGTTCCCCCGCCATAGTGTTACGGCAAACGCTGACCTTGACAGCCTGTCGCAAAACGTCGAGTCGCCCTTCTGAAATCAACCGGAAAGACGTCTGAAGCAATCGCGGCTCTCAATGGTCTCGTTGACTTCAATCCTACGGATGCCGAGGCGTGGGCGGAGCTTGCCGACTTGTACCTTTCTCAGGGCCTGTACTCACAAGCTATATATGCGCTCGAGGAAGTGCTTGTACTGACCCCGAACGCTTGGAACGTGAGTGCCTCGTGGAGTCGAAAACCGATTATGCTTTTCTTAGGCTGACCACTACTAGATGCACGCTCGTCTCGGCGAGGTGTTGTACATGGCCGCGTCGGCCTCTGAAGGCTCTTCGCAGCAGCAATTGACGGAATCCGTCAAAAGATTCAGCCGAAGCATCGAGCTTTGTGATGATTACCTCCGGGGTTACTACGGACTGAAATTGGTGGGTGCCATAACGGGTAGTATCGACCAGCAGTGGGAGCTAACATGCCCTCTAGGTCACGAACAAACTTATCAAGGAGCCCTCGAAGCCGTCAAGACAATCAGATTCGGAGGAATGGTCCGTTCCTGACGTTGGTACGTTACAGAAACTTAACGAGCTAGCAACTCAGAAGCTGGCCGACATTGTACGCCGGAACGGGGCGCACGAGAGGCTCTGGCAAGGTTACGATGAATCGGAAGTAGCAGCAGCGCGAGATCTGCTCTCGAAGGAGTCGGTGGAGCTTGTGCGATAAGCACCGCGTCAGTCGAACACGAAAAGCAAACGACTGTCGATTGTCTCATACCGTCACTGCATGGTCACGTTGACGGATTAGCATGCCAACCTGCGTGCTTCATGCACATCACATCAAGCGAGCAGCCATCATCGGTATGGGCTGTACGTCGGAATTAGCAAGCAATCGGAACATTCAAATCAAGTAATTAACGAAGCTGTGCCTGTTCACGTGCTACTGGCAATGCGCAAGTATCCTTGGCCAATCGGCCAGCCAATTGCGAACACGCCGCTCAAGGTTGGAACACGAAGATGCATTCAGCGAATGGCAAATCGTGTCGCTCGGGTGCTTTTTTTTTTTTGGCCCCAGTCGATGTCGAGTCGAAGCTTGGGAGACTCTTTAGCTACTGGGCAGGGACAAAAGCGATTCCAGCAGTGGGAATGATTTACACATAGGCAGAGGCCGCCGCCAATACTCTCGAATGAATTACCTACCGTTCCCTTTTCTCGCCTCGAGGTCCATCGGTCCCGTCGCGGCCGCACCCGCAGTCGTGCCCAATTGTCGCAAACTGACAGTCAATAAGTCGCAGGGCTGCATATCATCCGAGGTTCCAGGCGTGCCGTTGGGAGCCGATGGGCCAAGACGGCCCACAAGATGCGCTGGCAGTGAGTCAGTGAGTTGATCCACGGATGGATCTCAGGCACCGTCATTCGGGACCCTGGCTACCTATGCAAAACAGAGTGCGCCAGCGTCAAGACTCTAGACCCGTCGGGCAACGACGAAGCGGCTTCGGGCTTGAGGGTCAGTTGGAAGAAATGGACTGACGAGATGTACAGGTGCCAATCAAGTTGCGCGGTTGACTTTGAGGTGTCACGTATATATCCGGGCAGTGCCATGTAAGTAAGCCGAAGGCAAAAAACAAGCACTTGTGTCGGTACCAAATTTTTTGACCGCCCCTGTTATCCCCGTATTTTCTCGATTTGCCTGGCGCTCTTGACGACGAAGAAAGAAGAATAAGCTAGAAGTCGAGAGACGCCCACGAGATACCTACCACAAGATACCTATCACAAATCGAGCCAGTCATTCGCAGAAGACGACCATTGACCATTATTACACAAACTCTGTTGGTCCGCTCGGAAGGCTATTGCCGCTATTTTGGCTGCGACTATTCCTCGAAACCATGTCGTGTATTTCAAAGAACGTTACTCCTCGAATTATCAAGCAACAAGACAAGATCAAATACCCATCACACGTCACAGGAGAAACCACCTGAGGATACGAGAGCGCCTGAAAATACGTGCCCAACATTGTGAAAAGTACAATTGTTAGTACCGCTACTGAGATTATGTCGATGTGTTGTCATGTGAAGCAGGCTGCGTGATTGATTGCATAGGACTGCTACCGAAGACGATGGGTACGGAGCGACAGAGGGGTCCAACGATTCAACCATGGTGGATACCTACTTCGGCGAAGGTATACCTAGCGCCTCAGAGGGCGGCTGGGTACGGTACCTTAGGTCGGTCATGACCCGGAAGTGAGCGGCGCTTCCAGACAGCATCCAACACAAGGCCGAGAATTCCAGAGGAGGCTGCGGCGCTTTTCAACGTCGACTTCCTGCGGCGGTGCTCCGAGATACGGTGAGAGAATGGGCGAGTAAGGAGGCGCGAGGGGGGGGCCACAGCTGATTGACGGCTGCCTGGACTTTGGTTCATTGACAAGGACCTGAAGTGCAGGTGCAGTGCAGGACACAAGTTGGAGGCGTGACAGGTAAGAAAGGTAGGTAAGGTGAGGTGAGGTAAGGTACGTCCATCCTCGACTTCCTACTGGTGCTCGGAACGGCGCAAGTCAAGTCGATGAGCCCGAATGGCCGGGCATTGGCTTTTGATTGCCCTGGAAGCAGGACGGGATGTTTCTGCACTAGGGGATTGCGTACGGAGTACCCAAAGCAGTAGGTATGAGCCTGTCGCGCCGACGCTTCCAGGTTCCCATGGATTTGCATTGATGATGACCTTTACTGCGATAGAGAGCAGAGGCCTCGTCGTCACCCCCAACCCTCGTTCGTCCCTCACGCCGTCGTCGCCCGTCCATCCTTCCCCCTCTCCTCCCTCTCTCCCTCCGTCTCTTTCTCCCACTTCCGTCATCAAATAAATACTTTACGCCGCCTCGTCCAGCCTGCTCACACTCATACATTCTGACCGCTGACCTCTCTGCCCTTGCGTTTCTGGCTGTTTCCGTACCGCCTTCCAACGTCCCTTTTCTCTAACACTGCAATTCTGCCTAGCAATAACGACGTCAAAGGATACACCTTGTACTCGCGCCAATTTCGCAAACGAAATAGACAAAGCACATACCGCCCTCCGTACTTCGTACCCCGTTTCTCTCAATCGGCAAGCCCCACCAGCATAAACGAACGTCTAAAGAGGTCCGTCCCGCAACGGAGCCACGCTTCGAGCACGTTCCTCACCGAAACATTGAACCACCTTCCCCGGCCAGAACAGTCCGGCGCAGGACGAACCCAGGCACGGCGCCTTGAGAACTGACAGAGCTGGTACTTTGCAGTTGCCTGTGGGTAGGTACATTCTCTCGGTACCGAGTCGCATTGTCTCCCATCTTCCTGACCTAATTGTTTATCAAGCCTACCTATCCGAACCTCAGATCGTTCTGTCTGTCACCCCACCCAAAAAGAGAATAACACTGCCATACGAATATTCCGTAACACTCCGTACCGCATCCCAAAAGAAACGACCCTTTGCGTCTGATCTGCCATCGCTCGTCCCTGTCAGGTCTCAGGTCTCAGGTCTCACCCATCCTCCAAAGGTGTCTCAAAACGCACCACACCACCACCACCACCAAAAAAAGGGGAACCAAGTAAACAAGGTACGTGAAACGTTAGCTATGGGTTTCTATCATTCTCCTGGGCGCGCTTCAACTTTCCTTGTGTCTCTGCAATTCCTCACCGTCTTACACATGGTCCATACAAACCATACCGACACGAATGTGTTGTAGTGCCTTTTATTTTGTTCTTATTGTTATCTTTTTTTTTTATGATTCTTCATCTGCGTGTCCGCGTCTGAGTCTGTATTCCCTGTCAACAAGCTGTCAAGTGCCGGCTACCTGCAGGCGGTCCGCAGGGCAACAAACTATCCGTTACCTCGGCCAGCTACCGACATCGGTTGTCTTATTTACTTTGTGGTTACCCCTCGTTCTATTGTCGTCGATGCCGATTCTGTTGCTGGTCATGGCCGGTGTACCTATCTTGTGGAAGTAAGGTACAGAGGGCCACCTCATACAACAAGTATCTTATCCAACTAGATATGGACCACCTTGTTGGTGGCTGTCTGGACTCCTAGAGGAGGGGCAGCATCGCGAGTTCATGACACACACACATACCCGACAATTCTACGGCCAACGCAACCCCCGGCCAGCGGAGCGGTGCTCACTGCTGACAGTCATTGAGTGACAATCGGCCACCCACTTTATTCTGTTAGTCCATTGGATCTGTCGTCCATGGGCTATGGTCCATCTCCCGGGCCACCCAAGTGGGACAACAAAGCAAGGGGGTCGAGACCGTCGGCCAGCACCCAGCACCCAGCACCCAGCTCCATCCCTCCCTCGTGCCCGCCTGGCGCCTCCTCCTTCCCTGTTCCCCTTCTTGTCTCCCCGATTTCTCTGCCCAGCAATGGCCACGGCGTTTGCGATGCGAAGATCAGGGCTTCTCCTTCGTGCTGGCACCCAGGATCATCACTGAAGTCCTCACCACAACTCGTCGTCCATTTGGCTTATGCCTTGGTTGACGACTCCCGCCTACCCGACCCTCTCCCTGAGTCCGTGAGTCCCTGCTACCAGTACCATGTGTAGCCTGTCTGGCCTGCTAGCGGGCTGAGAGCATGGGATGGGATGGAATAGAATGGCGGGGTTGGGTTGGGCTCGCCCTGGCTGGTGGTAGTGTCCGCCATGGGAGCAAGTGTGGTTTTTTTCCTTGGTGTACATTCGCTTCCCCTCCACCCCCTCCCCCCTCCCTCCATTCTCTATGCCCATTTCATCGTGTCTGTGTCTGTGTGTTCATTCCACATGATTCACCGGAATGTATGCTGATCTGAGGCTTATAGCTTAGGTGGTATTAGTCCCTATCCTTCTTTTTTTACTCCCAGTCTCCCATAACACGGCCCTACGGACGGATACGCTTTCCAGTCACTCGCCGTTTGGCTGTGTCAACCGTTGCCCACTTTTTGGTTTTGCTCTCACCGACAACCCCCGTCTGTCGGCTACCGGATCCCTGAAGACCAACCGCTTAATCAGGCAATTGAGGTGCCCAGCACGATTCCCTCTCCTCCCGCTCTGTCCAAAAGTGGGACGGGTTTCTTCCATTTGGCTGGCATTCGACGGTGGACTTCTGCTGTTGACATCGATCGCATCGCATATCGAAGCACAGCGCAGCACATCGCATCGCCACCCCAACAGGCTCTTCTTCTTTTTTCCTCATCCCTCTCTCGTTAGGGCTCTGAGTTGCCAATTCATACCGATTCGTCCAGACCTGTAAGATCTAGCCCTGCCACGGCCCACGACCTGGGTATTTCTCCTCCTTGTACGCCTTGGCTTTGGCCTTGAGTACCTAAAGGTTGTCTTAAACGGAGCGGTCGACTAGACCCGCAATAGCTGCCCAGCTGCCACAATTTTCCTTACACCCAATCGCGCTTCTTTTTGCGCCCAACTGCACGATCTCGCCAAATAGCAGGGGGCTTCCTGGTTACATTCCCAAGCCCACGAACGAATATCCACCCACCGACTGCCGCCCTGCCCACCCCTCAATTTTCGCAAACCGTCCGTCTCGTCTCGTCTTGCAACTCAGTCCTTTGCACAGAAACTTAGTTTTCTTGCAGTCTACTTCTCTGGTCGCTGTCGCTGTCGCCGTCACCTCTCTTACCGCTCTGCGCCGCTGTCATCTGATCGCTTTCCTCTCAATTCCACCCGTCAACCCATCCTCCCTCCCTCTCCTTCTTCCGCCACCAGTTCATTGCTTGGAATCCACCCACCCTTGTGTGAATTGCGCCAGGACGAACGCTGTACCCGACCTACACACCACCACCACATTCGAGCGCTCGACACCGAATTCCTGTCGGTTTCCCGTAGAGGAACCCTGAACTTCGGCCATCCTATTTCATCCCACGTTCCCACTCGATCCACCCCTTTGCTCCCGACTTTCTTGCGAGATCGTCGTGAGTAAAGGGTCTTTTTCTTCGCCACAGACTTCCTCATGTCGTCCGCGTAAGTCTTATATTTTCAACTACGCCAGGGACCAACCGACTTGGTGGCTTTCACCATACACCAGTCAACTAACACAACCGGAAGACGAGCACCACCATATCGACGCCCGGGTCAACCGTCGTCCGGGGGTCATCTGTCGTCCGGGACCACAACATCTCGATCAGCCTCGGCCAGTGAAGACGAGTCACAATACCAAACCAGCTACCACCCCCACGAATCGGACGACATCGCCACCTCTTCTGAAGGTGATTTCTCGACAGACTCCACCGACGAGGATCTCGAACCAGAAGACTCAGCCTCAGGAGTCGGCGGTGCTCATAGATTTACTCGTCAGCCGCAACAACAACAACAACACCAACATCTTCAACACCACCATCACCAGCAACAACAACAACAGCGTGCGCTCCCTTATCGTCAACACCACATCCCCCAACGCACCGCTCCTCCTCCAGGTGCCGCCATTCAGTACCCGTTTCGGCACGGTCCAGCGCCGACCCCTACCGAAAGTCTGGATTCCAACGACGATTACGGGTCCCCCTTTGGCCCCCGTTCTGGCTACGGTCATGTACCGGCGCCCGGCCATGGGGGGCATCCCTACTACGGTCGTGGTGGTCACCCGCAGGGTGGCTACCCTCAAAGTCACGTAGGCGGCGGCTACGGCGCACAGAGCCCCTTCGGTCATCCCGAACACCGGATCGTGGGATATGGTGGCTATAACCAACATGCATTCTCACCAATGTCGACTCACAGTGGGCAAAGCTACTTCGGAGAGCCTGGGCGGTACGATATGATGCCGTACCAGCAACCCCATCCGCCGGCTCATTACAACCATCACGGCTATCAACATCAACAGATGCAACAACACATGGGGTACATGGGCGGACAATACCCTCCCCCCCCCCCTACAGAAGCACCGCAACAGCCCAAGACCCCCGCACCTGAGCCAGCACCAAAGGAAGACCCTGAGAAGAAGAAGCTCCAGCAAGAGCTCGAACTCTTCAAGAAGATGCAAGCTGAGAAGGAGGAACAGCAGAAGCAGAAAGAACTGGAAGAGAAGGTCCGGAAGGAGGCAGAAGAGAACATCAAGCGACGGATGGAGGCCTTGAAGGAGGCCCAAGAGATCGCGCAAAGAGAGATTGAAAAAGCAAAGATTGAGGCCGAGAAAGCCGCCAGAGAGGCTATTGAGGCTGAACGCAAAGCTGAGGAGCAGAGACAAAAGCTCCACCAGGAAGCCATGGCCAAGGTCGAACGGGAAGCCAGGGAGAGGCTGGAACGCGAGTTGAAAGCCGAAGCTGAGCGTAAGAGGCTCGAGGAAGAGGCTCGCATCAAGGCCGAAGCCGAAGCGAGGCAAAGGCTCAAGGAGGCAATCCAGGCCGAGGCCGATGCCAGAGCCAAGGCCGCCGAAGAGGCCGAAGCCAAGAGGAAATGGGAGGACGAAATGAGGAAGAAGGCCGAAGACGAAGCCCGTGCCAAGATGGAGGCCGAGAAGAAAGCAGCTGCCGAAGCTGCGGCGGCGCAAGCGAAACTCGAAGCCGACCTCAAGGCAGCAGCCGAAGCCGCCTGGATAGCCAAGGTCGCAGCCGAGAAGAAGGCGGCCGAGGAGGCCGCGGCAGAGAAGAAGAGGTACGAGGAGGAGATGAGACTGAAGGCCGAGGCCGAATGGACAGCCAAGGTCGCGGCAGAGAAGAAGGCTGCGGAGGATGCTGCTGCAGAGAAGAAGAGGTATGAGGAGGAGATGAGATTGAAGGCCGAAGCCGCAATCGCTGCCGAGAAGAAGGCCGCTGAGGAGGCTGAGGCAGCCAAGAAGAAGTACGAGGAGGAAATGAAGGCCAAGGCCGAGTTCGAAGCTCGTGCCAAATTGGAGGCTGAGAAGAAGGCTGCCGAAGACGCCGCGGCTGCCGCGGCTGCCGCCAAGAAGGCCGACGAGGAGCTCAAGAAGAAGTACACCGAAGAGGCCAAGGCCAAGTACGAAGCCGACAAGAACAAGGGCAAAGACAAGGCCCCTATCAAGTTTAAGGATGCCGTGGGCAGGAAATTCAGCTTCCCCTTCCACTTGTGCTCGACCTGGACAGTACGTTTGCTTTCCATGTCTCTCACTCTCGCTGGCACCTAGCTAACCTTCATACAGGGTATGGAAGAGCTGATCAAGCAAGCCTTCATTCACGTGGACGTCATCGGACCTCATGTGCAAGAGGGTCACTACGACTTGATCGGGCCTAACGGAGAGATCATCTTGCCCCAGGTCTGGGACAAGGTGGTTGAGCCAGACTGGACCATTGAGATGCGAATGTGGCCCATGGATAAGGCGCCTCAACGCATGCCCATGCCTGGCATGCCGATGGATCCTAGAATGCACATGCCAGGAGGAATGAGGCAGCACGGCCATCCTCGAATGGGTCCATTCCCTCCGGGAATGGTTCCTCCGGGTGGCAGGCCCGGCGGCGGTGGCGGCGGCCCAGCACCACCTCCCCCCCCGGGCCATTTCCCCCCTGGCGTAGGACGGCCTAGCGGTCACGGCATGGCTGCCAACGTCATAACAGTCGAGCCCGGCAAGCCCAAGCACAAGAAACCGGCCAAGGGCTCGATGCTGAATTTCTTGGCCGGCGGAAAGGCTCCCAAGAAGAAGTAAGTTGCCCGGAACTACTGCTACACTGACGCTTTGTGCTAATAGATGCATAGGAACAAGAAATGATCACCAGCGCACATATCGGACATTTCCTTCAACTCTCAAGACCTTTTACGATCACACGCTCAACGAACTTGCCGGGCTGGGGGTCCTTATTTGTTTTTACATATGATACCTTGTCGCGCCTTCTTTTTCCACTTTGTTCAGATTCCCGTCAGTAAAATCGAGCCTCCGAAATGCATCTTACGGCAACCGCGGTTCATTTCGACGATCTTATAACGCATGTATGCCGGAGTATGAGCTGTGTGAGGACGGGAGATTTATCCCCCCAGAGAGACCGTACATGTTTTGGCGGAGCATTGCATGCATCATGGGGGCAACCTAGGGGGGGGGGGGGTTACGACAATTTTTTTTCGAGGCATGGCGCAAAAAGAGGAGGACGAGATTGTGTGACCCTTTTGGTAGATGCTTATTAGTTTATTCTTCTTGCCCAGATAGCTATGGTGTGGTAGATTATTGTCGATGAAAACGAACACTGCAATTATGTTATTTTATAGTTGGTTGTTGACTATGACCTGTCGTTGACTTTTGCTTCTAACCCCTTTGCCCTGTCTTTCTATTAGTCTATATGTTGTACAGCTCTTTCACAGAGAGCTCCCGAGTGAGATCCCTTCACTATAGTCTAGGAGTACCCAAAACAGCCTTGACCCGTTTCTGGAAGGCCTCAATCATGACGCCAGCCACCTTTTCAGAAACCGCCGCGCTGACGGCCGAGTACAACGGATTCGCAAACTGGAACCGAATCACCAAATCCACCTCGGTGCCCGTTCCCGTCGTAAGCGGCCGCAACTGCCACTTTGTCACCAAGCTCCTAAACACGGCGCCGCCCTCGCCCCCATTGCCCGGGCTCGCGCCCTCCACGTCCGCGCCGCTGATGGCCTCGACGCTCTCCCCCGGCACGCAGTGGAGTCTGCTCGTGAAGGTCTCCTCGAAGCCGCCCCAGCCTACGCGGAGGTCTGCTTGTGTCGGGTAGCGTCTTCCGCCGTTGGCTTGGTCGGGTGCGGACCAGGATGTTACGCGGGAGGCGGCGCAGTAGGGGACGAAGGTCTGGTAGGCGTCCACGTCGGAGATTACGTCGTAGAGTTGCGGGGAGGGGTAGGGCATTGTGCGGGTTGCTGTCAGGACTTGGGGGGTTGTTGGGGGGGTTAGGTTTGGGAGGTTGAAGAAGGGTCGGCGGGTGGATGGGGTTCGAGAGGTGAGGGTGGTTCGTAATGGGGCCGGGAGGCGGAGGAAGGGTCTTGTGGTTGCCATTATGATGTCTCGTTGCAAGGTTCGGATTCGATTTTGAGGTCGAGGTCGAGGTCTAGGTTCGCGATGCGGTTTTTGGAGGATGCGGGAGGTCGGTATTAAGTCAATGGGCTATGTTTGTTGCTTGTAGTGTACAGATGCCGGTGAGGGAAACAGGAGAGAATGAGCGTGTTGTATTAAGAGTCCTCGCCTCGAGGTTCTTGTTGCGCCGTCCGAAATGCTGAGATGTTGGAGTGAGTTCGTCCCAAAAGAAAAATATCGATGGAGCTGGGCGCAATGACGAGTAGAAAGAAGCTGTGTCGGTCGGTGTTAGTGGGATTGCGGTCTGCACCGGCCGTACAGTGCCCGATGGGAACGGGGAGCTGACAGGCACAGTACCCAAGGTCGTGGAGCCAGCCCCCAGCACATCATTATCGGGCTGGGCTTTGGTGGGGTTTGGATTATCGAGCAGCAAGCAGTGCAGGAGCACAAGCACAGCTCTCTCCACAAGCCAAGTTGGCAAGCCACACCAAGCCCGCCATCAACCGTCCCGCATCTCCGACTCTGACATCCCTTGGACATTTCCCCAAGGCGACGGCGACGACAACGAAGACGACGACGATACCAACCGGAGCCGACCTCCCTCCACAATGTACCATAATTCCCGGAGTACCTGACCGAACCTCCCCACAACATTCGCTCCGAACACGATATCTTTGCCCTTTCTACGCTGCTTCCCCCCCCCTAGCGTGGGGCTGTTGTCATTGTCAAGATGTAGGTCTCCCCGGGGTGGTGGATGACACTCGCGAAACAAAAGTCACCACACACTGCGCCGCAAGGGAGCTCCAGCGCGCTGACTAGAACGGACGCATACCCAGGTTCGAGAAATCTCTCTATGACCTCATTAGAGGCCTGCGAAACCACAAAGGCAACGAGCGCGAGTACATACAGAACAGCTTGAAAGAATGTCGCGCAGAAGTTCGCGGGCAGGACATGGGTGAGCAGGCAATCCCTCGGCGAGAGTAGCGTCTGGGTTCTATGAGAGAACGGTATACTGACTTGGGACGTTTCTGTCTGCCAGACGTTAAGGCGACGGCGCTGCTGAAGCTAGTCTACCTCGAAATGGTAGGTCACGACATGTCGTGGGCCTCGTTCCATGTCCTCGAGGTCATGTCGTCGCAAAAGTATCACCAGAAGAGGGTTGGGTACCTGGCCGCTGTGCAGAGCTTCCGGTCTGATACTGAAGTGCTTATGCTTGCTACGAATCTGCTGAAGAAGGTACTGCTCCCCATCCATTCATGCGGCTGAGGGGGTCGTTGGAAGGCTAGACGCATGGTGAGCGAGAGACTGACGCTTCTGCTTCCAGGACCTGTCGTCGACACAGGCGACCACCATTTCCCTACCAATGGCTACGCTGCCGCATATCATCAATCCTTCCCTCGCTCTCTCGACCCTCTCCGACCTCCTCCCGCGCCTCGGCCACTCGAACCCGGCCATTCGCAAGAAGACTATTGTAACGCTGTACCGTCTGGCGCTGGTGTACCCCGAGACGCTGCGCGCGGCGTGGCCCAAAATCAAGGAGCGCCTGATGGACAAGGACGAGGACCCGAGTGTGACGGCGGCCATTGTCAACGTGGTATGCGAGCTGGGATGGAGGAGACCGCACGATTTCCTACCGCTGGCGCCCAGGCTGTTTGAGCTCCTTGTGGATGGCGGTAATAACTGGATGGCCATCAAGCTGATCAAACTGGTATGTTTGGCTGAATTGTTAGTGCTGCCATGTGGTTTGCTGATCGTGGGTGCAGTTTGCGACCTTGACACCGTTGGAACCTCGCCTTGTTCGAAAGTTACTGCCACCCCTGACTGAGTTGATACGGACAACACCAGCCATGTCGCTACTTTACGAGTGCATCAATGGCATCATCCAGGGAGGTATTCTAGGCAGCGCAGATGACGTCTCGGGCAGAGAAGAGATTGCGACGCTTTGCGTGAACAAGCTCAGGGGCATGATCATGGTGGACGGCGACCCAAACCGTGAGTCTCAACCTTGGCCGGGTCATCTTTGAAAGCTAACATGGGCTAGTGAAATACGTTGCACTGCTTGCCTTTAACAAGATTGTCGTGACACACCCGTTCTTGGTGGCGCAACAAGAAGATGTCATTCTTGAGTGTATCGACAGTGCTGATATCACTATCCGCATCAAGGCCTTGGACCTCGTTCAGGGCATGGTCAGCAGTGACAACCTGGTGTCCATCGTCAGCCGTTTGATGAAGCAGCTCAAGTCATCTGCGCCTAAGAGAGATCGACCAGGGGCTCCTCTCGGCCCAGACACGGGAATGGACTCGGAGGAGGAAGCAGAGATCGAGATACACTCGCCGACCAAGGCTCAGGAAGAGCCACCACTTCCCGACGACTACAGGAGCGACGTCATCGGACGGATTCTGGCCATGTGCTCACAGAACAACTACAGCAGCTTGGCCGACTTTGACTGGTACATCGACGTACTTATCCAGCTTGTCCGCATGGCGCCAACACCACGATCAGTTGAGACCGAACTCGACTCGGCCGCTGCGTCTGGGAAGTCAACTGCCGGGGATGTATCAGGAAAAATTGGAGATGAACTGAGGAATGTCGCTGTAAAGGTTCATGCGCTGCGGGGAGCGGCGGTCCGGGCGGCGGACCTCATCATTCAACAAATGAACGCGGATACACCTGCCGGCCACTCGCTCTCATCAGCATCGCTCAAGTCGACGTCTTGGTTGGTTGGAGAATACGCAAACCAGCTGGCGTTCCCCGAAGATACCTTGGGAAACCTACTACGGACGTTATCTCGTACAAACATCCCCGATATCCTTACAACAAGTCTGCAGGGTGTCACAAAGATATTCGCCTACATTGCAGGAAACGAAGGCCAGCCGTGGACCCCTGAGTGGAAGACAAAGATCTCGCTACTCTTAGCGCGCGTCATCCACACGTTGGAGCCGCTTGCTCTCCACCCGAACCTTGAAGTTCAGGAGAGATCCGTCGAGTTTATCGAGCTTTTGAAGCTTACTGCGGAGGCGACTTCTGGTCAGGCAGCGTCAACCGAGGATACCCACCAGGATCCCCCGCTGCTCCTGACCCAGGCTATTCCATCTCTATTTCAAGGATGGGAGCTTAATTCCGTCGCTGTCGGGGCCCAGCGAAATGTTCCCATGCCGGAGGGCCTGGACCTCGATGAACCTATACACCCGAACCTGGCACATCTGCTCGCCCAGGCTGATGTGATACCAATGGAGGCCAACGAGGCGGACGACTTCGAGGCGTACTACCATCAGCGCCCGGCGCCTACCAGCATATCCTCTGCTGAACCAGCCATCAGCAGGATCGCCGACGTTCCGGCAGAGGAGGTTGTCAGCTCATACCAACAGCAAGCGACGGAAGACAGCTATCTGGACGCAGACATCGTGGCAAGGAGGAAAGCCGAGCGTAATGAGCGCAACCGCGACGATCCGTTCTACATTGCCGCACTCGACGCGGCACCCAGGACGTCAACCCCGATACACAACATTCTCCAAAAGGAGAACGGCCCGGATCTCGATATAGACTCCATACCGATAATGCAGTTGGATCTCGACAAGCTGGGCAGTTCGGCACCCGGTCCCACATCTCCCATCAACCGACCGCAACCGCGACCGAGGCAGAGGGTCGTCATCGCCGCGGACGAGACACTCGTCGGCAGCGGCGTCTCCACGCCGCGCAACTACGAGTCAGAGAACAACTCGGACAGCTTCACAAAGTCGCGCGCCAAGAAGCTTCGCCAGGGTCTCTTGCACGTTGACTCGTCCACGCTCGGCTCCCTCAGCCTCGAGGGCGATGCGGCGTCGTCCAACAATGCGCCGTTTGACTATGAGCGGCAGCAGCGCGAAGAGGCGGAGATGGCGCAGGCGATGAAGGAGGTTGAGAGGCTCCGCCTCGAGATGCAGCGCGCCAACGAGCGTATTCAGGTTGCGCAGGGCGTCGACGTTGCTGGCACGGTGGTGAAGAAGAAGACCAAGAAGAGCAAGGATAAAGAAAAGGAAGGGGCCGGGGGTTCGGCGGTCAAGACGAAAAAGAAGAAGAAGAAGGCGGCCGTCGCTGACGGCGGTGCCGCTCCGCCTGCTGTGCTCTTGACGGACGACGCGGAGAATAGTGCTGGTGGCGGGGAAGACAGCGCGCTGATACCGCCTCCCGAGACGGCTGTTGAAGGATCCGGGGAGGGTGGGTTTGATGCTGCTGGTCCGCCGGTTGTCGTGCCAAAGAAGAAGAAAAAGAAGAAGACGACCAAGATGGCTGAGATTGCGGGGGATAGTGGTTGAGGGAGGCCAGGGCCGAGGTGGCTGTGAAAGCGAGAGATGAGAGGAAGTTTATGACTCTAGCATGCATATTAGAATAAAAAGGTGCAGTGTAGGAATGACAAAACGGTTGAGGAAGATTAGGGGCCACGGTGAAGAACTCTCGCCATTTGCGAGTGAGTGAGTGAGTGAGTGAGAGAGTGATGTTTGAACTAGTGGTCAACATCTGGCAAGTTGATACTTTGTCGTTGTATGCGTAGCGGCCAGTTTGAAGCGTCACGAGAATGGCTGCCAGAATCGGAGGAAAGGGGGCGACGGTAATAGATTTGGTAAACGTGGGGGGGGGGATATTGACCCATTACGTCGACTGCAAACATAATAATCTCTCACTCGTTCGTCCAGCTCATGGCCGTCCATCATCCTGCCGCTCTCGTTACCACACAAGACATCCATCATTTCACGTCATACGTCATAACAAAACACATCAAAGCTTTAAAAGGTTGAGGAGTACTCCTCTTCTCTTGTCGACAACTCCTGGCTCCGCTCCTCCTTCCTCTACACTTTAGCCGAGTCTGGCTGTCTCTCTCATCCCTCTTCCTTCTCTCTTCTCGTGGGTTTTGTTTACGTACAGACATGATACAAAGGGGACACTGGAGAATCGCTTCCCCAAACGTCACCGTCGTTTCGCGTTTCAAACCGCCAAAAAGGAAAAATCAAAACCAGCCAAAAGTGGATGTCCCCTTTTTTTGTTGCCCTGTAAACCCGCCGTCCGTCGTACATAGTCCTTCCAGCGTCCGTCCACACGTCACACAAAAAAGGGGTGTAGTTTGGTTTGAAGAAAATAGACATTAAGAAAAGAAAAAAAAAAGGAAAGTCTCAAGGCCATAAAGAACAAAGAGGCACGGCTTAAACACGCTCGCTTCAGTCATCCATGGGCTTATCCTCGAGTGTCACTCCGCGAGGCGCGGTGAGAGAATCACGAGGAGTTGATGAACCGCTGTCCGTTCCTGCGCTAGGTGCGGCTGCCACGTGTCGGTCCAGCGAGTATCGGACACTGCTGCGTCCCAAGCTGTTGCGCTTCTCAACGGGCGATTCGAGAGCCTTGATTCGAGCCGCGACTCCCTCCGCTGCAGGCGCAGGCGCCGCCGCCGAGCCGTTGGTTGTCGTCTCCTTTGGCGAGCTGGTTTCGCTGCCGGGAACCTCGAGACTAGATCTCTTGGCGCCAACAACGCTACCCAAGCTAGAACGGTGACGGTCGACTGCCGATGCAGGTGGGCTCGTCTGGATGGGGAAGCGAGTCTCGGGGCCACCTGTGCTGCGGTCGCGCCTGTGACCACGAGGGCTGGGAGCAGGGCTTGTTGCACGGCCGCGGCTGCCGGCGGCCTTCTCAAGCAGAGCTCTATTCCGCTCTTCCATGTTGGCTCTCCGGTTGCTCTCGTCGGTGCTGATTGCACGGGGGCGATTGTTGTCTCTAATCGATCCGCCATGGCCTGCGGTAGACATACGCTTGAGTTCGCTGAAGATGGCGTCTTTGTTGGCGAAGAGGTCACGGACGAGTCTGTAAGCGTGCTTCTCTTCCATAGTCAGGGAGGTTTCCGTGCGGGGACGCAGGATACAGGGCGCAATGCTCGTGGCCAAAGTCGCGATGTAAGTCTCATCAGCCGAGGTAAGGTCGATTAGGCGGGTGAAGTGATTCATGCAGGCGTCGAGTGTTGCGATATTAGTAAGACGCATTTGCGACAGCGTCTGTTGCAGCACAGGTACGCGGGCAGAGTCGTCTTCCTGGGTTTGGGTCTGGTAAATGGTTCTGACAATCTCATAAACATGAGAAGAAACGAGGGAATCTGAAATGCTGTTAGTCCATCGCTTCTACAAATTCGTCGAGGGTTCCTCTTACCAGGCAATTCAAGGAGGTACAGCTTGAGCAGAGCCGCAACGGTTGGAATATCGAACTCATCAAAAACTCCGGCCGCAACGGGCTTGCCATCGTTCAGCTTGCCACGGAGCTTGTGGATCTGCTGGAGTGGTACATCAACCAGCCACACATTCCGTCTCGCCTCGTCACCTTCGAGGTCAGGGTAGTGGTTGTCGAGGTAGGTCAGAATGGTGGTGACGATGATAGGCACTCGCTTCTTATCCGCGCGCGCTCTTGCCTCAAGATCCACTCCAAATGTCTGCTCGTCGACCTTGTTGTAGTAGTTCTCGTAGACCACCACCTTGGGAATGAAGCTACCGGTCCGGTAGCTCTCCAGTAGGTATCTGAGGTCCCCTAGAGGTTGAACTGTCTCCTGGAAAAGCATCATATGATCCACAGCAGATTGCATGCTGGGAATGACGTTGCTGATGGTGCCAGAAAAGTCCAGGATAACAGTCTTGATAGCCTTGAGACGGTCCAGCTCGCAGCGCTCCAGGAAGCGGAGGTGAATGAAGATGGTTTCCTCCAGATCGCAGCGCATCTCGTCCAACTTGCGCACGCCACCCTTGTACTTGTCGTCGGCTTCCCTAGCCTCGCGGCGCAATCGCTCCGGCGGGGTCTCGTTGGGGTGTTGGTTGTTGAGAACGTTCCAGTTGGCGAGGTATTCGCTGACGGATCCGACCACAGGGGAATCCGACGTCTCAGATGCAGGAAGGGAAAACGTGCGACCAAGAGGCGACTTCTTATCGGGGATACCGGACAGCTTGAAAGCCTTGGGACGCCATTGATAGAACATCTTGGAACTATTGGCGAAAGTGCTGCCGACGTTGCCAATCAATCTCAAGTATCCGTTGGAGATAAGATCCTGTCCGATTCTCTCGGCATAGCTAACGCTCGTCGTGTTCATGTGCCTCTGCAGGTACTCGACAATGTCTGAGCCTGCCGATGTGTTCTGGTAGGTTCCGAGAATGGGCACCTTGGTCTCCCCAAGCTTGATGGTGTTCAGCATGTGCGCCAAAATTTTCTTGACTTGCTCGGGTTGGTAGATCTCGTCGCCGATCTCGATAGGTTCGTCGTCGTCTTCTTGGGGGTGAAGCTCGGGCTCCTTATTTTCGGAGACCTTGATCTCGGGAATGGGGTTCTTCGGGCTGTTCTCGGGGTCCTGGAAGGCCAGCTTGGTCTCCTCCTCGATATCCTCAACCAGTCGACACTTGTTGAAGTAGGTGCTTCTCAGCTTCTTGACCAACTCGGCCTGTCTGTCGTGTGCCTTGATACGAGCTTGCAGCTCATCCTGAGAGTCCTGAATGCGCGACTCGTGGGCATCGCACCAGCGTGAGAACGGGTTAACAACCAGGTCTCGAATATTCTGAGCAATCTTCTTGTGGTTTTTGGCGCCCTCTTCCATCTCGGTCCGAACACCATCGAAGGCCTATGAGGGATGTTAGCACGAGCCTCGGGAAAGCTCTCGGTGGGGACGCTGTACGAACCTTGCGGACGCTGGCACCATCGTCTTTTGAGAAGCCGCCCTGGACTTTGTCTGCGTTGGGTGCAATATCTCCTAATCGCTGACTGTAAATCTCCTCGGCTTCGGCACGCATTCGAGCGACGGTCAGAACTTGTCGGTTTTCTTGCACGCCTTGCTGCAACTTGCTGAAGAGGACGCCGAGTCCTAGCGCGGAGATGCTTAGCCAAAGCGCGAGGGGTTGCAGTAGCGCATTCAGTTGACTTACCTGCAGCATAGTCGCTTGACCAAAAGGAATCTTCGAAGCCCGGCATGATGCCTAAAAGCTTCTACTTGTCGCGGACGATGATGCTGTGTTGATACGGGTTGAGGCTGAAAAATTTGGCGGGCAGAAAGAAAAGGAGGCGGCGAGAATTGTTTCGTTTCGTCGTTATGCAGGAGGCGGGAGGTGGGAGGGAAAGATGGGTTGGTATTTTCGGCTCGAGATTAGAGATGCTTTTCTACCGGTTGCGAGCAGCGAAGGAATACGTCAGCCGCAATTGAGTCGGCGGTGCAGCCTATTCTTTGGAAAGAAAGTCGGCGACAAACAAAACGAGAGATGAAAGAGACAGGTGCAGGAAGGTGAAGTAGAAGCAAAAAGCTGTATTGTTCGTTGTCGTCGTCCTGTGTCAGGGGCACATGCCAGTTGGAGGAGGAAATTTTGGAGAGCAGAAATGGAAAGGCTTTTGGAGTGAAGGTGCTGGTGCTGGTCAGTGGTTGCTGACAGGTTCAAGGTTCAAGGTTGAAATGCAGGTTAGGTTGGGGGGGCAGGAAGGATGGGAGGAGAAGCTGCTTCCACTTGCTGCTGCTTGCTCAATGCTCTCTATTCGTACCTACACCAAGGTACGTAGGTATTCCTCCTGACTCCTGCTACTTCTAGGTCACTACCTACGAACACATCAATGGATACCTAATCCGTATTCCGTACTGTGTGTCCAGCTGTGCGTCCCTCGGTCTCCGCAGAGCCATCAGTGAAGCTTTGCGACTTGCGGCACCTCTTCCCACTTCATCATCCACCTCCTGCAGCCAACCCGGTGACACGGCATCACACGGCATCAACCTAGGCATCAACCTAGATCAAAGGTCAGCAGCATGACATTCTCCTACCTTGGGCCCTTGGACTTTGGAGGGCTCCTCCTCTGCCACTGCCAACAATCAGCCCGACGAACCGGGGCTACCTTACAGCGACACTAAAGCAGTCTAGCAATGCTGCAATGGCAACGGTTCTTGGGGCCTTGCGCGCCTTGCCTTGGTCCTCCAAGTTTGAACTTGGAGACGTGGCATTCCATTCCATTGGTCCCCTGCCTCATGACGAGTGATCGAACGAAAGCTGGCCCCTCAGGCGGCAGACCCTCAGCTGGGCTCACTGGGCGACTGGAGTTGGGACCTTGGCTGAAAGCCGATGATGATGATGGGAGGAGCCATCTGAAGCCAAAAATACATCATGCTCCAGCCACTGCCTGATCTCCACTCATCTCCTTTCCCATTATATTATTGGTCAGCACCTCGATTGCCCCCCGTTATGCTCCATTCAAAGCAAATGACCCTGAATGAGGCAGCCAAGCAGAAGCAAAGCAGAAAGTTACCGATGTCAGGGCAAGGACAGGTTGTGTGAACCCCCTGCATTCGTCTCTGTTGCAGAATAATGGGGCTATCCCCAGCTGGACTGGAGAGACTCGGCTCATTCACTCACTTACGAAGCGAACCCCAAAGACGTTCGCAGCCCCCTTCTCACAGGGCTGACCGCCCAAGCCATTTGTCGCCGCCAATTTGGCGCCGTATTAAGCATCATCTTCACAATTTATGCAGTCCAGGATAAGGTTTCCTCGTCTCTCATCCAGAGGCAATGCCTAAGAAGACCTTAGAGTCGGCTATTGTCTTTGTTCCCTTCTTTGTTGCTGAACGATGCTTTCCATTGACTGCTGCCACCGTAAGTTGAAACCGAAGAGAATCATCGCTGATCACCAAACCCCGTCCTCTAACCCCTGAGGCCCCCTCGTTGCCATTGGGACGGTTCCCCAGACGACAAAAGGCCGTTATTAATGACTACCATGACCTGGTCTGCGGTCCGCCAGTGAGAACAACACCGAACGATTTGCCCCAGTGAATCCGTACCTAATTTTCTCTGTCGAGCGTTACCCGCAGAGCCCAGTGTACGGGAATCATCTAGCTGAGAGTACGTATAGCCTGGGGTAATGCCGACTGAACGCAAGAGCCAGCCATCATCCGAAGTTGCAAAGTCATGACTGGGAGCTTCCCGTCTATGAGGCCCGTTCCCGAAATTCTAATCCACAAGCCCACTCGACTCAGTGCTTGTCCCTACTCTCGGGTCTTGATGCACTGTCCTGAATGAAGATGACTTATCTGTCCAACTCAGTACGGATAGTCATTCTAGACTCAACAGACCGTGAAAACATGACATGTTCAACAAAACAACGAAGTTTGACCATCAGGTGTATCAACCAAACTTCCCTTACTGGGCTGACTTTCGCGCGGCATGCCAAAGCCGAGACCACTCGTGCTAGGACTAGGTCTACTGGATCTATCAGGATCTGGAGGACATACTAAACTCAAGTTGCCCAAGCATTTCATGTCTCATTAGTAGTTAAATAAGTTGAAGAATAGTGAATACTATTATTGAGACTATGAGAAGCCCTTTTCCAAACCTCTTCAGACGTCAGCCATCTTCAGGGAAGAACTTTGGAGCTTCCCAAATTGTCGCTTATCGCCGGGATCGAGTCGCAGATAAGAGTCTCACGCAATCGCAGCTCGGAGCTTTGACCCCAGGCACTCTGTGACGTGATTCCTAATCAACCAGACGGATTGTGACATGCCTGTAATCTGAACCCCTCGGCTTCTCTCTGGGAAGGATCATTGACTTTCGCAACAAGCCAGTATCTTGTTTAGAGGCGGTCTTCAGACAGCCTATTGACAGTGAGTCGTCTGAGTCCTTATTAGCTTTCTAACTCGATATTAGCTCTTGAAATCCTGTAGGCAACCAGTACTGACGGATAACATAGCCGTGAGACACAGACCTAAGATCGCTGGTCACCAAGGTCACACCAAACGCCATGGACGAAAAGAAACAACTCATGTGCGACGAGACTGGCGATGAGGCCCAGCTGCCTCCTCGCAAAAGCCCGTCTGCTGCGAAGAAAGCCGTTGTTGCTTATTTCGCCCTGTGGCTCGTTACACTGACCTTTGGCGTCCGTCCTATGAAGTCATGCTACCATCAAATGAGAAAGCCTTGGGGCGTACCCCTTACCGTCGAGGAGAGGGCTCACAACATTCTATCTCACACCCCATTGATCGGTGCGACCGCCCTGCGTGTGTTGTGCAACGCGATAAGAAGTACTGACCATCCGTCTTTGTAGATGGGCATAATGATCTCCCTATTCTCGTCCGAGGATTCTTCAATAACCACATCTATGAGAAGAACTTCACCGAGCCCTTTGAGAATGGTGGTCTCGTTGGTCATGTTGATCTACCCAGACTTCGCAAGGGCCAGAACGGCGGTGCCTTCTGGAGTGTTTACACCCCGTGCCCTGCCAATGGCAGCGACTTCTCTGATGAGAACTACGCCGAGAGTGAGCCTTGGTCGTTCAAGTGACAAACAAGACGTACGATTCTAACGACTGTGAACGTAGGCGTCCAGTGGACTCTCGACCAAATCGACGTCATAACCCGCATCAAGGACTCCTATCCTAAGGACTTCTCCTCCAGCGTAGACAGCGGCGCAGCTCTGAAAGCTTTCGAAAAGGGCCAGCTCATCTCTCCTCTGGGCGTCGAGGGTCTGCATCAAATCGGCAACTCTGTTGCCAATCTCCGACGCTACCATGCCTTGGGTGTCCGCTACTCGACCCTCACCCACAACTGCCACAACAAGTTCGCCGACGCCGCGCTGCTCGAAAGCCCTCTGCGCAAGGCAGAGCCTCTGTGGCACGGGCTGAGCCCTGCCGGTCGCCGTCTCATTCACGAGATGAACCGCGTCGGATTGATTGTTGACCTTTCCCATACCAGGTAAGTTTCTGGGAACCGTTTATCCCTACAGAGGACGAGTCCTAACGTCCATCTCAGTGCCGAGACGCAGATTGATGTCCTCGGGGGCAAAGACTGGGAAGGCAGCAAGGCGCCTGTCATCTACAGCCACAGCTCCGCGTTCAGCGTCTGTCCACATCCTCGCAACGTCAAGGACGACGTTCTCAAGCTCGTCAAGGAACGCAACGCAGTCATCATGGTCAACTTTGCGCCCGACTTCATCTCCTGCGTCGACTCCGGCAACGAGAACGGTCTACCCACATACGTCCCCGCCAACGCCACGCTCGATCAGGTCGTCCGTCATGTCCTGCACATTGGCAATCTGATCGGTTTCGACCACGTGGGATTCGGCTCCGATTTTGACGGAATTGCTTCAGTGCCCAAGGGTCTGGAGGACGTTTCCAAGTACCCGGACCTCGTTGCCGAGCTCCTGAGGCAGGGTTTGAGTGATGAGGACGCGGCAAAGGTCGTCGGCGGAAATGTTCTCCGCGTTTGGAAGGAGGTTGAGGCAGTTGCCGAGAAGCTGCAAAAGGATGGCCAGCCTGTTCTCGAGGATGACATCGCAGGCCCGAATTGATAGGAGCAGTGGATGGGAACCTGGTATCAATATACACCTCCAAGATAGGACTCTGACCATAGATAAGACGATGGTGAAATTGGAACCAATTTTGATGGTACAAGTGGTATAATTTTTCATAGTCATACATGTTTGGGCACACCACGGACCCGTCTATCTTGTACATTTGATGGTCACCCAGTGAGAACCACCTCAGAATCAACCCCTTCACTCTCCAAATACCAAGTCGACAGCCACCACGTAGGGGGCTTACCGTCGTCTGTTCGCACTGTTGTGCTTCCTGGCCGACTCGATCTGGGTCCTCGTCCGCTGTCCTCTGACGGGGAGGTTCATGGCGTGTCTTCTTCCTCGGTAGCTTCCCATATCTTTTAGTCTCATGACGTTCTGTTGTATAACCTTCCGCGCATCGCTTTCTATCGTCATGGTCGACAGCTCTGCCGTGAGGGCCGTAACGGTTTTCGGTGGCAGGGCGCCGACTTTGGACATGGGGGAGATGGAGTATTTGGCCAGAATGCGGGAGGATGTGGTGGGTCCGAGAGCGAAGAAAGACTCGAGTGCTTTCTGTCAAAAGGGAAAATTAGTTAGCATCGTCGGCTGAGGTGTTGCGACTGGTTCGTTGTCGTTCGCGGGCGAAGGGGTTGCCATACCTTCACCAGCTTTGCCTCGGAAAAGTTGACTCCTAGGATGAAAACCTACATAGGATCAGTCAGTTGCAGCTCAAACAACTACACTAAGGAATCAACTTACCATTTTCACCGATTTGCGACTTGAGTTCTCGAAAAGAATGTCACTGTTGTCGTCGCGGACTGCTCCGGTTCCTGGGCCTGATGATGGAATCGCGAAACTTCGAAATCAACGATGCGCTCACGGAGAGTCGGCGCCGGAAAATAGTGGATCCAAATGCAACGCGGCGGCGGCGGTGCTCTTGCATGCAGTCCAGTGGCTGCCCAGCTGCATTGATAGCACTGATCCGCCCAGAAGGTGTCCCTTCCATTAGGTATGCCATGGATGCATCCACTTCCACGGATTGCCTCCCCCCATTGGGCAGTTTCGGCGACCAGGGTCCGAGCTCGACTTCCTCATTCGCGTGCTTCAGAGAGGGGAGTTTGAAACGTAGCTCTACCATTCCGAGGGTCCCTCTATTTAACACACTGTCCCTTCTGGCGATAACCTCTCCTCCCCTTTTCAAACGGCTTCCACTTGCATCCAAACAAAATCTGAATTTCTTTCCCAATTGATCGAGTTCAGTGCCCAGCGTCCATCATGTTCAGCATCCAGAGAATCGTCTCTGCCCTCCTCCTCGCAGGAGTGGCTCTGGCCTTCTTCGCGCAGACCGCTGAGGCTGCCAAGGGCCCCAAGATCACCCACAAAGTCTTCTTCGACATCACCCACGGCGATGAGCCCATCGGCCGCATCACCATGGGTCTGTACGGAAAGACTGTCCCCAAGACCGCTGAGAACTTCCGCGCTCTCGCCACCGGCGAGAAGGGCTTCGGCTACGAGGGCTCTACCTTCCACCGTGTTATCAAGCAGTTCATGATCCAGGGTGGTGACTTCACCAAGGGTGACGGCACCGGTGGCAAGTCCAGTGAGTTACATCCCCCTTGAAACCTTTCTGTAGCACTGCACGACGACTGACATGGGAATTCCACAGTCTACGGCGAGAAGTTCCCCGACGAGAACTTCAAGCTCAAGCACTCCAAGAAGGGTCTCCTGTCCATGGCCAACGCCGGCAAGGATACCAACGGCTCCCAGTTCTTCATCACCACCGTCATCACCTCGTAAGCATACCCCCGCCGACAACTACAACCGCACCATACTCCCGAAGCTACGCTAACTCTATACCCACAGTTGGCTCGATGGCCGCCACGTCGTCTTCGGCGAGGTCCTCGAGGGCTTCGACGTTGTCGAGAAGATCGAGCAGGCCCAGACCCAGCCCGGCGACCGCCCCGCCAAGACGATCAAGATCGCAAAGAGCGGAGAGCTGGAGGTGCCATCTGAAGGTATCCACGTGGAACTCTGAGCACGTACTGTGACAACCCGTCGTCCCTTGCTGTCTCTCGTTTTATCACCAACCCGACACTTTTTTACACCACCTCACATTTATTCTTCCCGCTGATGACCTCCCGAAATTGATGACAAAACACACAAAAAACGTACTTGGTTTGCTGATGGCTACGCCCCCCTCGTTGCAGGCGAATACGGCAATAGCGAGTGGGCGTCAGGCTACTCCAACGAGGATACGCCGCTGGAGGTGGGCTCCGGCGAGGGCTGGTCCCTAATCCAGAAGGGTCTTCTCGGTAGTGTTGTCGTTGCTGCGATCGTCGCCTACATCAAGATCAGCAAGTCCAGGGCCGCGAGAGATGTCGGCTACGAGAAGACCATGGCGTAAAAGGGGATTTGACGGGAGGAAGCGGACTTCGACTAGGCACAGGAGATACAAGAACAACAAATGCCAACTAACAAGAAAATGGCCAACATATACATATGCTAGCTATTGCCAAGTGTGTCATTTGTCGTGATGTTGAAAGTATTACCTCTGCGTCTTGAGTTCACTTAAAGCGCAGTCCAATAGCTGTAACGCACCCATCCCAAAGCGCATCACGTGTGGGGTACCAAAAAAATTCCGTGCTGGCCAAACCTCAACTCAAACACCACTCTACGGAATAGCGACCAACCACTTTTACGTGACGCCCAAAAGACGAAAGAAGAAAAAAAGAACTATGAAGCTCCTTAGCCTCAACTTTTTGACCTGCGCGGTCAAGGCCTGCAAGTCCTCTGCAGCCTCGTTCCCCCTCCATCCCAAGGACGCAGAGCTGGCGCAGGACGACATCGAGGTCAACCCCCAACTTCTCTTCAACGTCCTGCCCCGCTTAGACTGGGCCGCTCTGCGAACGAACGCAACTGAGGTAAGGGTTTTTATTTTTATTTCCTTACTTCGTACCCTGGTTTTCTTCACTTTTAATCCCATGTATGAGGACGTTCTATTGCCATAGACCATCCAGTCTCATTTTTGTTTCTCCTCTTGGTTTCATCGTTGAAGAAGATAGAGTGCTGACATTTCACACAAAAAGCTGGGCTTCCCCGAACTCCCCGCGGAGCCTCCCTCGGCAGAGCAGCTCGAGGGCGACGAGAAGATGCTCAAGGACCTGCACCACCTCCTCATGGAGACGCAGATCATGGAGGGCAAGCTCGTTTGCGGTAACTGCGGACACGAGTACGCCATCCGCGAGGGCATCGCCAACTTCTTGCTGCCGAGTCACTTGGTCTAAAAGACAGTGCTCGGTCATGGGGCAAGTTTACAGAGACGAGAATTTGATTTGAGACGGCCGGCGAAGGCAAGTAGGCGTTTACGGCGTTTTTCTCTCCCTTCAAACAAGCATGGAGGCTCTGTCTGATGTGGGGGAGGGGAGGTGGGCGGCAAACAGAGGAAGAAAAAAAAGGTCCATTTGTTATAGAAATACATTTCATGCCATTTGCGAGAAAAAAGAAACACTACGTTGGTCTCTACAGACCACAGGTCCCTTTCCTGTGCTCTCTACCCTATCATGCCATGGATTTCCTCCCCTTTACTCGAAACACGCCTGTCAAAAGCCAGCCGATAACTCCCGACGTTCTCAAATGAAATGCACTGGTCGTTGAAGGAGACACTTCTATGGAGAAATGCCTCAGGCGATTTTGATACACATCTACTGGGCCTTCTTGTGAGCCGCAGGGCCATTCTCCTTCTCGAAAGCACCGTACGGAATCTCGAGGCTGGCAAGAGCCCTGACACCGACACCGAGGATGCTGAAGAGAACGATGGTGGCGATGAGAGCGTGGAAGACGCCTATCATCATGTCAGTTCTATTCGGGACCTCACGAATCGATGGAACTTCATCGCTCACCTGGGGAGAAGAAGACATATTTCTCGAAAAGAGGCAGCTTGCTCCACTCGGTCCCGTTCTCGGCCCTCCTGACATGTCGCAGGCTCGCCTCGTGGCGCTTGAGCTCAGCGTGCAGAGGCTCGGTGGTGAACTCGGCCTCGTAGGTGGGTTCGGAGGGGCTGGCGAGGTAAATGACGGTGTACGAGTCCGACGCCTTGCGCAACTTCTCGAGGCGCTGGCCCAGGACGTGGTCGTTGTCGGCGAGCGTGGCGGCTCTCGCGTCCCGTCCAAGGGCAGTGAGCCTGGCCTCCTCGACCTCGACGGTCTTGCCCGCACACGACTTCTTGATGTAGTCGGCCAGCTTTCCGATGGGCACCTCGCCGACGACCTCGGCGACGCTGTAGACGCCGCGGGCGTCCTTGTCGGAGATTGCGCGGCACAGGTTGGGGGACTGGCAGTCGCCGCTGTCCGGGTTGCGGATGTCGGCCGCGTTGACGTTGGGCTGGGAGACGAGGAGGTAGCGGTCTGTCGGGCAGGAGGAAAGGAAATCCTGGACGGTCTTGACGACCTGGGACTGGGTCTGGAGCTGGGCGGGGTTGGACTTCGCGAGCCTAGGGGAAGAAGAAGGCGTGTTAGCAATGTTCGATGACGATGATGGAGAGGGTTGCAGGTTCCGTGACGTACTCGGCGGTCGAGATCATGATGAAGGGCGACGAGTCGGTGAAGGCATGCACCGAGGCGCACAAGGCCATGAGGCCTGCTGTTCTTGATAGACGCATGGCTGGTTGATGTGGTTGAAAGCTTGCCCGTTGTGATGCGATGGCTGTCCTTCGTCGTACTGCTAGGAGTTATGCTGCGAATTAGCTCCAGGGACGACGTAGCTTGGATACATGCGTCTAGGCGGGTTCAACGTAATCAGCAACCGCATTGGCGCTCGGTTAAATGCACTTTTCACATCGCCTTCCAACAAGGCCTCTCCAGCCAAGTTTCAAACAGGTGCTAGCTTATTTGCCCCACCCCCTCTATAATGTTTTACAGGAGCGATGCACTTGCTTCAAATCATCAACAAGCCTGCCTGCAAGTATGTACTAGATTGAACATCTCAAGCTCCAGCACGTTCCAATTCCTCGTCAGCATCCGAACACAATTTATATGAAGGATGGTTTTAAATGACCGTTTGTTCCAATTGCCAAACGATGCAGAACAATTCACTCTAGGGCTCTTCAAGGCAATTCAGATTTTCATGCATATGAAGAGGGTGTCTCCGTATTGAGCAGCTTGCAGTTGTCGATAAAGTCAGAAATCGGGCCGTATGCTGACCTTACGATACGAAACACAATCGCGAGAACTGATGAGGTGCAACATAACCATCCGAGCATATGTGACCGCGCCAAACAAACAAATTGACATGAGCGGAGCTTGATGAACCTTGGGAATCATCAGAGGAAATGTCAGCATGTCAGCATGCACGGCAGTCCAGAAACCATGCAGTGAAGCCCCTTCGGGATGTCACCTGCTGGTTTCGCTGACAGATGCACCCGACCTCACCTCACGCCTAGCGGAGGTCTGTTCCAGCGCATTTAGCTCTTCGGCTTGGCCCGCGTCAGTGGGCCCTTACAGAGGCTGCAGCGGCATGGACCTGCAAGGCTGCCAGAAAACCCCCCCCATGGATAAGGCGGTCCAAAAATTTGACTGCGCCGTCAGGTCTAAGAAAAAAAAAACCACCACCACGAGCCAGTCAATAGTCCTCATCACCGACACATTCAACCAAACAGCCACAATGTTCGCCAAACCCCGGCCCAAGAAATCCGTGCTCAGCGCGCCTCCCTCTAAGAAGAGAAAGGCGGTCTCCGCAATCGAGGAGGTCAACTTCGATTTCGACGCGCGGGAGGACTACCTCACGGGTTTCCACAAGCGCAAGCTGCAGCGGCAGAAATGGGCTCAGGAGCAGGCTGCCTCGAAGGCGCGGGAGGAGAAGATTGAGATGCGCAAACAGGTGAGAGGCTACCAGAGCACACCTTCCCTTCCCTTGCACATGCGCAGGTTGTTGCTTGCACTGGCTCGTTGAATGAACTGACATGTGATTCTAGATCAGACAAGAGCGCCAACGAGAAGTCGAAGACCACGTTAATGCCGTGAGCGCTCTACTCAAGGAGGCCCAGGCGGCAGACTCGGACGGGGATCAGGAGATCAACGGATCAGATTTCGAAGAATGGGACGGTATCGACGAGCCGGCCAAGGATCAGACAGATATCGTGGACTACGAAGACGAGTACATAGACGAGGACCGCTACACATCGGTCAAGGTCGAAGCCATATCCGTGACGCGGGACGGTCTCGAAAAGATCCACCAAGACGGCGACGAGCAAGAGAACGATAGCCAAGACGAATCCAAGGCGAAGCAGCCGGCACCCGACAGCAAGCCTGCAAAGTCGAAGAAAGAGTGGCCCAAGAAGAAGCAGAAGAAGTTCACCTACGAAACAAAATTAGAGAGGTCACTGGGAGCGAGGAAGGCAAAAGCCAAAAAGGCAAGATTTAAGAAAGAGTAGTTGAAGGAGGGTATAATATTTCGCATTGGTTGCTGCAGCTGCTTGCCCCAAGGAGTCGCCTCACGCCCAGCGTGGTCCGAGGTGGTTGTGTATGAATTCCCGTCATGTCTGTGTCCGGTGAACAAAGACTAGGGGCATCTGACAGAACAAAACTCTTTGTTGGCCGGGGTTACAAAAAAAGGAGTAAAAATAAGGCTGCTATAACTCGGTCGCGAACCGTCCCGTCATTTGCATTCCACCGCTTGTTGGGATAGCTAAGTCAGATCGCCAACACAGTGTCCCAAGCCAGGAGTCTATCATGTAGAAAAGCCTTGCATAAAATGACACCCGCAACAACGGCCTTAGATGTTGCCAATCTCGGCCTGGAAGTCCTCGAGCTCCTTCTGGACCGTCGCGTACTTCTTGGCCATCTCCTCGTACTTGGATTCCCACTGGTCGCGCTCCGACTCGAGAGCCTGGACCTTGCGCTCGAAGTGGCCGGCCTTGACGTCGGTCTGTCTGAGCCTATGAAAAGACGGTGTAAGTAATGAGTATGCATCGGTCGGTCGTTCGGTGGGGCGGGCTTTAATGAACACGATGGGGGTCGGAGGGTGAAAAAGGGGGTATCATCGATTCGGCAAACAGGGTCCAGAACGTACTTCTCGTTGGCTTCCCGAAGGGTCTTGTCCGCCTCCTCGGCCTCCTCCTCGAGGAGCTGGAGTCTGCGCTGGAGAGTCTCGTTTTGTGTGCCGGTGCCAGCGCTCTCGTCGGCAGCCTTCTTGAAGTCCTTAACCGCAGTCTCAAGCTTCTCGACTTCGCCCTCGAGCAGACCGTTCTTGTGCTGCAAGGAGGTGATCTCCTGCTCCTTGGACAGGTTCTCCTGCTCCAGAGACTTGACCTTGGTCTGAAGCTCCTCAACCTTTGCGGCGTTGTCGTCGGCCTCCAGACGAAGCTGGTTCATTTTCTGATTGACACCGGCATCGTCAGCATCGATGACACGACACCATTGGGGATATCTTACCCCTCCAGACCGCCGGTAGCAGTCGGGTGGGGCCAGACTCAGAATGGCGAACTTACCTCCTTGATACGGTCCATGATGAATAGCTGCGAGTTGCTTTGACGTTGTAGTAGAGTCGGTGCAGGGTGATTGCGATAAGGAGAGTTTGCTGGAGTTGAGAATGGGAACGGGATCGGTGGATGTGGGATCGCAGCTGTCGGGGATGGAAACGGGAGGAAAGGGTGTGAGGTGTTGAAGTAACTGCCCCTCTACCTGCAAGTCCGCTCCATGCGACCTGTGGCGGACCACCCTCAGCATGCCAGTAGCAGCCAGACAGGCCTGGGTCTTCGCACGCTGAAAGGAAGCTGCAATTGGATTAGCTCAGACGCGGGCAGTGGGGTCAGTCAGGTGGGGTGGGCTGTAGCCTGTGGCACGGTGCAGCGGTGCAGCGGTGCTTTCCCTAAGGTAATTCCCAGAGGTGAACTTTCTACGGGGGTTTCCGCAGGGTCTGAGCTTCTCTGGTGGTTGTCCCGACAACGACCCCCCAAACATACGGGCCCGTTTACAATCTCTATCGCCTCTTCAACCCATGACAGACTCCAAAGTGAAGGGATTGATGACGACAGTACAGCAACACGCAATAACTATACACCACGACCAAACAAGACACCAACTTCACGACAGAATCGACGACACCTCTTGCCCCGTGCAAAATGCTGGCCCTTCGTGACGAGAACGCGGTCAATGCAGCTCAAGCTGCTCGCCATGCCCCCGGAAAAGGGCAGCTGGCTCCCAAGACCCCTGGTGCCCGATACCCAAAGACGCCCTTGAAGATTCCCCTCAACGATGAGAACGCTGTCGGAGGAGCCAAATCCGTGCTCGCTGCCAAGTCGAATACCAACGGAAATATTCAACTCACGGCAAAGAAGCAGAACCTCGTCATTCCTTCTGGTAACACTCCCGATTTCGTCATAGGAGGGATCAAAAGTGACTGACATCCTTGACAGAGACACGAGCTCGGGCGCCCCTCGGAAACAAAACCACCAATGCAAAGGCTAGGGCCACTCAGAACACCGGAGGGAAGGATGGCGAGAAAACACAGTCGAAGCCCACGACGACCAAGAAGCTGAAGCAGCGGTCTCCCAGCGTCGGTCCTCTTAAGCTCGAAGTCCGCAACGACCAGGCTGGGCCAGCTGAGGAGCCTGATGTTGAGTATGCCCCTCCTACCGTCAAGGATTTGCCCTACGAGTCGGATGTCCTCTCCAATGGAGACTTGACATTTGAGGGGCTCAAGCCCGAGAACATGTTCAAGGGATACTACAACCACTTCTACAACCCCATGGGCGAAGATGGCGTCAGGCTTCAGGACAGGCAGCATCAGGAGAGGCTCCAGAAGGCTCTTAAGGAGAGTGACGAGCGTATCCTCCGAGACATTCAGGAAATGGACTGGTCCGTCTCGGACGTTCCTGAGACTTCGGCTATTTCTCAGCGAAAGGCACCAGCCCCGGCTCCTAACCCGGCCGTCACCAGAAAGGCGGTTGGAGGTGCTCCCAAGTACCCGCCCACGATTGCTTCAAGAAGAGCCGCGTCTGCTCTGTCAATGTCCGCTGGTAACACCATCAGACAGAAGAAGGTTATCGAGCAAAAGCCCACGGTGAGAAGACCAATCTCTTCTATACTTCCGCGCACCAGACCAACCAAGCCTGCTGTGGCCCCAAAGTCTTCGGTCGCTGAAAGTGCCATGGGGGAAGCCGTGTCGAGAAACACGCTGGGCTACACAAAGGGTCGCTCAGCCTCTTCCTTTGTTAGCGGGCGCCCGGCGTCTGCTGCGGCTCGGTCAGTCTCGACTGATGCGAAAACGACTCTAGCCCCAAAGATGACCATGAGACGTGACGCATCTCCCCAGAAGCAGAGACAGGAGGCCCGAAACGACAGCGAGGAGCTTGGAAAACTCCAGTTCCTATCCATCTTTGATCCTGCTGGGGACGACGAGGATGACGGCATCGGCAGCGCGGGTCCACGAAACGAAGAGTTCGAGGACGATGAGTTTGAGATGAAGTTGACATTTTAATCGGTCAAATGGGTTGATGGATGGCGTTTGGAGATGATTACCCTCATTTGTAAAACAACAGGACGGCTGGGGACTAGGAGGCGTTTGGCTGGCATCGTTGCCCAAATGCAACGCCCATGGGGTCGAACGGGCGATCAAAGAACGTGTTCGCGATCAGGGCTTGCAATGACTGTATTTACTTTGTTAGACTCTGTATGACTTATTATCCTGCAGGAATTGTTCAGACCAGGGCGAGGCTTTGTTTCTCATAGCAAGCCGCAAACGCCTGCATCTATTACTTCAGTTCATTGATTTGCATTTTAACTTTCGACTGTACTTCGTGGTCTCACGTGCTTGCCGTCTATCGATAATCTCGAGTTGACATTGGAGAGCGGTGTAAACAAGTAATATCTCTCTCTCTCTGACCCAGTGATTGGAAGATGGGATTGTTGGCACGAGGTTTATCAATTACTTCATTGGTTCGCCCTGATGCAACGGGGACAGTTTCTGTTGTGCCCCTGTCCTTCACGTCCTTCCATTGCGAGACGCGAAAAATGAGTAAAGTGGAAGGTCCGGCGACGCGACTCTCAGTTGCCAGCTGTCAGAACTGAGAAGAGGCAGCTTCATCTCCACCCACATCAATGGTTGTACCCAGCACCCAATCTTTGCAGAGTGATACTTTCTCTCGCGCCTGTCCTCGTAACGCAGGTCCCGTCTGAGCATCCATGCGCAACGGTGCTCCCTCGCCTTGTTCCGTGGCTGGTCTCCGCTAAATCGCATCCCTGAAAGGTTTGGACACTCTTCAACCTCCAACTTTCTGACCTCACTGCTACATTTCCTCCAGCCTCATATCCGTCAGTCGCATCGCACGACTCATCCGGCTTTATTTGCAAACTTTCTGATTGATCGCATCGACCCTGAGCCCTTCGCGACTGGGAATCTACCTTCCTTGAATGACGCAGTCGGGCTCTTGCCCCTTGCCGTTCACTCGTGTCGGTAGCTACGCATCGGTCGCGTGAACAGCGAATCCGCGACCTCTCCTCCCGCTACACCGCTCCGGCCGCTGTCGTCGGCGATGACCTCTGTCCTTTAATATCATCCGACATACAAGAGACGATGGTTGGTGGCAGGCGAGAGCGGTGAAAGCTGAACAACCTCACGATGACCCGTCAATCTTCGGCGAGCTTCGCGCAGTTCTTCCCTGCAGCCCCCCGCGTCGCTAGGGACAGAGCCAACGAACGAGAAAAGGCAAAGGCCAAGGTTCAAGACTCGGCAGTTGGCCTGCCTAGCGGCTCCAAGAGCAGTGGCACCCCTTCGGTCAACGGCACGGCTGGAGAAATCTCATCTACGGCTGATGGCCTACCTTCCGACACTTCGCAACAGCCACACGACGGCCATGAGTCGCCTCTAGGAGATACTCTCAACGCTGTCGGATCTGCAAGCTCATACGCGAGCACGGGCTCATCCGTCTTCAGTACGGCTGCGCGACAAGTCGTCTCCAGCGGCATATCTCATATCCCTCCATCGAGCGGCACGCCGCTCACCTCCGTTGAATCACCCTCATACTCGGGCAATGCTGCCTTACCGAAAACGACTATGCCACAAGTACAAAACACCGATCGGGGTGAGGCAGCGGTCTCTCTCAATACCCCAACATCCCGCCTAAACAGCTCACTCCCGGAGCCATATCCTCACATTGAGCGCATTCCCGCGCGAGATCCCAACCGATCGCGAAAAGGCTTCAAATGCACATATGATCCCTTCAACGACCGGACCCTATCGAAGCACGGCAGGAAAGATGCCAAGCCGATATATAAGGAGTTTGGATTGGTACGTACAAATACAATAAAATTGCCCATTGAAGGCGGAGGGGGAGGCGTCATCTTTTGTGTGTGAGAGCTTTGGCTAATAAACTGAGTAGGAAGATGACGCCCCCCCTCCAGACCCTCGTCTCACCAAAGGTGGACGGTTGGGTTATATCAACACCGATTTTCATCTCCCAAAGTCCCGATTACGACAGTCGCCATACAACTTGAAACCCTATGTATATAGCCCCAAGACATCAGTCGGTCCTGGGCCGCCTACGCAGATTGTTGTTACTGGCTTCAATCCCCTCATCACCTTTTCAAAGGTGACGGCGGCCTTTGCTTCGTTTGGCGACATTGCTGAGAGCAGTAACAAGATGCATCCTGAGACGGGCAGCTACCTAGGTTTCGCAACGTTTCGGTATAAGGATGCGCATCCCAGCAGGTCGAGACCCAACCCAATTATGGCCACTGAATCAGCGCGCCGAGCAGTTAAAGCCATGCACGGGCAACGAATCGAGGCAAACACCATTCGAGTCGAGTACGATCCTGAAGGAAAGAAAAGTCGTCGCATGCTTGAGGAGGTTCTGCAGAAAGACAGAGCTACACGGGATACTTCTATTGCAAAGGCGCCGCCCACCGGTCCTCGAATCGCGCCCGAAAAGGTTCCTGGGCCACCACCCATGGCACCAAAAGGTCCCTCTTCTCACAGACAGGCTGTGGCTGGGGTGCCAGCGTGGGTCCCAAGCCAACCCAAGATGCACATTGCGCTCGAAGAGAAGCTTGTCGCGAAGCAGCTAGCAGGCGAGCCTTATATCTTTGTTGCGCACGAGCATGTCCCAGTCATGGTTACGACAATCCCTCACATGAAGAAGCGACTTAAGGCATTCGCCCTTGAGGACATTCGCATTGACCGAACGGGATATTACATTCTATTTCCCAACTCATTTCACGGACGCAACGAGGCTTCAAAGTGCTATAGAGCAGCAAACCATACCGACTTGTTCACGTACAATATGGTGATGCAACTATCGCTCCCGCCTACGACAAATCAAGATTCCGAACCTGCAGCTCCACCACCACGACGGCGGACCCCCAGCCCCGAACGCAAACGTCGAACGGATATACGAGTGCGCGAGGACAAGGATCGTCGTCGTCGCGAAGAGGAAGCAGACATCGAGGAAGAGAAGCGACAGAGAGCTAAGAACTTTGATCCGGTCCTCGAGGCTTGCGAAGTGGTCACCCGAGAGCTAGCAGAACATTTGATCAAGCACATACGGACAAGAGTTGCCGCTCCTGCTCTGACGAGCTTTCTAGACCCAGCAAATCATGCGACCAAGCGACGAAAGCTCAACTTGGAGGATCTAGCTGGATCTGTTCCGTCTGTCACTGTCAATGCTGGCGATGAGAGCCCTGGAGTCAGCACCCCCAACTCTGGCGCAGATCCAATTGAGCGTCGCACGGGTCGTCTGGAAATCGCTGCTCTGCCACGTATTCGTAAGGCCAAGGCTACTGCCCACGGAGCCTCGCGTAATCACGGCTTCACAGATCCATTCTCCCGCAAGCGCGCAGCACAGCAGAGCCGTGGTGCCTTCCGATCATTGCACCATCGCCTCAAGAGCTACGACAGTGATGCAGAATCCGATGATGAAGCCGCCGTCAGAGAGTCCCTGGCAAGGGATACTGAAGAGCCCGACTCTCGACCCCGTAGCCGCATGAGCACAGACGATGACATCAAGGATGACTTTACCTCCTGGGGTCCTGGCGAGGAAGACTCCATGACTGAGGCGAGTTTCGCTATTGGCGATGGCTTAGCCTCGACGAAGAAGAGGAAACTTGACCTAGAAATCCAATCGGCTATCAAGCGCCAGAAGAAGTCCGATGAGGAACTATTCGGGGTCCACCTAGAGGGCGTCGAGCCTGACCTGCTGGCCTCTTCAGAGGCCACCCCTGATGTTGACTTACTCGAGACACAGAGCAATCGCTCCGAGACTCCTGCTCTATCGGCCGCCAAGGGGCTGGCAAAGAAGCAGAAGTCAAAGAAGAAGTCGAAGAGGCAAATCTTTGAGGAACGGGAGGCCTTGAAGAAGCAGCAAATTCAGACCCCCACAGAAACGGAAGAGGAGACGCCAGCCCCGGTCAAATCTTTGCCTGGAGAGGTCGAGCCTGAGGTGTTGCCAGTAGAGAAGATAGAGGAAGAGCCAGAGCCCAAGAAAGCCAAGGCAGATCCCTCGTTATTCACTACAACGCCAGCACCAGCCCTCGGCCTGTCTGGCGATTTCAGGCTCAATATCTCTGCATTACAAGAGCTGTCGTTATCCGCGGCCGACAGCCCAGATATCTCGAAACTCAGGAAGAGGTTTGCAGGGGTAGATTTCGGCGACCCGCTTCTGTGGTTATGGAGGCGTAATCGCGTCCGGGAGCTCAACTCCGCGACTGGATCGGTTGACCAAGCTGTGGGCATCAATGGCTATTATGTACCCAATTCCACCGGTGCTGCACGAACTGAGGGTGTCAAGAAGATTCTTAATGCCGAAAAGTCCAAGTACCTGCCTCACCACATCAAGGTCCAAAAGGCCAGAGAGGCACGTCAAGCGCGGTACAATAAGGACGGCAAAGACGCAGCCATTGAAGCTAGCAGACTTGCTGTGGCAGAAAAGGCCGTGGCGAAGGGCAATTCGAGAGCGAATCGCGCCAATAACCGTCGACATGTCTCTGCACTGCAAGATGAGAAGAAGATTTCGGGCGACTCGGATGCGTTCAAGTTCAACCAGCTTAAAAAGCGGAAGAAGCCTGTCAAATTTGCCCGATCTGCTATTCACAATTGGGGTCTATACACGGAGGAGAATATCAACAAGGACGACATGATCATCGAGTACGTCGGTGAGCAGGTCAGACAATCGATCTCGGAGATTCGGGAGAAGCGTTACCTCAAGAGCGGCATGGGCAGCAGTTATCTGTTCCGCATCGACGATAACACGGTCATCGACGCAACCAAGAAAGGTGGCATTGCTCGCTTCATCAACCACAGCTGCATGCCCAACTGCACTGCTAAAATTATCAAGGTCGACGGAACCAAGCGGATCGTTATCTATGCGCTCCGCGACATTGCTCAACGTATGCTACCCAAGCTCAAACCCCTTTTTTTGTGTATTCACGTGAAGCTAACATTGCGCAGATGAGGAGTTGACATACGACTACAAGTTTGAGCGCGAGATTGGCAGCTTGGACCGTATCCCCTGCCTTTGCGGTACGGCGGCATGCAAGGGATTCCTCAACTAATCTCGATCGGCCTTTCTGGTGTTATTGGTGGCTGGGCTGCACCTTTGCATTCGCCCTTTGTATTTCTCAGGACAAGTTGCCTGCTGGAGTTGGGACCTGAACTCATTTCCTTGGTGGAGGCGGGCATCTTGCCGACTCTGATTTTCATCACCTCAATGCATACCCATTTGGATCTGTCTCCTGCGATTATACTATATGCATAACAACCAAGGCAAGGGGAATGAAGACGAAGCTTTTGGAGGAGGTGGACGGGGTAAGGTGGGGGGAAAAAAAACTAGTGTATCATGATTCACTTCGGATAGCTGGCGTTCATATTGGGTGGAAGGGGGGCTTCTTCATCAACACACTTGGGCCTGGTGAAGTCCAGAGCTTCACATCGGCCCCCGAGATCTGGTGGAGGAAGAGACGAACGATGAGGAAAAGAAATGCCTCTCTAAAGTGAGCGAGGCAGAGAGCCACGCCACCCTTTCTAGGTAATCTGGGCGTATATCCGCACACAAACACAACCACAAATGTACATATGGCGGAAGTGGCTACGTTAGTATTGAGAAGAGACTCAACCAAGGCGAAAGTACTACTTATTTCAGATGCTCAGGCGATGCCTGTCTTTATCTATGTTCTCTTGCCTTGTGAAACTGCCGGTGCTGTCTGGAGACTGACGTTTTTCACAAAGGCGCTGAGGGGGTATAACGGTCCGCTGAATTCCATGTCGTACCTGGTGTGGTGGTCAGTGTGCCGGGGGTAATAACCTGCGATGCGTGAACATGTATAGGCTTACCAGTAGTTGACGGCGAGAACGAAGCCTTCTTCGTCTTCCGGGCAGGACTGGGAAACCTTGTGGTACCACATGGCGGGGAGGTAGAGCATGTCACCCGGCTCCAGCGTGACGCGGACGGGCTCTGCGAGGTGAGAGTAGGGCGTCGCGTTGACCTGCGGCTGATCCGGATCCCACGTCGCAAAGGGGATGGGATCTGGTCTTGTCGTTTCTTCTTCGCCTTTTCCATCTTCTACTTCTGCTTCACTACCTTTGGCCCGGTCGAGATTCAACACCAGCTCGCCAGCGTCTTCTTCTCCTTCGCCCCAACGACGACGACGAGAATACGTCGCGGGTGCGAGGGCCGTCTCGTTGACGCAGGGGTGGCAGCAGGGCGGGAGGAGGACGAAGTGTTTCCGGCCGCGGACCTGGACGTAGATGTTTTCGTAATTGTCCTTGTGGAGGGCTGTGACGGAGCGGGAGGCGCCGATCCAGAGGTTGATTGCGTCTGGGTCGCGGTCGAGGGCGATGCGGGCGAATGGGATTGAGGGAGGTACGTGGGTGAAGAGGGGGAGGTATTCGTTGCGGAGGTTATCGTTTTCTTTGGGGGGTGGAGTGTTAGTTACTAATCAGGATGTTGAGATTGTATGAGAGTGGGTGAGTTTGGATGTAATTGGGAGGGTTGATCATGATTGAAAGATGAAGGTATACACATGAAGGTAAGTGAGGATGAGTGTGGCGAGACGGCTGGGAGCATGGAATGACATACGTGTTTGAGCATATCTGACTTCTGAGGCCGAGTCTTTGCTCTTTTCTTGGTTGATTACATAGTTGAGAAACTCTTCGAAATCCTGGTCCTCCTCGTGTGGCTTTGCGAAAACGACATTTCCTTCATGCTCGGTTGGAGCGTCTGCATTACTGCGTATGAACCGTGTAAGTCGTAATATTGTGAGATACTCACCTCTTGAGAATGAGGGGAAGGAGGATTATTTTCCAAACTCACCCAAAAGGCGTCATGGCAACATTGACAGTCTGATCTCTAAACATGCGCAGCAAATACTCTCTATCCCACGTCTCATTCGACTGCCATGAGGACGCCGCGCCGCGGACGACAAAGGGTGTGTTGCGAGCGACGTAGCGCATGAACTCGAGAGGACTCGGCTCCTCGTCCAGCTCTTTGATGAAGGCGCCGTTGAGCTCGTTGTAGGTGGTGATGAGCTCGGCCAGGGGGTCCTCTGGGACCGCCTGGGCTTGTGAGCTCATGTCTTGTTTGTCTGCTTCGGAAACTGTAAAGATGGTGGTCGTTCACTTGAGGTACCTCACTGAGAGTGATTGCGAGATTGAGGTGTGTGTGTGTGTGTGTGTGGTTGTATGACTAAGGTTGCAGTTGGACCATTTGCGAAAATTGTGGCGATGGGGTTATTTGAGCCTGAGTGCTAGGTTCCCCCCAGTATGGTTGATCACCATTGAATGGCAGCGTTGGGATTGAATCTACTTTATTTTACACTGTAAATTAAAATATGAGAAAGCTTCTAGAATATTGAATGTCTCATTCACTCATGAATTGGTCCTGTTTGGTGTAAATAGTTCGCAGTGATTGAAAGTCTCATGTCATTCAACTCAAATTCCGCACCCGCACCGCAACGGCCCGTGTCCGAGCGCCAGGCCCCGATATGATATATAAGAGCCGGCACGGAATGTGTACCCCGGAATTCGGGCCTACCAGAAACGCAAATAAGAAAGAATGCATTATCTTCGCGTGCTCCATTCAGCCTCCCTCCACGCGAGCGCAAGGGTGTACCTACCTTACCATTGGCATTGGGTTCAAGGCGCCTGGGCACCTGGGGTTTGTTTGCCGCATGCTGGCCACGGGAATCAACGGGCACGACGGAAAGGGGTCCTGCGGTGGGATGAGAATGGGACTTGAGGGAGCATGAGGCACGCCGCACGAGGGTCCCGTTCCTTGGGCCCTGCAGCCCTGGGGGGGGGGGGGGGGGGGGGGAAAAAGGTGGTGCCAACCGCACAGGGCAAAAGAGAGCGGAGCCAATGAGGAAGACGGCGCGAGTGGGAAGTCAGGCCACTTGAGCGTCTTCATGGCCTGATTATGATGAGTCCCGGTGATTCAGAGAGCTTACCACGGCCCATGGCCCACGCAAGGTGTGATTACCGGTGTGTTTGCTTTTGCTGCCGTCTTCATTTCTAGCTGCGTACGGAGGATGGTGCTGCGAGATTGCCCATCTGATTAATTATAGCTTAGGCAGATCTGAGTCTGGGTTGGCGGCTGCAAATGCTGACCAGGGGATTTTTGTCGTATATAGAAAGGCCTGTCCCTTCCCTCCATCCTCTTGGGAAGGTCCTCCGACACCCGACTGTCTTACACCAAGTATCGTAGTATCGTGAGGTTATACACTCACTGAGCACATACACTCGCAACTTTCCTGCTAACGGCATCAACATCACCATCAACAACGTAATGCCACAGCGACGGCTTTGATAACAGCCACCGGTATCGCTATCAAAGATGATGGGCATCAACGGAAGGACCTTGTCAGCCAGTCAGCCTTTGGGCACAAAAGCTTCGTCATCGTTCTATTATTCCACCATCTAGCTCCATCGCACGTCGGACTTCCAACTCCAATGAGGCATTCATCATGGTCGATCAGGAACCCGAAAGCAGCCCCCTGGCGCGAAAAGCTACCCGGACTAAACACGAATGTCGAAAGCTTGCCACGCGACTCTTGCTACACACGACACATGTCAGGCCGTTCTCGCCAGAAAGCATCCGCGTTCCAGAAGAGCAGCGATGACAGCGCCTGGCTGTCGCAGCGCCAATCGAGCTCACGGACCCTACCGGTTCGAAGACGCAGCACTGGTTTCTTTCACGCAAACATGGGCAAATTCCCCCCATTACCACGGTCCGATCCACGGGCGGGATGATGGGAAACTTCGACCAGCATGCCCGCTAAGACATGGGCTTCGACCCTTTCGCTTCGCCGGTTCCAGCACAGCCATGTTTCCAGGGTTCCCTAAGCTTGACCCTTTTGGGGGGAGGAGGGATGTTGCCGAGGCCCACCCAGGCACTGGACGCTTGCAAACCGGTCTCAGGCCAAAGTTGAATGGGATGCCGGCCGCTGCGAGCTACCCCAACCGAGCGTACCACCACGATACGAGGTGGAAAAACCACGCAGCTTGACTTACACGGACACACATCCAACAATTCTGCAGGAACCACGGACGCCCGGTCCCTTCCAAACGAGTATCATTGAGTTTTTCTCCTCTTGGACAACTTGGCCGCGGCGCTGCCTGATCTTCAAGCGAAGACGAGACAGCAGGTGTCCTCGACGACGTGAAGGAGGGTGCCACGACTCATGAAGGGCGAATCAGCAAAGAAGCGCGCGCCAATGCTCCTGCGGCCAGTTTCTCCAATCCGTTCCATCGAGCCCGATGGTGCCTTTGCTGGCTGGCTCGCTGAATGGGAAACTGAAAAAAGCCACCATGTCGGCACCATTATCCGACTGTGGAAAGATGTACGGTTCTACTGTACGCCAAGACGAGCCGCCCTGCCGAACTCTCCAAGAAGTCTCCGGTCGGTCCAGAAGTTCCAGGCGGCCCAGTCAGGGCCCAGAGAAAGTGAGTGAGAGAGAGAGAGAGAGAGAGAGAGAGAGAAGATGAGAAGCTGGCAGAGGGAGCGGAAATGTGACACTCTTCTTCAGTTCTGGAATGTCGCAGAAAGCTTATCAAGGGTCTGGTATTTGAGACTTTACGCATCACTGGCACAGCTTGGCTGTGGGCGGCTAGCCAAAAGCAGCAGACACAAGACGTCTTCCATGTTCCTCGCTCAAAGGTAGGGGAGAGGAGAGAGGGGAGAGGGGCCAGCCATCCGGAGTGCTTCCCTCGGAGACGCGGAGCGCACACCTGTTGCCTATGGGAAAGCAAAAGCTGCAAGCCAGGTGCTTGTGCTTGTTTCCCTGGTCTTTGTGCTCGAGGTGTCTCGAGCTTCGCTTTCATCTCAGGATCCCCCAAGTTTCTACTGTTTAACTTTCTTCCACTCAAAAATAGGCCCCAAACTGCCCCTCAACTTTGTTTCTTCTCCATTGTCTGACACTCCGTTTCTGTGGAAGCTTTCAATATTTTCTGGTCCAGATCGTTCTTCCTCTGGCTGCGTCTGTTTCCCCTCCCCTATGCGGCATGCACTAGATGCCAACACACCGATGCACACCTCGACAGCTGGTCCGGTCTTCCTTGAGAGAAACCGTTTGACGTGTTGCTTCTTTGACGCGGGCAGGGCATCATTGGTTGGTCGACCTACGGATACCCGTGGTAGTCGATCACTAGTGGCCCTCACCATCCTGCTTCTGTTGCAATGGAAGAAGTTCTTCCCTGTTGTTGGGTTGTCTCACCATCCAAAGACGTGCAGACGTCAGCGCTGGTAGGTACCCAGCTCAGGGGGGTGGGGGGGTCAGGATTTAGTGGGACGACCCCCCCTATCAGACACCCCAGAGCTGGAGCAGGGACGGTCTCCAGCTTGGTAGTGACGCCAAAACGCCCCTGGCTTGGCCCCCCCTTATTCTGGTACGCAGTATGAGGTCTATGGCTTTTCTTCGCCTTTACTGCTTGCGAGTTGCAAGTACCAACCAAGTCGTTACAGTCTCCTCCAGGTCTCAGAGACACACTTCAAGTACCGAAACATCAGGGCGAGCAGAGTCATCGATTCCATTGTCGCTCTCTTGCCCCCCCTTCCCCCAGACTCAAGTGCGTCTACGGTAACTTCATTCTTCGACCCTGCAGGTCGCATTCTGAATCTCAGGTTGAGGACGTCTCCGTCGCGCGTTACAGGGGTCGAATAGCCCATGTTCCACTAAGTTTTCCTGTCCACCTCACATTGTAGAGGAAGTCATCCCATGTTCCCCGACAGATGCTGCCACCAAGCCACCACCATCGGCAGGTTCCATGGCTCCACCTCTCCCCCGAAAGATACCTGCCCAGTACAGTCTGCCGGTCCAGGTACCTGATCCTGAGTCCTGAGGTGGCCGCTACCTGTGCCAAGCAATCACTTCAAGGCTCCAGGTGCGAGGTGAGGGGAGCGCATACACGGTACCTTACTACGTAGAGGGCCGGTCTGAGATTCTAGCGCGGTACGGCACGGTACGGACACACACGCCTACCTTAGCCCAAGGAACCTTAGCTGTGCCTCATACTCTCAGCAACGTCAACCGCGCACCTTTTGCACCTCACACTTCGCACCTTACCTTACGGATACTTGACATTGGATCGCACCTTTCCCGGTCCATCTGGTGGTGTCGCTAGTTCTGTCTCTTTTCACCTCTCTCCCAGCTTACCACTTACCACCACCACTGCCAACCCGATCGATCACATCGCCGTACCTTAAACTCCCACCACCTGCACAGAGGGTACTCGATCCTTTCGAACAACTACTCCGTACCCTTCCTTTCTTCTCTCCACGCTGGGGTCGCTCAGAAAGGGTTTGATTTGTCTTGGCCGCATACTATTTCTCCGCATCCCTCTCGTTTCGACCAAGATTGCATGCAACACACCACCCACCACCGCATCGCGCCGCACTGCAATCCCATCGAACCACCCATCCACTCACACCGAAGCAGCGACTACAGTCGGTCCTCCGGTGAACATCAACCAGTCGACTCCCAACCCAACTGATCCGCCCCTCCTCCGTCCTGCAACTAAAACAATCTTTCGCAACGTCTTCCAAGCCTTCGCCCAGGACCAGCGCGACACTAACAATTAGTCTTGTCCTGGCGTTCTTTTTTGGCCCCGTCGCAGCTGCCCGCGTCGTTCCATCATTACACACCTCGACCGACACCCGATCGACCGACCAACGTGGGACCCGACTGACCACGTCCCATCCCCGTCCGCTTCCACACAACCTCTACATCAGTCGCCCACATCCCTCCTCCACCAGAGGATCCTACCGGTATTGTTTGCAAAAGCTTCCTCTATCCTTTCCCCCCGCGTCGACAATACTTTCCGAACCAACGATCCCCCGGTCGCACCGCATGTTCGATTCCTTTGGCTGCCACACTTGAACTGTCAGTGTCGAGTCGAATCATGAGGAGGACGACTTTCACTTGCAGACCGACAACAACACTGCTATCCCCTACAGTTTAACACTGAATGGATCACAAATTCAACTGAGCAGCGTCCGCTTCTGCAACTCTGCAAATTCAACTCCCAATTCTGCTGCTGCAGCCGCTGCAAGTCTACTTGCAACCGTCGCCGCAGATGATTTGGTATCTCTTGTATCCTTTGCGAGGGTATGCATCCTCCTCTCTTTTCTCCGACCCAGGCTGGTGCCACTCATCATGTACCAGCTCCATTGTAATGCATGTCCTGACTGACCTGCCTTCAGAACGACGGAAGCTCCAGCCCTTGCCACGAACCATCCTTTCCGTCGAGCCTTTGCGCGATACGGCCGATATGCCGCGAGGCACGTAGTCACGACTCTCATCATCTCTGTCACCGTCGCCGCGATCCTTATATACCCCTTCCCGTTCCTCTACACCTCAGATCTGAGCAATGGCGCCTCCAACTTGCCCCATCATGTGTGGACTGCTGCGCAGCCGCTCAAGGAGAACAGCACCGAATCCGACGTCATAATGCGATCCATATGGGTCCACGGTAGCTACATGAAAGCATTGGATCGCGACGTACTGCTAGGCGCGCTTGAATTGCAGGATGAGCTGCTGGGTCCCACCAAAGACTTCAGCCCACGGCGGCCCGTAACGTCCCTCCGGGCCCACGATCCGTATGCAGATCTTGCCCCTCGAGACCGGGATGCATTCCATGTCGTCAATGGCCTCACCAACCAGTCTTGGTTCTTCTCTTCGCCACTTCAGTACTGGGCCTGCTCCACTGATCGCATAGCTTCCGATTCGGACATAATATCAACCGTCAATGCGCGGAAGACACAACCGACCTCAGTCAATGTCACTCTACGACACTCAATCGTCTTTAGCGGCAAGCGCTTCGAAGATCGAAAACTTCTTGCCGCCGATGCCCTTGTCATCACATTGATCCACTTGCGCGATTCACCGGTCGGTCGCCAGTGGGAGAGAAAGGCCGAAGCGCTCGCAAATCGCATGAAGGACAAATGGACAGCTTACCCAGCCGACGGGAGAAGCATGTCGAGCCAGCTGTACGAATTTCAATTCATGCCCATTTCCGTGCAAGACACAGTAATTCTGGCGTTGGCATACGGCCTCGTCGCAATTTACTTTCTGTACAGCCTCTCCAAGCTGAGGGCGGTCAAATCCAAGTTCGGCCTGATAGTCACGGTGTTTGTCCAGATTGTCGTATCTATCATGTCGAGCTTTACAGTCTGTGCCGTTTTCCGGGTGGACTTGTCCGGAATTCCGCAAGCGGCATATCCGGTCGTGGTTCTCTCCATGAGCCTCGAAAACATATTCAGACTTATCAACGCCGTCATCTTGACTCCCTCGGAAAACAGTACAAGTAGTCGAATTAGCCGCGCGTTTGGAGAAACAGCACATGTTGCGCTAGCCAGTTCGGCACAAAACGTGCTCATCCTATGGGGACTGTCCAAATTGGTTTCACCGGGCGTATCCGCCTTTTGCACATTTGTGGCCGTTGCTATTGTGTTTGACTTCTTTTACTTATCAACCTTTTTCTTGGCGGTTCTCAGTGTCGATGTGCGACGCACAGAACTTAGTGACGCGCTTGCCAAAGCATCACTGAAGAATAACAGGTACGGGCAGGAGCAGCAGCAGCCAGCCAATAGGAGCTGCTTCGAGGCAATGCTGCAGGGCAAGATTGCCCTGTCCACACGTATCGCGGGCACTGTCATCATGATCACGTTCGTTTTGATTGCCCAGTGGCATTTTTTTGAGAATGACACTTTCGTCCGGCTGGCGCGCGGGATTTTCAGGATCTCCAGAGATACAGTCAGCTTCAGCCAACCGAAGAACTCTATGCTTCTCGACATTCACCAGGCGCGAAGCCCAACATCTTGGCTTCGGCTTCAAGACCACGAAAGCGCTCGCGAGGTTATCAACGTCATCAAGCCCAGATCCCACAGTTACATCGCTCGGGTATATGACCCCCTAGTATTCGTCCTGAAGGGTGCGGATCGGACACCCGTAATGCCCGAGCGTCCACTACTCCCGGCTCTCTACGACTTCATCGATCACCACCTGAAGC